CAATTTGCAGCTATTTCTCCTTTGTGTGCGGGCTGATCAGCTCTGACTTCCAGTGTCCATTAGACATTTCTCCTCCTCCTTATCTATCATTTTTCAGCTTCCTGAAACAGCTTCCTGTTTTGTCTTTCCTCCATTTCATTGTAAGCTCCTTGAGGGCAGGGATTGTCTTTTTTCATTTCAAATTTATTTATGTATTTGCTAGGCAATGGGGTTAAGTGACTTGCCCAGGGTCACACAGCTAATAAGCGTCAAGTTTTTGGTCTGAGGCTGGATTTGAACTCAGATCCTCCTGACTTCAGGGCCAGTGCTCTATCCACTGCGCCACCTAACTGCCTCTCATTTCACATTTAGACACTGCCTCTTGGTACTTCTATGTGGGTTGCTTGCCCAGTGCATTTCTCCCATCCTTGTGGACCACCAGAGAGTAAGTGAAGTGATGAGTCTGTGACTTGACACAGTAGGAGAGAGGCAAACATTTATTTTATAATGGTAACCTGTGTGCAAGTCTCAGAAAAGCCCTCACAGAACTAGAGTGGAAGCTTGGGAACGGTACTGTCAATGATCAAGAGATGGAGGGTCATAAAAGAATGAGTGAAAAATCAGCCAATTAATCACTTATCAGACTCTTACTATTCATAAAACACTGTTCTGAGTGCTAGGGATGCAAAAAGAAAAGCAGAACAGCCTCTTACTTCAAGGAGCTCACATTCTAACAGGGAAAGACAACAGATATTGGAGGTTTCAGCTGCAAGGTAGGTGAATAGGTCCTATGGTCCTTGGGGTGCAGCCCCAAAACAGAAAGGAATGCATTTTCTTTAATGTCATGTCTAATGATAGAATCAACCATTTGACAGTGCCAAGGACGTGGTGGCAAGAAGTTTCCTTCCCATGAGCTTTTGCTGTTGAGGAGGCACTGAAGCAATTGCCATGTCCTCTCTCCACAGAGGTGGTTTCCTGAGAAAACAGTTGTTGGGGCTGGGCTGGAAGGAGTGGAGGTCTGGGGTGGGGGGGCACTACCACTCCCTACTACTCTGAGGCTTACATGACCCTCAGTGGCAGTTGGTGTTGGTCGTGGTGAGGAAAGTGGGCCTCTTCCCCACAGTGATTGCTCACCTCAGTTGTGGCTGTGGGACCTTGGAAGCAGGGTTGGTGATCTGGTGAGGGTGTTGGGTGGAGGGACTGCTATTTTCAGGACTCTTGGGTCCAAGGTCCTGAACTTTCTTCATCAACTGATAAATGGTCAAAGGATATGAACACGTAGTTTTCCAGTAAAGTAATCAAAACAATTTATAGTCATACAAAAATGCTTTAAATCATTATTGATTAGAGAGATGCAGAGTAAAACAACCTTGAGATATTTTACACCTAACAGATTGGTTAAAATGATAGGCGGGAAAAGTGACAAATGTTGTAGGGGATGCAGAAAAATTGGGGCACTAATTCATTGTTTGTGGAATTGTAAAATGATCCAACCATTTTGGAGAGCAATCTAGAATTATGCCCAAAGAATAATTAAACTACCTATACCCTTTCACCAAGCAATACCACTACTTGGTCTATTTCCAAAGATGATTAGGAAAAAAGGAAAAGAACCCATATGCTTATAACAGCTCTCTTTGTGGTGGCAAAGAACTGGAAATTGCAGGATGCCCACCATTTGGAGAATGGTTAAAATATAATGTGAAATATGATTGTGATGGAATACTACTGTGCTGTAAGAAAGGATGAGCTGGTTGATTTCAGAAAAACATGGAAAGACTTGCATGAAATAATGAAGAGTGAAATGGACAGAACCAAAATAAGGCTGCACATAGTGACAGCAATATTGTTTTAAGAACAACTTTGAGTGAATAAGTTATTTTGTCTATTACAAATACCCAAATTAACTCTAAAGGAAGATGCTATCTGCATGCAGAGAAAGAACTGATAAATAGAAGTATGTATAGAATGATTTTACATATACATACCTATTTGTGTCTAATGGTAGCCATCTCTAGGGTGGGGGGGAGAAAAAAATAAAATAATTTACAAGATAATGTGTATTTGAAAGATGTAGCAAGTTGTGCATAGTAGATTTGCAGTTTCATGTACAATCATCTTTTTATTGTACTATGTTATGTAAATGCTTGTTTTATTCCATAAATTAATTTTTTTTTAATTTAAAGATTCTGAGGGGAGGCAGTAGTTAAGATAATATATTGAATAAATGACTGAGTGAGTGAATGAATGAATGAACAAATGAAATGGCCCTTTCTGTCCCTCTAATTAATTTTAGGCTGCTTTTGCTGACTGATATAGCAAAGGCTAACAGGCTTCCTCTCTTCTTCCCTCCTTCTCTTTTTCCCTCCCTTTCTTCCTTCTTCCCTTCCTCTTTCCTTTCCTCCTTCCTTCTTCCTTCCCTTCCTCTTTTCTTTCTTCCTTCCTTCCTTCCATCCCTCCCTTCCCTATTACTTCTATTTCTCCTTCCCTCCCTTCCTCCATTTTCCCTCCCTTCTTCCCTTCTTCCTTCCTCCCTCCCTCCATTCCCCCCTCTCCTTTCTTCCACCACCTCTCTTTTGTCCAGAGCATTAAATAATAATAAACACATATATATCGCTTTAAAGTTGGTAAACCACGTTATTTAGTTCTCTTATTTGAAATTCGCAGCAACTTCATGAGGTAAACACTACTTGTACTATTGTCTGCATTTATAGGTGAGGAAACTGAGGTTGAGATAAATACATCTGCTTGCTGGTGATCACACAGTGGCAGGATTCAAAACCAGGAACAGAATAGGAGAAGGAAGCTGGAGCAGCGATATGTGTTAAAAGCTATGAAATGCCTTGAGAGCAGGGTACTTACTGTGCCTTATGTTTCTTCTGTTTTCATTGAACCTTCAAAGCAGCTGTGCCCAGCATGCCCCCAATCCCTATACCCACCCCCAGGCAGTGCAATACACTACAGCAGGCTCTCAGGGAATATCTAGTCACTATAAGAATTCTAATACCAGAAGGAGTTCACATTTCACGGCACTGTAAAGTTTATAAAATGCTTCCTTTGCAACAATTTTGTGAGATAAGTATCGTATAACAATAGCTCATGTTCATGGCTTTATGGTTGCAAGACACTTTATATATATTATGTCATTTGACCTCTTCAACAACTCTGGGATGAAGATGCTATCTGTCCATTTCACAGATAAGGAAACTGAGGCCCCTCTTTGGCACCAGGAAAGACCAGCCCCACATTCAGAATCACCAGAGCACAGAAGAATGAGCTCAGCCCATTGGCTCACAGAGGATGCCTTCCCTGGCTGGCTCTGACATTGAAAGCAATTCATCCCCTCCAAGCATCTCTAATGGCGAAGGAGCAGAAGTAAGGCACGGATGATGAAATCAATTGCTTGTTATCTGACAACATAAGGATAAAATGAAAAGAAAGAAAAGAAAGAGGGCTCTGATATAAACAAGAACAGCTTACATATTTTTCCAGTTTACATCTTAATAATAATAATCACTACCATAAACTTGCAAAATGCTTAATATACATTGCCTCATTGGAGCCTCATAGTGACCCTGTGAGAGCAGCACTATAGCTAATAAGCCCATTTTACAGATTGGGATCTGAGGCTCAGAGAAGTTGTGACTTGCCCCTGGTCATATAGTAAATGTCAGAGGTGGAATTTGAATCCAGGCCTTCCTGCCTCCAAGTCTAGCCCTCCAAAGGGGTGGGGGTGGTGGAACCACCCATCAGTTTCCTATCAGCAAGGTGAGAAGTGTGGCCAAATGGTTACACATGGAGTCACGCATCCTGCATCTTAAGCCTCTCCTGATCTCTGACCTACTCTGGAAACAGCCTCCTGCCTCTGTTTAGAATTGAGTGGGCCAGGGGAAGATTCATGAAATACTAAGAAATTTTTACCAAGAGGATTGAAAACACAATAAAATCCATCAATCACCCAAGTGAAAGGGAAATATTGTTGGACTATGTGATTCAGAAGATTTAGTGCTGGGACCTGGAGATACAAATGGGGGAGATGGGGTGGAAAGTTCCTGCTTATATTCTACTAGGGAATGCAAAAGGTATATAATTTATGCCAATGAGTAAATACAAAGTAATTTAAATTTTAAAAAATTTATTTTTAATATCATTTTAATTTTTTTTAATTCCAAATTCTCACCCTCTCTCCTACCCCTTCCCCACCCATTGAGAAGACAAGTAATGTAATATCAATTACACATATGAAAATATATTTCCATATTAGCCATGTTGCAAGAAAAATACAGTGAAAAATATGCTTCAATCTACACTCAGATTTCATCAGTCCTCTCTTTGGAGATGGATAGCATTTTTCATCACGAGTCCTTCAGAATTGTCTTGAATCATTGTATCATTGGATCAGAGTAGTTAAATCTTTCACAGTTGACCATCCTTACAATATTGCTGTTACTGTGTCTGATGTTCTCCTGGTTCTATTCACTTCCCTTTGTGTTAGTTCATATAAGTCTTCCCAGGTTTTGCTGAAACCATCCGGCTCATCACTTTTTATAGCACAATAGTATTCCATCACAATCATATACCATAACTTGTTCAGCCATTCCCCAATGGATGGGCATCCCCTCAATTTCCAGTTCTTTGCCACCACAAAAGGAGCTGCTATAAATAATTTAGTACTTATAGGTCTTTTCCCCACAAAGTAATTTTAGAAGAGAAAATAGTAATAATTCAAAGGGGGTGGTCAGAAAAGACTTTGTAAAGGAGCTGAACTTGAACTCATCCACCTTTGATGTCCATCTTTCATTCACCTTTCACCTGTGGCTCCAAGAAGCTGTAGCACGCTCAGCAGCCACACCCCATAAACCATTCTGGCAGTTAGGCTAAACCAGGTTGAAGGTAACCAACAGGCCTCAAACCCACCTGTGAGTTAGGGGGTTGTCTACCTGAAGCATGTGAAGACTTCCCCCCCAGTGGAATGGATGGATGAGAACAGTTTGTTCCGATGACCATGAAGGCAGCTGAAGCATGTGCTGTGGCGTGCTTAGAGTTTGGTCAGACACGAAGATGACAAGGTCATCCACTGCATCCCAGGCCATTGCCAATCATCCAGACTTTCATCTTTCCATTGGGCTGTGATGACTCTGGAAGAGAGAGTGAGCGGCAAGTCAAGACAGAGCTCTGTGATGTCATTTGTCCTCTTCAAAAGGAAGGGTGAACAACAGCACCTGGGCTCAGTTTGATAGGAGCCAAGGATTCCAAGATATGGAGGTGAGGGGTGAAGACATCCTAGACATGGGAGACAGGTTGTGCAAAGGCAGGGAAATGGGGGATGGCATATTGAGTTCAAGGAACAGTTAATAGGCCAATATTGACTGTAAGTAAAATACATGAAGGTAAATGATATGAAATAAATCTTTAAATTTAGATGGGAACCAGATTTTGGAAAGCTTTACATGCCAGTATAAAGAGTTAATACTTTATCCTAGATGCAATGGGAAGCCACTACAGATACTTGGAGGACATTCTTTTTTTTTTGGGGGGGGAGGCAATCAGGGTTAAGTGACTTGTCCAGGGTCACACAGCTAGTAAGTGTCAAGTGTCTGAGGCCAGATTTGAACTCAGGTCCTCCTGACTCCAAGGCTGGAGCTTTATCCACGGGGCCACCTAGCTGCCCCATTGGAGGACATTCTTGCTTAACTGGTAGGAGATGGATGATAATCCAGCAAAGCAGACAGATGGAGTGGTCAGAAGAACCAAATCAGAACAGTGTCACAGAAACCAAGGGAACATGAGTATCTAGGAGAAGGACATTGTTGACAGTGTCAAAAGCTGTGAAGATGTCAATTAGAATGAGGACTGAGAAAAGAGCATTGGATTTAACAGTTATGAAATCAATGGTAAGTGTAGGAGAACAAAAGTTATCCATAAAATATTTTTAAAAATAAATCATTGGTATACCCCCAAGGAAGTAAAATTTCCAATTCTAGATCTTTGAGATTACAAAAGAGGAGAAAAGGGTCTGAACTAGGGTTTCAGTGGAAAGGTAACACAGATATGAGAGATATTTCGGAGGTAGAATTGATGGAACATGGCAACTTATGAGGGAAACTTCTTGTTTATGCCTATTTGTGATGAAAGTTTTTTTTTCCTTTTTTGTTCAGTTGGAGAGAGAAGGAGGTGGATACAGAAAAAATGCTTTTTAAAAAAGGAATCTCGCAACTGATAAGTCAACAAGCATTTCTTAAGCACCTGCTACATGCCAGGCATTGTGCTGAGCACTTAGCAGAGAAAGGCAAAACGCAGACTTTGCTCTCAAGGAGTTCACAATCTAATAGGGAAGACAATTGCAAACAATTATGTACAAACTAGATATATACAGGGTAAACTGGAGATAAATTCAAAGGGAAGACGCTTAGATTAAGGAGGACTGGGAGAGGGGATTAGGAAAAGGAAAGCGTCAACAATGATTCCAAATCCAGTGCTCTTTGCACTCCACCATACATAGAAGGTATAGGAGTGATTTTGTCCCTCATTTTTGCTTTTCAAAATTCCAGAGTAATAAATTATATCCCTTAAGGGATGGTGCAACAGTCCAAAGATTACCTATGGGAGTGATGTTGTAGAATCAGAATGCAAATTCTGAAAAACTCACATCTGTACCTGTGGCGATGAGGAGGGGAAGTGATCTGGCATGAGACCACCTTCCTGTCTTCTGTGGCCATCCACTACTGGGATTTATTTGCTGCTTAACTAGGTTCCGCAATACGACACAGTTCAGGAGGGTTATGTGTATTTGCGGTGAATATACGTAGGATCACTGAGAAATAGGTCGCCAGCACCGTGGACAGCGGCAGAAGGCCCAATTCCAGAGGGCCATAGCGCTGGATATGACAAGATAACGGGCAGGCCGGACCAGAGAGATTTGAGAGAAAAATCGGTACGGGTGTGTGCGTGCGTGTGTGTGTGTGTGTGGACGGGGGGGGGAGGGGGTGTAACTAGTTCCTGACCAGAGTGGCCACTCCATCCATTTCCTTGAAGCGGGAAGCAGACTTCATAGGGCAGGGGGAGTGAAGGTGTGCGGGAGGTGGTTGGAAGAGCAGACGATGTGAAGAATTTGGTCTGCTCTTGGTCAGTTTCTCTTTTGGCACTTTTACCTTCTTCCCCGGAGGGCGTCTCCTTCCAAATACTTTCCCTCACCCCGTCTCCAGTGAAGTTCCTCTCAGTTAAGTTTTGTAGGATCCTTGAAAGAGGAAACAGGCGTTTTGGAGTTAGTGGGAGGCTAGAGGTGTGCTGAGCGGGAGGACTAAGCACCCGCTCCTAGTCCCATACCTGAATTCTCTTCTCCTTCTCCATCCAAGAGAGGAGGCTTCACTGTCTGTTGTGCCTGTCTGTGTTGGGATGGGGTGTCCCTCGGGCTTCCTTGCCCTTGAGAAATTTATGCGGAAGAGGACAGAAAAGAATGCTTCTTTTTTTTTCCTCCCAAATTTCCAAATCCTGGGAGTCTGTCTCCTCTTTCCACTTCTCTCCCTAGTTCTATCCACCCCATCCGTCCTAGCCTGTTTCTATACAAGGCTATCCCTCTCTCACCGGTCTTTCACTCCCACCCCCTACATTCAGCTGAGACCCGAGTTAGGAAGAAAAGGCGGGAGGCGTGGAAGGGGCGGGGGGCGGGCAGTGCATAGACTGCGTGAGACGGTGGAGGCGCATTCTCGGGCCTTGAGCTCAGTGAGGTCGGAATGTGGCTGATAAGTCCGAGATAACCCTGGGACCAGGAAGGGCAGGGGCAAGGCAAGGCAGGGCTCTGCTTCCAGCCACTGGGGATAAATAGCGACTGACCCAGCGAATAGCCAGAGAAAGCCAGAAGGGCAGAGAGAGGAAAGGAGGAGCAGCAGCGTCGGCGACAGCAGCAGCAGCAGCAGCCCGAGGTTTCTCCTTCGCCCTCCAGCCCACTTCTTCCAAAACATGGACTCCAGAAAGCGCTGCCCAGCATCTTTCTGCTACTGCTCCTTCTGCAGCTCCAGGGCAGCTTTTCCCATCCCCTAGACGGACCTCGCCAGGCCCGGGAGCTAACCGGGGTCCAGGTGAGCACAGCAGATGTTCTATGGGTCAGCTGGCAAAAGGGAAATATGAGTCTGCCTCCCATTCCCACCCCCTCCCTCCGAGAGTTCTTCAGAAACCCTGGGAAGTGATGGGTAGGGCTGAGATTGGGAGCATGAGGGCGAACCTCTCGATGTGCGCGCAGCTCCCCACTTCTCCCTCCCTACTAAGGGGTTTCCGAAAGAATCAATAGAGACTGACGAAGCCTACAAGCCGCCCAAAGGCAGTAGAAGGGCCCCTGAGCAGTGCGAATTACCCTAGATTTTTAAGGTCTTATTGAGTGCACTGGGCGCCGGCGGGAGCTTGGGGAGGGGACGGGAAGAACTGATTTGCAAGGGAGTTCACAATTCTTGCTATGCTGTTTCCTTTACTCCCACTAACCTTCTAGGAACTGCTGTACCGACTAAGAGACCAGATCTCAGCTCTGGAGGAGCTGGAGACGGCGGAGCAAGAAGAGACCCCGGGGGAAGTCTGGGAGAACAAAAAGCCTGAACACCGACCGGTGCCAGAGGGCAGCCGGAGCGATAGGGTCCTCTCCTTCCAGGCCCTGCGTGGTTTGCAAAGCCCCAAACTGATGCGGGAATCAGGCTGCTTTGGCAGGAGGCTGGACAGAATTGGCTCTCTCAGCAGCCTGGGGTGCAATGGTAAACTGACACCTTTTCTCCTGCCTTGTCTCTCTTCTGGCTTAACATCACCCCGCTGCCCCCCCCCCCCAGTCATACAAGGCCTTCTTCTCAAGTAGTCAGTGTAACACTTAAACTCTGTCTCATTTCCAGACTTAGTGACCAGGGAACAGAATTGGGGGTGGAGGAGTCCTGTAGAGGAACCAAGGTCACAAGAACGCCATTCTGAGACACTTAGCATGTCCCCTCCCTTAAGGCTGGAACAAAAGAGAAAGAGTGAGCTCAGGGGACTGCCCTATTCCCTGGGGAACAGCAGAGGCTGACAGCAAAGATGCCAGAGAAGCTACATGGGGAGGAGGAATCCCAGGGATATATTCCTGTAGCCACTTTTTTATTTATTTGGCTTTTAATTTTTTTTCCTTTCTTCATGATCAACTGACTATGGAGTTCCCCTCACTGGGAGGGCACAGGGTTAAGAGGAATACATGCTCAGGGTCATTTGAAAGAGGCCCCTCTCTGACCCCAGAGACCCACATTCTAGTCCTAAGTCTTTCCTGTCCAAATTTAGAAAAGCTCCCTGTATGTAGCATGGGAGTTGCTGTTGGCACAGCAACACTGCCTTATCACATGACCATTTTCTTTTATCATTGCCTTTTTCATGGACCAGGGGAAAGATCCCTGGATATGGAGTCTGGGGCCTGAGTTCAAATTCCAGCCCCTCTCCATTTGTGACTTTTTTTTTTTTTTTAGCAGATCACTTAACTTTTTCGTGCCTCATCTGTTTCTTCATCTGTAAAATGAGAGGGTTAGACTCAATGGCCTCTGAGGCCCCTTACATCTTTGGACCCATGATTCCACAATCTGGCCAATGAAACATCCTCTGATCCCTTTTTAGTCTTCTCCTTTATTCGTTTGTATTTTAGGCCAATCACTGCCTTCACTTGACAGAGGCATTGTTCACCTCTACTAACAGCCCTTAGGGTTAAAGAGGCTGCAAAATTCTATTATTTCCATGATTCAGCCATCCAAGCTCCAAGTGTCCCAAATGCTAAATGGTTGAACTATTCTGTACTGGCAGCCCCTGCGGGGTAAAAAGTTTCACTCATCTTCTGCTTCCTAGTCATGCCCTCAAGTTTCTCACAGTTGCAAAGGCAGAAGATGAAATAATTTGTTGGAATGTTATTCCCATTTTGCAGTTAAGGAAACCCAGGCTCAGAGAGATTAAAAGACTAGAATGAGTAGCAGGAGGCCATGTAGTTTGGAGGCTATGACAGGAAAAGGAGTAAAGAAGGGGCAGGAGAGGCAGATTTCACCTTGATGCCAGAAGAAAAAAAAATTGCTAATTATCAGAGTTGTTCAAAATCCAAACGGGCTTCCTTTGGAAATAGTGAGTTTTCCTTTACCTTTAAGTAGAAACTTGATGTCCCTTTGTGGGGAGAGGATTCTTGCTCTGTTTGAATTAGCTGGTCACTGAGGTCTCTTCCTACTCTGAGAATCTATGATCCCATGAGATGATAAAACAAAACAAAACCCAGAGAGAAAAAAAACAAGAACCCTAGATTCTACTTCAGCTCTGAGCCTCCCTTGAATAACCTTATTTCTCTCTTTTTCTCCCCCAACAGTGTCAAGAAGGAATTAAGAAGTCCCAGCTGCCTACTTGCTAACATCTAATTCTTGCTGAGGCTTTTCCACCCCCTCAAAATGACTCCTATTTATTTTTATTTATTTATTTATTTATTTGGTTGTTTTGTATAAGCTGGTTTCTTACTTTTGAGCATGGAAAATTTATGAGTAAATAAAATCAACCTGATGTATTTTTATTTTGGAGCTATTATTCTTGGAGCATTAAAAAAAAAAAAATCCAACCCACCTACTTCCCTCTACCTGCCTGTATTTTATGGGAGATTATATCCTGGATAGGTAAAAGATGGGACAAGGAACTTCAGTTCAATTCAACAAGTGTATATTAAATGCCTGTTAGATGTTAGGTCCTGGGGTTACAAAGACAAAAGTGAAAGATCCATTCCTCAAGGGGCTCACCTTCCACTGAGGGAAACAACCTGTATACAGATAAATACAAAGCATCTGAATGGGTGGTAATGTGAGGATGCTAACATCCTGGTGTCGGGAGAATCTTGCGGAGCCCATGTCATGGGGTGGCTGGGTGGGGGCTTCTGAATGCCCTGGAATCAACAGAAACATCACAACCAGTCGAAATTTATTGGAAACTGCTTCAGGGAAGAGAGGGTGGGTTGGGCTAGGGAGCAAACCAGCTGTGTGGTGTGATGTTACATCCCCAAAGGTTCCCTAGCCCTACCAGTCTGCCACTGTTCCTGAAATGCCGCTGTCAGAATCATTCCCTTGGATCTGACGTCTCCAGAGAGCCTTCCTCCATATGTCAGAGGATGAAGGGGTGATAAAACAGAACTCACTATCCCATCCCCCTCTCCATCCCCCAAAAGCCCACTCCTCTTTCAGATTTCCCTGTTACTGTGGAGGGCACCACCATCCCCTCATCCAGACTTGAAACTAGGCATCATCCTGGACTCCTCACTCCCCACCCCCATATCCAATCTGCTGTCAAGTCCTGTCAATTTTACCTTCATAACATCTATAGGGTATATCTTTTTCTCTCCTCTGATTCTTGCCACCACCTTGGTGCAGGCCTTCCTTACCTCACTCCTGGACAATTGGAATAACTTGCTGGTTAGTCTCTCTCCACTCCAGCCCATCCTCTCTTTGTAAAGTGCTTTACAAATTTTAAAACTCTACAGAAATGTCAGCTATCCTAAATGGGTCCCCCACTATCCTCTCCCCACTCCTTAGACAGCAAGGAGGCTGGCCTCTGTAGAGGCTCTGACTCCCCAGTCCTAAAACTTCCCAGATAACAGCATGGTATGGTGGAAAGAGCACCGGGTTTGAAAGGATAAGGGTTTAAACACTGCTTTGGTCACTTCATTTTGGGGGACTTGGTTTCCTCTTCTATAAAATGCAACAACATGCAAACAAGTCTATACAAGACAAACAGGAAATAATTAAGAGAGAAAGCACTCAATGGGTTGGGGGCGGGGAGGTCCTTGGGAAGAGTGGAGTGGCAGAGCGGCAATCAAATCTTCTACAGGGCTGGTTTTTAAATGGGTCACCATGCAATTGCAGCTTGAATCTCGACTCCCCTAGCTGCTTGTCCTATTGCCAGCATTGCTCAAAAGAGGAGCTGGTAAATGATCTATCTTGACCCTTTGCAGCCTTAATTTTCCTGGAAAGATGATCTAGTTAATGGACCAACAAAAAGCCATGTTAGCAACAAGCCCTCAGCAACGGCATAGCTTTGGGTCAGCTCAGACCAATCCAGCTGGAGATTGCTTAACATTAAGTGGTGTGGCTCTGAAGTAAGACCTCAAGTGGGTTTGCCTGAGTCCTCCCTCTCTTCTAACTGATGCTGACTGGGACTTTCAAAAAAGAAATAGTGCCCATAGCCCATCTCTCCTGCTACTTCTCTGTTTCTGCTAAGTATGATATGGAAAGAGTCTCTTCTTTCAGCAAAATTGCATAATTGATACAATTTGTCTCTCAGGTTCAGTCCTCAGCCCTCTGCTCTTTTCTCTCTATAACATCCCCTCCCCACCTTAGAGATATGATTGATTCCCATGATCTCAGTTATCACCTTTGCAGGGAAGACCACAATCTCTATCTCCCCCTCTTCCTTTCCCTCTACCCCTCTTCCTCCCTCTTTTTTTGCTCTCCTCTTCTCTCCCTCACTTTCCTCTATCCTACTCTCCTTTCCTTTCCCTCCTCTCCCCTCTACTCCTCTCTTCTCCTTCTCTCCCCCTCTGTCTCTCTCCATCTCTCTGTCTCTCAACTTTTCTTCCCCTTCCTTGACTTCCCTCTCTGTCCCCCCTCCTCTAGCCCTACATTTTCAACTGTATTTCAACTTAGATATCCCTCAATGCCTCAGATAGAAAACTAAACTCTTCATCTCACCTCCAAAACCAGGTCCCCTTTCCCACATTCCTGTTTGGGTTGAGGAGTTTTAACATTTTGTTTGTTTGTCTCATGGATTCCTTTAGCAGTGTCTGGTGAAGCCTGTGAATAGCCTGTGAATCCTTTCTCAGAATCATATTTTTAAATGCATAAAATAAAATTCAGTGGATTATGAGGACATGTTACATGTGGGGGACACGTAGCATCCAAATATTAAAACAAATACACAGATGGCAGGTTAAGAACCTCTGTGCCAAAGGGTCATTCTTCTTCCAGTCACCCAGGTTTAAAACCACAGGTGACCTGGACTCTTTCCTCCCTAGAGTGGTACAGTTGCTAAACACCATTAATTCCTTACCTGCAATGCTTTAGATCAGGTCTTCCTCCCATCTTCCTAGATTGTTAAATCTAGGTCTCCCCTTCTGAGGGAGTGGTCTCCTCACTTTAAGACCTTCTCTTCTTCAACTCACTATGTGCCCCATGGCCAATATTATCTTCCTAAAATATAACTTTTATCATTCGATGATGTAGTGTAATGGAGAAAGCCTGAAGCCTTGGTCTTAATCAACCAATCGATCAACATTTATCAAGTGCCTACCATGTGCCAGGCACTGTGCTATATGCTTTTCATTCATTTTTCAGTCTTGTCTGACTCTCTGTGACCCCATTTGGGGTTTTCTTGGCAAAGATACTGGAGTGGTTGGCCATTTCTCTCTCCAGCTCATTTTACAGATGAGGAAACTGAGGCAAACAGGGTGAAGTGATTTGCCCAGGATTGCACAGCTAGTAAGTGTCTGAGGCCAGATTTCAACTCAGAAAGACTCCAGACCCAGCACTGTACACATTATGGTGCCACCTAGCTGCCCTGCTAAGTGCTAGAGACACAAAAAGAGGCAAAAGACAGTCCCTGCCTACAAGGAGCTCACTATCTAATGGCTCAAATCTGAGCTCTCCTTGCCAGTAGGGTGACCCCATAAGTCATTTCACCACTGGATCTCAGTTTCCTCATCTGTGAAATAAAGGGGGGAGGATGGATACTCCCTAAGGTCCCTTTCAGGACCAAATCTTATGTTACTCTCTTGCTCAAGAACCAATCGTGTGTGCCTATGGGACCAAGTCCTAAGAGACTCCTTCATAGCTTATGGCATTAGAACTGAAAGGGCCCTCAGAGTTCATGGGGTCCAACACCCTAATTTTACAGAAGAGGAAACTGAGGCCAGAGAGGTGAAGAGGTTTGTCTAAGGTCATATGGATATTTTCAGGGCCCTCTCCAGTCTGGCACCCACCCTACTTATTACCTAGAAGCAGCTAGGTGGTGAAGTGGACACCTGGGTCAAATTCAATTGCAGACACTTACTAAATGTGTGACCCTGAGTGATTCACTTCTCCTCGATCTGCTTCAGTTTTTTTACCTGTACAATGGGGATAAAAATAACATCTACCTCCCAGAGTTAAGTGCTTTGCAAACTCTTAAACACTATATAAATGCTAGCTAGTTAGCTACTTATGTAACTTTATTCAACCTCTCCTTCAGGCAGGCCCTCTCAAATACATCAAGCTCAAGGTAGGTTTCACTGGAAGGATAAGTAGGGGCAGAATGAAGGGACCAGGCTAAGGAATGAAGCCCTTCTTTAATAGGCTAGTAGAGTAACCCAGGTTCCAATGGCAGTACTCACTGTAGATAGCTGAAGGATGGGGAAAGAAGTTGAATGTCTCAAGCCTTCTATAGTTGGCCCATCCCTGGCTCCTGGTCCCCTGCTCTATTCTGTAGCTGCTTTCCCATTTCACCAAGAGATTGGGGGTGAGGAAGGAATATATGCAGCCCCTGAATTCTCAAAAAAGAGGCTTTGTCCATTTCCCTCCATTCCCCCGTAGGCCACAACATTCACTTAACATTCATCAAGTGCTTATTGTGTAATTTCTTCCTTAGTCCTGTAGGGGACGCCACATACCCATGGGAGGCAATGAAGGTATGGTGGAAAGAGCACTAGATTTAGAGACATCAGGTATGGATGAAAGTCTCGGTTCTGCCGCTCGATTCAAGCTTGGACTTACTTCTCTGGACCTCAATTTTCTCATCTGTGAAGTGGAGATAGTAACACTTCCCCTGTTCACTTCAAAGGGTAGTTCTTAGAACCAAAGAATCTCAGAATTCACAGGACTCTTGAGAAGACACCATCTAGTCTAATATATACCTATTCTGTAAAATGGGTCTGAGGACTGGGTTCAAATCCTGCCTGTATGGCATGGACAAATCACTTACCTGCCATGTGTCTGAGTTTTCCTCAACTATAAAATGAGGAGTTGGCCCCAATGATCTCTGAACCTATCTATTATCTCTACAACATTCCTGACTAGTAAGTGCTCATACAGCTTTTGCTTAAAGACTTCTATGGAGGTATTGAGGTATTGGGGTAGGGGATGGTGTTTGAGGTTGTTCTGGAAGGATGGGTAGGACTGAGGGTGAAGTGGGCGTCTTTCAGACACAGCCAAAAATGAGGAGTAACAGCAAAGGTGTGTTTGAGACATAGGAAGTCCAGTGAGCCCAGTCTGGCTGGGGTGTAGTACAGTGTGAAAAGGGGATCGTATGTGGATTTTGATTATTTGTGCTCTCCCTGCCCCTTGTGCTAATAAACAATCAACAGCTGGGCTGTAAATCAAATGTTCATGGTAACAATGCAAGACAAGCCACTTAACCTCTCTGTATCTCAGTTTCCTCATCTGTAACATTTGGAAATTGGATGAGATAATACCTAAGGTCTGTTCCAGATCTTAATCCAAAAATCCTCTGCAAACTTGCTGTCTTTCCACATACTATCTCTGAGAGAGGAAAGAAGGCTTCAGTAAAAAAGAAGCTGGATTCTGAATCTTTTCCTCTGGAACCTTGGACAGTGACTTCCGCTTTTATCCAAGAATGCCTGCAAAAGTGGCTGGGGGTGGGGTGGGGCAGGGAGGTAGGAAAAAGGAGACAGCCAGACGAATGCCATTTCTGGTATGCCATTTGCCAAGATAACACCCACATCAGAGGGCTGTCTCGGAAGGGCAAGGACAGGGCAAGCTGACATGCTTAGAAAGAATTACTTCTCGGAAACATAGCTTCTTGTCAAACTAGTGTTACTAAAAATAACCTGACATGCACTTAGGACTTGAGTCATGCAGGATCATCAGGAGAATGTTGATTTGCTCTACTAAATTCCAACTCACAATGGCTCAGTATCGTATTCTTCATCAATGGGGGTCTAGGTGGATTGAGTGTTGAACTTGGAGTCAGGATGATCTGAGTTCAAGTTCTGCCTTAAGCATTTACTAACTGTGGGACACTGGATAAGTCACTTCACTTTCTCTGCTTCAGATTCCTCATCTGTAAAATGGGGAAAATAATAACACCTACTTCTCAGGGTTGTTGTGCGGAATTAAATAAAATAATTTAACATGCAGAACACTTTGCAAACCTTAAAGCATCAAACACATGTTAGTCATTATCCTCCTCTTCCTCCTCTTCATCATCTTCCAAAGCCCTGAAACCCACTGACCAAGAAATATTTCTGATGATCATAGTAATTAGATTCAATCTTTATTAGAAAAAAAACATTAGATTTCATCAAGAAACAGGATATTTAGCCTGGAGGAGAGAATAAAGTTCAGGAAGACATGGCGATTATCTTCTGGCATTTGAGGGATTAGTCTCATTCCCAAGAGCAGAACCAGGAATGACGGCTGTAAGCTGCAGTGAGGAAGATTTAAGTTTAATACCAGAAAAACTTCACAACAATTGAAGTTGTCTGAAAATGGAATGGACTGCTTCAGGTCTTCTGCTGAAACCTAGAGGATGGCTTTGCAAAGACAGTGGAAGTGAAGGCTTCTTTCATTCCAGCATGGGAAGGATTAGGGGGCCTCTGAAGTCCCTTCCAAATTTCAGGTTTTGTGACTCTTGTGATGCAAACAAGTTCAGAGTACCTAACTGAACTGGTCACAGTGTTCCCTGAGAAGCAGGGATGGGACAGGATTAGTTCTTCATTTTGTAAACAAATTAGCACCATGGAGAATTTCTCCAAGGCTTCCAAAGACCAGGAGTAAGAACAGAGTCAATCAGTTAACACGCTTTCAGACTATCCATGAAGCACGTATCAACGTGCTAGGTGTGTGAGTACATAAGGACTCCCCCTAGGAGGTTTACAGTCTAATAGAAGAAGGTAGGAAAGCCCACACAAAGGGAGGCAGCCATTGCAAAGGTGACAGAAGGACTGATGATGGTTAATTTTGGAACATGGCTCATATCAATCAAGGAGAATTTCTTGAAAGGAGGGGCATTATAGAGGAAATTTTTGTTCATGTGTGGGTTAGACTAGACGGTCTCTGAGGTCCGTTCCAACTCTGAAATTCTGTGATTTGGGCTACTGTGTTAAAGGTTCTAGACTCCCAAATCCCAAATCCCTAAACACATCTCATGTAAATTATCTCTCCCAATTCATAGTCTTCCTTAAATACACAGTGCTTTGCATATAGTAGTTGATTAATAAGTGCCTACTGAATTAAAGAGGCATCATGATATGGTGGACTTGGAGTCAGGAAGACCTGGGTTCAGATCTCACCTCAGACACTTACTACCTGTGTGACCCTGGGCAAGTCACTTTACTGTCTGCCACAGTTTCCTGATCTATACAATGAACATATTAGACTCACTGGTTTCTAATGCCCTTTCCCAATCTAAATCTATAAGCCTAGGAAGTGCTAATGTCTAGTACAATTCTCAAGAGTTTGTATAAATTCTATATTGATTGCACCTTGTTAGTCTTTGACAGAGAAACTAGGGTCCAAAGTTCTGTTGCTTGCCTGCACCAAGTGATGTGAGGTAGAGAAGCATCCAGGAGACTAGTACGTGCCACAAAGCCCTCTCCGCATTAACCAACCCCATTGACTTTTTTTTCCCCCCGGCAAGGCTAGAATTCAGTATGAGCTTCAGACTTCTGATTTAATAGCTTCTAGAATACCACATGGCAATGGAATGATGATGTTGGCTTTCTCTAGTTTCATAATCATCTCCATCAACACCTTACAAGAGGGAAAAGTGATGGAAGAGGAAGGCTATGTGTTGAGGGTGGTGAGTGGGGGATAGCAACTTCAGGAAAATATTCTCTGGTGTTGATATGTGGGAGCAGAATGCTTGGGATGTTTCTCCCATGGGATGTTTCTCACATTCTATCCTTGGTGCTGACTTTACAGTCTTTATGAAAAAAAACCAAAACTTCTGCTTTACTCAACCATTTGGAACTGTAGTCACAGTTGGGAGCCCACATGCAGGAGGAAGAATCTGAATTGAGTGAGAAAGGGCATAAAATCACCCAAGCATCTGGACTTGTGTCAGCTTGAACTCTTTCTCTAGGTTGGAGGTTGCCTGTAATTTCCTTCTTTCTTGTCCTTATTTGGACCTTCCAGCATCCGAGCAACAAGCTTGGGGAGAGATGGATCCTGGCCAGCCATCCTGTTTCCCTAAATTGTTTCCACAGCAAGGAAGCAAAGAATCCTGAGGCATCTTTGTGAGATAATCAAGGATTTTTTTTTTTTGGTTCCTCTCACACCTTCAAAGTGTGAAACCTCTTCAGTCAAATCAACAAGAATGTGACTCTTGCAGCCTAGGGTTCCTGAGGCTGTGACAACCGTTGAAGTGCAGAGGCCACCTCTACAATGAGGTTGTGACAGTCTGCACTGGACTGATAACTTTAAAAGGACATCTTCTCTTGGCTCCTCGCTCCAGTCCTTTATCACTGCAAGTGACAGAATGGGGAGGGGTACACCCCTTGGGCGGTCTCAGGGTGCTGTAGGGGGATATAAAAAGGCAAAGAGGCAGACTGGGAGGCATAAGAGAACAGGGTCAGAAGACCAAGAGCAGAGAGGAGAGAGAAGAGACAGCAAGTGTTTGACTGACTGAGATTGAAGACCAATCACAGCATGGGCTCCTTCACTACCATCTCCATCAGCATTCTCCTCCTTTTGACTTTGCAGCTTCAAGGTCGAACCAAAGCCAATCCTGTGTCTAATAATGACCTGGTGGATTTCAAGGTAGGACCAGAGAGAGGCTTGGCAGGGACAACAGCAATCAGGGGAGGTATTTTGGTATGGTGCTGATTTTTTTGGTCACTTTCTCCCAATGTAATGAACTCATCAACTCTTCTCTTTGTCCCCCTTTTTATTTTTAGAATTTGTTGGACCGCCTGGAGGACAAGATACCTTTAGAAGACGAGGTCATGGCCTCACAAGGACTTAATGAGCAGAATGAAGAGGCTGAGGAAGCACTCAGCCCCCTCTCTTCCTGGAGTGAGGAAGTCAGCCCAGCCCAGCGAGAGGCAGCTTTCAACCGGGGTACTTGGGAGCAATCTGAGAGATCTGCCCTCCTGAAGAACAAGCTTCGGGCACTCTTGACTTCTCCTCGAAGTCTGAGGAGGTCTTCCAGCTGCTTTGGGGGCAGGATTGACAGAATAGGAGCCCAAAGTGGACTTGGTTGCAACAGTTTTAGGGTAAGGAGATATGAGAATGGGATAAGGAGGAAAGAAGTCTTATAGCTATGCTAATACTCAAGCAGAGGTAGAGGGGCTCACTACCAAGTGAAATTCCCAGCAGACACAGGGACTAGATTCTTACTCCCTTTGAAATATATGACTCTTACCTTTGGGAGTATCTGTAGCTACAGTATGTTTAGGAAGCTGTAACAATCATGCTTGATTCTCCAAAGGGGTGAGTGTCCCCCGATGTATTAGAGAATTAAAACTTCCATAGAATCACATTGTTTTATAATGTGAGTGGCTTCAACATATTTTCCTTTCCAGAGTTATAAAATTGAAGGGTCAAATAGAATGGGTTGTTGGTGGTGGTCCTTCATTTTTGAAGAGGACCAATGACATCATGATGGAAAATAAGTAGATGATAAGGTAAAATACTGGATGATAGGCGATGTCTTGACTTGCTTGTGAAGTGAATTTAAGTGAGGCAGAGTTGCACTACATCGTCAGCCTCACTCTCTTTTCCAGAGTCATTGAAGTCCAGAATAAAATAGAATGGATAAGGATTTCTTTAATCACCCTTTATAGTCTGAACTGTCCACTAGCTCTGGAAGCCACTTTAATATGCTAGGGAAAAGAAGCAGTTCAAGAGATTAAGGATAAAGGGTCTTAGTTCTTTTCCCATTTTATACCTGCCATCCACTCCAATCTCACGTTGCCTTCTGTAGGTGGTCTAGCCAGGATATTGCTAACCATATATGTCTGTCTTCTCTTTATAGTTCTGAAGATAATGCACAAAGAGGAAAACATGTGCTGGACCCAGTCAGATCCACAGAAGCTTCAAATCCTTTGGGACTTTGGCTTTATTTTGTCCATTTGTTGTCAGCCAACTGGGCTTTGAATGCGCTCCTGGTTCAAGCTACAGCTTTCTTTGCCATTTCACAAATACAATTTTGAATGTAGACAAAGTGGTGTGATGGTGGCTTTTGCCCCTTCATTAAATCTGAGTTTAAATCCTAAGCAGTTCAAGGACGAATAAATTTCAGCACCATGGACAGAAACAGTCGCGGCCGGTGTGATTCTTTATTTTCTAGGGAAAAAGAGTGGGGGATTCAGGTCTATTCCAGCTACTATATTGTCAGATAGTAAAAAAAAAAAAATTCTTTCTTTAAAAAAAAAATCAATTAGCTAAAGAGTCGCCTCTCATCGAATCTGAAGGCAAAGAAAAGCATAATGGCTATTTGTTTAGACAGATTCGAATGCCGTTTTTCTCCTGTTGTGGCTAATATAGTTCGTGTCTATCATTGTGTGGTTTTTCCTTCCCGCGCAATTCTTATCAAGTTTTTTTTTTTTACATACAAGTTTTGGGGCACGTGTTTCTAATGAGGCAATGCTAGGGGCTAAATAAACATCAGGTATGCTTCACAGAAGCTGACTGCAGGGGTTGGTCTGGCTTGGCACTATTTTCAGGTATTTGAACTAGAACTGAAGGCAGAATAAAAGAATAAAAACGAGTTTCATTTGGGTGCTCTGATCAAGTGTAAATGAGGTTTTAAAAAGGCTTACAAACCTCTTGGATTTTAACATCTAAACGTTAAAATATAATCACTATTCCCTTAATGAGGGATCTAGGTGGCTGAATTATTAGGCTCTAACAAGAGTTTGCAGCATACCCTTGAGGAAGGTGCAACTTTATCATGCTTTTACTGCCCCATGGAATCCTTGTAAATTAACAGGAGTTTCTCAGGCAGAAGACAGTGGCTGAAGACATGGGTTAGCACCCTTGTTCTCAGTAATTACAGGAAATTTGGAGGAAAAAAAAAGGATAAAAAAATACAGTAGCCATTAGTCTCAGTGCTGGATGGAAGAGAAAGACAGGACAGGGTATGGTGAGCTATCCTATTTACTTCATCATGGAAGACCACGAGCACTTAGGACTAGGAGGGCCAAGAGCAGAGGCTGCTGTCAGGAACAAGGCCCTTTCCAATTCATTATTGAATAGGACACTGACTAGGATTAGCTGGAAGCTTACCACCTCCCAGTGATACCAATACTACCCAACTGGGAAAAGCACCACACTGCTTCGGTACAAAGTAGAAAAGGTCCCGCGTGAAAAGAACTTCAGGGTAATAAAAACTTTGAATAGCTCTCAAGAGGTGGTGGGATTTCCATCTTGTCACAGACGACTTGGGCATTCATGTACCTAAGGAGTCAGTCAGATGATCACTTCCTCGACCTTGGGGAAATGACAAAGTGTTCTCTATGAAATGACGTGGCTAGGTGCCAGGATCCCTAATGTCCTTGCCAGCTCTCCATTCTCCTGTCCACTGATGTCCTTTGCTGCTCTGAGTTTTTCACCTCAGGTTTATTGGCTATTGGTTCTGAAGGCCATAACCTCTCTCACGATAATTCATCCAGCTTTTCAGATGCCACCAGTGAGACAGCAGAGCAAACATATTCATCTTAAAATTCATATATGTGCTTTCATAATCAGGTCTGCCAGAATGAATCCTACTGTACACTCTTAAGGACTAATGAAATACACTGACACCCATACTCCCTGCCTACCTTTCTCATGCCTTTTGTTTTTTCATAGGAATACATGGGGTTAATTCCTAAGCATTTTGGCTATAGAAAGACAATTAGGATCTTTGAGGTTCCTGACACAAAAAGCAATTGATACAGGGGCTGGCCAAGCATTTGTAAACACACTGAGGGATATTCTAACTGTGACACAAATAAAATCTTGGTGTCCTTCTGACTTAAGTCACAAGAAATTCAGTTGTCAACATGTCCCAGTGGGAAGAAGCTAGAAGTCAACAGAGGCTATCAAACTTCAGGAATGATGATAATAAGAGGCTGTAAATCGACACAAACTGATCCTCAAATATGAGTACACCCTGAAGAGAGCTCCTGGGACAGATACAATACATCTGGCAGAGTACCAAGTCTATATTATCCCACTTCATTTGATCGATTCTTTTGTGAAGGCAAACTAGGCCATCTTTTGCCTCAGTTTTAACCTAGCCATTGATCACTGAATGGGTGTTGTCTTAGACCAACTGAGACCAGGGAAAGAACTTAGCTTAAAAAGGCCAAGGTTGGGGCAGCTAGGTGGCACAGTGGATAGAGCTCTGGCCTTGGAGTCAGGACCTCCTGAGTTCAAATCTAGCCTCAGTCAATTGACACTTACTAGCTGTGTGACCTTGGGCAAGTCACTTAATCCCAACTGCCTAAGCAAAAAAACCAAAACAAGAACAAAAAAAGAAGAAAAAAAGGCCAAGGTCTTCCACTGTGTCCCAGGCCATCGCCAGTCATCTTGACCTATGTATTGCCACTGAACTCTGGTGACTCTGGAGGAAACAGTGAGGCTGATGACCTTGCACAGCTCTGCCTCACTTAAATCCAATTCACTTGCAAGTCAAGACATCATGCTCCTGATGTCATTGGTCCTCTTTGAGAATGAAGGATGGATGACAGCAATAATCCTAGATTCATAATTTTTATGTACTGACTACAAAGGGAAAAGACGATTAAAAAACATCACGGAAACTGGAGTGAAGGACACAGACAAGGACATTTTATTCTCAGACATGTTATGGTTACAATGAGGACTTCCAAGTGCTAAAAGTTCAAACAAAAATATTTTTTGTACAAATTAAAAAAAATACTATATACACAATGGAATTAGCTTACATTATTTTATAAACAAACAGTGCAAACAGGAAAAAAATGTTACCACTGAAATGACTGTTGCAAGGCAATACTGCACATCAACACTGCACAGGTTCTCAGGAGGGGCCCCAGAAGCCCTTTCCCTAAGACTGTTCCATGGATGGGCGCATGGCATTGCTTAGATCTGCATCAGAACAGCATCACAGACAGCAATATCCAGAAACACAATTTCATTTAGCTACCAGCTCTAAGAAACTGTTAGTTAAAATAAGCAAATGATCTGATTACGTCATCAGTCAGGGAGCGTGGCTTCATTATTTGTCCTCCTTCCATGTTCAGTGAGTGAAAATCTTGGAAGTGGGGAATTTTGGAATGTCATGTTGGGGATAAAAGCCAAAGAAATATCCTCTTACACTGTGGTGCTTATGTTAAGGTGCCAGTCCGCATAGCCTGCAGTGCCCGGAGGCTGCACTGAAGGTGTAAAATGCTGGTTTCTTTTACAGAACAGATGCTTGATGGGGATTTGAAGTCATGAGATTCACATTCCATCTTTCACAGGCGGAAAAGCCGCTGCCTTCAGGCTTTCAAGAAAGGGATGATACAAAGACATCAAGTCAGGAAAAGGAACGCAAGGCCCCAGAGGGCTCTGGGCCCCTCGTGGTCTGGCGTTCTCCATGAACAATGATCTTGTTTTGCTCAGACTCCGCCATCATTTGCTTCGAGGCCACAGTGATTGCAGAAAAACCTTTCCTGGTAGTGTGTAATCCCATACTCTGACAGTCTGCGCACTGGGATGGGAAATTCCTTGGAGTAGCCTCCAGACGTGGCCATATGGATCTGCTGTCCAGATGAGAAGACAGACTTAAAGAAGAACTTGTCACGTTAGTTGTGAGAGACAGATGGGAAGGAAAAACGTAAGGGCAGAACACCTGTTCAATAGGGTACAATTCTCCTAGTTTGTGCAGACATTGTGGTGCAAAAGGTTTCCAAAGCTCTTGGTAATTCTTAACGAGATTTAAAAAAATGAAAAAAAGAAAACGCAAACTATCATGTTACTACAGCATCTGGACTCGCATGTGTTAAAACGGTGGCGGCCACAGCAGTTAGCTGAATTCACAATCAGACGGAGATACCCAGTTTAGAGGGATCCGGCATTTTGGTCCCGGAAATTTCCTGGATGGCGGGGAATCTCTTCTCCACTGAATCCAGAAAAAGTGAGTAATTTAGAAACAAGTTATAGTAATTTTGGTCAAAATGATAAAGAACCTTGGGCAGCGTGAATCCCAGTCAGGTGCACAAGACTCACAAGAACACCTTCTCTTGAGGAAAATTCACTTTCAAATGTGCTGATTTTAAGCCAGGACTGACCCTACCTCCCAAACCGGAGCAGTGTCTACCATGTGAACCTCAGCCCAAGGCCCCACAGCAGTGACAGAGGGAGACAGGAGCTGAAGCAAGCCCTCAACCCACCTTCAAGGAAGGAGGAAAAAACTAAGACATCAGAGGATGCCATTCATGATAGCTTGGGTCAAAGAAAACATGAGCATCAAGTGGGCAGTTAGATGGGGAGGAAATGGCTGAAAGGCAGCAGCAGAGGTAAAAGAGAGGGCCTGGCCACCAATGCCTGACTTCATCACGTGCCGTGCTCAGAGAAGGAGCTACTTCAGTGGAACTGGAATAAGCAACAGCCACTGGAGGAGATAACGCTACCTGCTTTGTATAATGCCCTCAACCCAAAGCTTAAAAGAGAAGCTGCAGTTTATGCGCTATCAGGGAGGGAGCGACATCTGGGTGACCTCTCTCTATCCGCACTACCAGCAGAAGAACTCGGGGCAAAGTGAGGACCACAGAGCCTGTGGGAACAAGGCTGGGGAGGACATGGCGGGGCACATCTGATCCAGAGCTCCTCAGCCCTCAGTGGGAGGACGGGTCTCACCTTTCATTTCTCTGACTCAACGCACACCTGGGAACGGTCAGGAGGGAAGGTACTCAGCCCATGTAAGTTTCTGCCATCATGTAAAAATGCTACAGAATTTCAGACTGAAGTGAGACAATCTGACCCCAGCGTGCCCTGCTCTCAAGTAACTTTGGGTGATGCTAAATTCCTCTGGGCTGCTTCACCAAGGAAGCTGATGGAGCTAAAGATTCTTCTGCTTAGTTATCTTTGGAGAGGAAAAGGGGTCTGAGAGAATCTCATCTACTAGCTTCACACAGGCAGGGCGAGACTAAATCGTTAAGCGGCCAAAGGCCACTGAAAACACGGAGAGTGGAGGGGACCCATCAGACGATGCGCCAGGAGAAGCTCTGCCCCTACACGGACTCCTGGCTGAGGGCATGCATACACTGACATCCTCGCTGTGAGATTAACCCCTTTCTAATACCAGGACTAAGGCTCTAATTCACTGTGCTTCTGGAATGTGCTAGCAACAAACACAAGCCCAGGGCCCCCAGGAGAACACTTGCTGACCCCAAGGAAGCATGAAAGTGGTCTTTAAAAACTAAAGAGAAGATGACCAAGTTAGAACTTTCTGTAAGGTTCTCCCTTCCTCAAACTAGTAACTCACTTAATTTTACAGCTGGCAGTATGACAGTGCCTGCCGACGCCAAAATCCCCTTTCCTCAACTAAGGCATCAGCTGTAGAAGGAAAGCTGCAATGAGGAGTGCACGGGATGAAATGCTCTAAGCTTCCTCCTCTAGTGGGTAGGACGTGTGAACTTCTGGTCCCCAGGTAGAGCTGAAGGAAGAGCCGGGGGTCTGTGCAAACATCTGATGGTAAGGAGGACAGCAGAGGGGCAGGAGAAGATACCAGCCAGGGGAAGGCTCTTTGCTAGGCAGCATCTCCGCTGTTACTGAAAACCCCTCACATCTCTGACCAGCAAAATGTCTGACAACTCCAGCTTTGCGTGCATGTGGGTGAAACCGACTGGTGAATCCTCCGCGCCCTGGGAGAGCTGAGGTCCAGGGCGGAATGGAAAGGAGTCACCCTGCAGCTCTCCCCAGGAGAGGAAAGGCTGCCTTGTAGCTGGAGGGGGAGTCGGTGAGGGTCACATGGTCTGATAGTGCTGTCTTAGTCTTCCTTGGAGAAATTCATAGGTCAGGTTGTGCCGGGTAATAATCCCAACAATCTGATGAGGAAAGAAAAAAGACCCAAAATCATGTGTGAGGAATTCACAGATAAGTAGTATAAAATGACAACAGTCTGCTTGGCCAGAATAAACTGGGGAGAGGGAGCTGCTGCCACTGCTAATAACAATACCAATTACAGCATCGTGCACTTGTCCGGCACTTCACGGTTTCCAATATGCTTCCTCTCGTTCGATCCCTAGCCCTCTCAGATAATGAAATGCTTTTTTTATAATAACGATAACAGTCTAAAGGCATGCTCATTTCATGTTTTACATGACTGTGTGTGCACAACCTACATCTGACTGCTTACCATCTCAGGGAGGGGAGGAAAGGACAGAATTTGAAATTCAAAACTTTTAAAAATGTGAAAAAAATTGTTTTAACATGTAATTGGGGAAAAAATTAAATACATTAAAAAAATAAAAAGCCATTAAAAATACTCATTTCAGGAAGCATTCAGTTTCTAGGCAAAGATCAAAGATAAACCTGTAAGTCTTTTGGTCACCCCAGTAGATGCTTAATAAATATTTACCGAGTAGATTTCCAAGAGCTCAACTGGCAGTCAGGACTGACACACCCCTGCCCTACACCGGCCTCAGTCTAGCTGGTTTTTACTACCTGCCAGCTCGATCGCCCTCCTCCTATCAATGTACCCATGCAAGACCAGCTGCCAACCGATGGAAAGTCTCAGTATTAAGAAATCACGCCCATCGGCCAGCCAGCAACAAGGATAGTAGATGCATCTCTGAGAAACACAAGAGCATTGGAAAGGGAATTCTCCCATTCACACAGAGAAATCACTTCAGGTCAGGAGACAGACTCGGGACAAGGATTATAGTCAAAGAAGCTTGGGCCAATGAAGAGTAAGTGACAGGCTGAGTCTGAAAGAAGAAAAAATGAAGGCCCAAACCGTCCCTAGAGAACAGCAGACAAGACTAACTCAGGAATTCTCTCTTGCGGTCTCTGCTGGTGCGAAGCTGGGGCCACCTGCTGGCCACATGTGGCCCTCCCTGCCTCCAAGGCAACCTTCATACCCCAGTCAGACTTTGCTTCCATACACAGAGCTTGGCTCAGGTCACTGATCTGGCCAAGAAGCTTCAGTGGCCCCAGCTCCCTGCCCCACACGTGACATTCCATTTCCCGTCTCCAGGCCTGTCCTCATGCCTGGAACGCTGCTCCTCCTCACCGATGCCTCTCAGAATCCCTAGCTCAAGCACCACGTCTTGGCTCAGGCCTTTCCTGACTTGTCTCGCTTCTCTCTCAACACAATTACCTTGTATTTATTTTGTACAGACTTATTTATGTATGGCTATTTCACTGTCTTTATCTCCAGTGTCTAGCAAAATGCCTAGCCTTGAGTAAAAGCTTGATAAACACCTGCTGATGTATTGACCTCTCAATACACCTAGCAGTTTCCCACCTCCATGCCCATGCCCCAGCCCTGCCAAAAACCCTGCCAAAAGTCAGGAGTGACTTTTGAGCAAGTGAATGACAGGGACCATTGCAGCAGTAAAGAGCACACACAGCACAAGGTCACAGGAATCAGTCCTGTGTGTCCCCAGGCTCACTCTCCCCCGACCACAGGAATCCATTCCATCCTATCAAAAACTTGAGGCGTGGGCGGCATGTCACATCAAGGAGGAAGCCGTCGAGGCCCATCCCCTCTGCGGTGCACGGAGGTCTGTGACATGAAGCCCTGCTTGTAACAGGAGCTAATCTGAGTGCGTGTGTGCGATCTATGTGCCCAGACCTCAGGTCTGTGTCCTCTCAGACTGAGCTCGGGTCTCTGCACAGGGAACCTCAGCCTCAGAGGCAGAGCCTGAAGGAGGAACAGCCACGCTCCCAGCTGATGCACAAACACGTTTCTCTTGGCAATGGCCTTGCCCTCTCCCCAGCTTTTACACACCATCTGGTGCACTTATCATGGATTACTGTCCTCAATTACAGTTCCTCGGATACATCCTCTCCCCACAACGACAGGACCCATCACTTGAGCTTTAATCCATGCCAGCTGAATTACACAGATTCTGTTTGGAAGGTGCAGACACTGGCAGCCCAGGTGGGAGACTCTGAATGCACAAGCTCCCTCTCCCTTGCTCAGAACACACAAGTCACAAGGACTTACCTCCCCCACTGCGTTCACCACTGGCAAGTGTCTGAGGCCCATCGTTCTAAACAAATTGAAGACCTGTGAGACGTGAGTATTGGGCGAGACCGTAAACGGTGACGGGTTCATGTATGGGGTAACATCCTGAGGAGCCAAAGAGTTCACAGATTACCTCAGATGCATTCTACTACCCAGATGTAAGAGACAGGCAACAAAGGGGCTCAGCCCTGGAATCCCAAAGCCCTGGGCCAGAGTCCCACCTTTGGCACAGACAAGTTCTGTGATCACTTCTTAGCCCACTAAGGAGCTTAAAGACTAAGCTGCAGTGGAATTGCTGGTGCGCGTTAAGGCAGGGGAGGGATACCTTGGATCAAAGTCCAGATCTGGATCCCAACCCCACCCGAGACCCCAGCGTCAAGGCAGTCTCATCAGAGTGGGGTCCTCCCTCTGACGCCTGGCTCATCTCTCCTTCTCCAAGCTCCCCTCCTGAGTCCCGAAGGGACGCCCCTTCTTACCACAATCATCCGGGGGTTCAGCAGGGTCAAGTCCAGGTCGTGGATGTCCGGATAGCGGGGATAATCCTCAGCCATCTCGGCATAGGAGAGCCGAGGCTGGCTAGCACTCTGCAGTTCAAACCAGGACAGTGGTCCACAAAACAATCCCATCTAAAGAGGCTGATCCCACCTACTAGTTGGGGTTTGCCACGAGACCATCCCACTAACTTGAGATAATGAAGAAATCCTCCTCAGTGCATCATTATCAACTAATCTCCTTAAAACACTGCTTCCACCCCATGACTCCCTCGCTAAAGAATCGAAACCGATTCCCAGCACACATCAGAATGACTCCAAACTCATCTTGATGTAAAGGCCCCACGTGATATGGAGCATCTTACCCAACCTGTCTCTTACCACACTATGTGGCAACTAGGTACTGTGGGAAGAATGCTAGCTTTGGAGGACCAGGACTTGGGTTCAAATCCCGGCTCTGTCACTCCCTAACTCTCTGACCTTGCCAAGTCCCCTTTCCTCTACAGGTCTTACTTTCCTCATCTACAAAATGGTACCAGGAAGGGCCAGGGCTTGGGGGGAGACAAGCTGGCCTCAACAATGTCTCAGGTCCCTCCCAGCCTAAATCGATGCTTCTCCCCGAGACAGACCCTCCACCCTGGCTACCTCAGTTTGCTCAGTGCCTCACACTTGATGAAGTTAGACACTAACAGTCACTCTGCACTGTGAGAGAGACAAAACCTAGGAATCTGATCTGACGTCGTTAACATCTGTCTCCCCAACCTAATTCTGAACCTCCATGAGCTGAAGAGTAAAACAGTGGTGTGTACCCACAAGCCACACTCCAAACGCAAGTAACTTAGAAGTTATGTCTCTAAAGAAGGAGCCCTCTGGACCTAACTTCGTACAGCTCACATCCAAGGGTTTCTGTCAATACTTCACACTGGGCAATGTGTAGGAGGCCATTTTGGGGGAGGAAAATTGGCAAAGTGTAAAGTGATTTTTAAAACTTTTAAGAATCACTTAAAAGGGGGGGGGCAGCTAGGTGGCACAGTAGATAGAGCACCAGCCCTGAAGTCAGGAGGACCTGAGTTCAAATCTGGCCTCAGACCAAACGCTTGACACTTACTAGCTCTGTGACCCTGGGCAGGTCACTTAACCCCAACTGCCTAAAAGCAAAAAAAAAAAAAAAAGAATCACTTAAAAGTAAGGGAGTTACAGTGACTGGGCAAAAGAGCCTATGAACAACTTGCCCCACCTACTGGGGAAAAAACTTCCTACCAGAATTAATGTGACTTCTTTTGAAAAAGCAAACGTAAGGAAATTCCTTCATACTAGAAATCCAAGTACAGACACTGTCGCTAAAAAAGAACAAGCTTAACAGCGCAAGACCAGAGACCACCAAGAAGACCCAAAGACCAGGCCTGGAGGAAGTGCTGGCCTCACGGACCACTGCCGCTGTCTCTCTGCCCAGAGAAGAGACAACTCAACAGAGGAAGAAGCAATGACAAAAGCAGTCACTGATGACTCACCTCTTCTCTCCCTGGGGAGCATGCTCACATCTCCTCTCACGCCTACTTAGCCATCAGAAGCCCAGAATCTAAAATGAAGTAAGACTTACCGACTGACTTTCAGAATAGCAAACTCCTCGGACCAGCAACGTGACGAGCTGCGATCGAAGAATCAGGCCATGAAAGGTCAACGGGCGGAAGCGTTCCTCCATGGTCCAGTCTTCACTGGGGGACTGGTCAGGGTACAGGTTGGGGTACGGAGTGTATCTGTTACACAAAAACAAACAGAGCTGACGCTTTAGGGTTTACCCTAAGCAAGCCATTTCACAGTATCTGCAAAAAAACCATCTCTATGTCCCTGAAGACAACTCGTCACTTCATTTACAGAAGGAAGAGAGATGAAAGCGCCAGAAGACTAGAACAGATGAGCAGTTACAGCGGATGGGGAAGGAAGTTGGCTCCTCAGCCCCCTGAGCCTGCTGGGAATCTCACCTCCTCTCCAGCATCTGCTGCAAGAGGTCCTCCTTCTCTGCCGGCTCCTCTGTGGCTATGTGTTCATCACACATGTTACGAAGCTCACTTGATGGGTAGGATTTCATAGACTGGCTCCTCTTGCGCTGCTCACCAGCCCGGGTGAGAATGCTAGATTTCTAGGAGAGGGAGAAGAGGCTTACAAGGAGGACAGAGGGCTTTTATAAATCCAAGTGAGTGGAAGGGGGAACGGGAAGGGAAGGATTATAGACTGTCTCTCTTGGCCAAACTGCTAGAGTAAAGCCAACCTCCACAGCACTAAGCTTTGGATGAGAACTCAGCCTTGAAGAGACAGCCCTTTGGCGCCACCAGAGGAGAAAGAGAACTCTCTCTGTGGTGTTCTGGTATACAACTAGAGGCTTAGAAAATCAACCCTGCAGATAGAGAGTTGTTTATAGTAGTTAACAGTTTAGGAGGAGTAATAAAGGTTGGTTCTATTTTCTTTCCTATATGTATACTTTCTGGAGGCAAGGGTATTCCGATCTAATGTCGGGGTTGAAACAGTAATGATTTTGTACTTATTTTCACACTGCTACATGAAGACTGGCATAGAAAGTTTTCAGATCTTCAATGGCAGAAAGATTTCATGTCGATGAAATCAGATTGTTGAAGAACATAGACACATATAGTGTACAGACAACTTCCAACTCTGAATATAAATAATGACCAAAGTGGTCTGAGGGGCAAGTAACCTCATTTTCCTCTTCCCTTTCCCAACATAAATCTATTTCCCTTACCTTGAATTTTATGTTGTTACTGATCAACTGATTTCCCTTCATGAACTCCTTCTCGTTGCCCCGATTCTCCGTCACCACAGGGAACGCGTGGTGGACTGTGGTGCGCAGGATGCTGACCAGAGACTGGATGCGAGTATGGGGGTAGACGTATGTCAGGTTGGGCTCCATGATGTCGTTAGCTCTCAGCCTGGGAGGATGTAGACATCCAACCTCCTTGGAGAGGTTGGATTTCCAAAGGGAGACCTAGCCTTAACAGAACACTGAACTACCTTCCAGAGATGTGTTAATTTCAACATTCAAGGGGACCATCTTGCAGATGAGTATAAGCTCTGACTCGTATGTTAAAAATCTCACAGATTTACCATCTCTCCCAGCTCTATCTGCGAATTATCTGCTGGAGCTGTCCTAAAAATAAGTTTATATGCTAGATTACCAGTGTGTTACACAGTTCAATCTTTTTGCTAGTAATGCAGCATTTTAATAGGCATATGTGGAAATTCTGTAAAATGGAGTGGTTTCGTTTGTATGCATGTCATGTAATCCAAATTAAAAACCAGTTGCTCTCCTGCACACAGAGCCCCCAAATGATGTTTTCCTGAACTTTCCATAACACTTTGACAGGCTTCTGAGGACTGAAAACAAATCCCCAGACTCCATCAAGCTGGTGACTACTTTCTGTAGCCAAAACACTTTTTGTGCTTAGAAACTAAGCTAGACTGTCATCCTGTCAATAACATCTTTAGGCTAAAGTCCTAGTAGTAGGATCTCTCAATCAAAGAAGATGAAGTTTTGTAGTTTTTGGTTGTCGCCACATTATTTTCCTCCAAAGAACAGAACAATTCACAGCTCCACCAGTAGTCTAACATTATGTTTTGTTTCTCCACAGGCCTAGCAACACTGAATTTTATCATTTTTAGTTCTTAGCCAACCTAACAGGCAAAAGATGGTCATTCAAAATTGTCTTCATTTTAATTTCTCTGATTATAAGAAAGTTTGAACAATTTTTCAAATTGCTGAATTTCCTCTTTTAAGAGCTGCCTATTTATATTATTTGACCACTTATCTATTGGGGAAGGGATGTTGTTAAGTCTTATAAATTTGTGTCAATTCCTCATTGGTTTTAAATGTCATTTTTATCAGACATATTTATGGCAAAACATTTACGCAATTGTTTTCTTTCTCTTTTATTTTAGAAGGATTGCTTTTTGTTGGGCATAAATTTATTACTTTGCTTCCTGTAACTTCTGTTTATTGAATATCCTCCTCTTCTCCAGAACTTGTATAGGTAAAATCATTCCACTTTATAATTTATCTTTTTATGTGTCTAAAAGAGTCACCATTTTTTCCCCCAAGGCAATTGGGGTTAAGTGACTTACCCAGGGTCACTCAGCTAGTAAGTGTCAAGTGTTTGGTCTGAGGCCAAATTTGAACTCAGGTCCTCCTGACTTCAGGGCCGGTGCTCTATCCATGAGCCATCATTTTTATTTTTATGTGTGGCAATCGGGGTTAAATGACTTGCCCAAGGTCACACAGCTAGCACGTGTCAAGTGTTTGGTCTGAGGTCAGATCTGAACTCAGGTCTTCCTGACTTCAGGGTTACTGCTCTATCCACTGCACCATCTAGCTTCCCCGAGCCATCATTTTTAACTAAGGAGACACCAAGTCTGAACAATCATGGTTGGGAAATTTTTAGTGTTGCTATACAAGCCTAATAATGCACTGGACTATCGAAGCTCCTGTGCTGTCTTTGTACTGTGGCTTTTTTACAACTCATTTTTCTAGTCCATTTTTAGTGGATTCTAAACCCAGAAGTCTTCCCCATATCCCCAAATGTTATTCTGTTCCCAGCCCTTTGACCTGAAGTATTTTCTACTCGGAAACTTTGGAATAAGATGGAACCACCGCCTCACTTGTCCATTTCCACTTGCGTCTCCCACTCGAGAAGCGGCACCCCCCGAAGTCCCACATGGATGTCGTAAATGCCTTTGTTGAAGAAGTCCCCAGTCCACTTGGCCACCTGCAACACAAAACGAGGACCTGAGAGAATCCAGGCAGAAGGTAAACTGACCCGTTAACTGGGGAGGGGATAGGAGGCATTTACCATCAAGGTGATCATAATGGGAAGCCCGTAAGTGATCTCGTTGGTGGACTCTATCAGGATGACGGTAAGGCTGATGGTCATTCGCACCACACCACCCAGGAAAGCTGCGGCACCAATCAAGGCAAAGGTCCCTGAATAGATGTGGCCCAATCCAATGTAGCTAGTAAGGAATGAGGTCAAACACAGGAATTAGGATTGCACGGTTGCTAGGCTGGGGAGCAGGGGAAGAAATACATTCCGTAACACGTGCATGCATATGCACACAGGGCACCTTTTCAGAACGTTGGCAACTAAGCGTCCAAAAGCAGCTCCACAGAGCAGGGAGGGCACGAAGAGGCCGCTTGGAACCGACATGCCATAGGTCCAGCATGAGAGTAAGAAGTAGAGGATGAAGAACAAGGCCAGCGTGACGGGGCTGAAAGTCCCTGTATGAGCAAAGAGCAGCCCAGGTCACACAGGCAAGGGCGCACACAACCACCTCACGTCATCTCCTCTCACCGCCTCAAGGCCCCAAACCCAGAACCTTATCCTGGTGAGTTCACAAGTCCTGCCATTGCTTAGAATCCCTAGGGCAGGCTCAGCACCATCCTCCCATGGTGCTTGGTGCTTCCCATGGAAAAGGCTCATCAGCCTGGGGTGGGAAGGAATGCTGGGCTGGACTGGACACAGGAGGGTGGTGGGGCCAGCAAGGCTCCATCTTTTGGAACTCACCATCTTGGTGAAAGAGCTGCAGGATGGCAGATTCTTGGGGGTTGAAGAATAGCGTTGCCATGTCATTGTAGGTCTCATTGGGGCAAAAAAAAGTTTTGATGCTTGCATTCACATCTTCTGAAGTAACCTGATGATTGGGAACCAAACAGTTGTTAGATGGCCAGATAACCAAGGCATGCTACGAGCCTTCTCACTGGATGTTGTCCGTAGAGAAAGTAGGGCCTGGAAGCTCTGACTACAAATACAGTGGGCAGCAAAATATGAAGCCAGGTGCTAGAAAGCAAGCAATTCCAATGTTGAATTACAGGGAATGCTTATGAAAATGAGAAAAACAAGCAATAAAAATAACGGAGGCTATCTCTGTACCTATATGCTCACATGAAGTGCACTGACTCAAATACCCAGTTGTTCTGGTGGGTTCATCTTTTGGTGGTCCCCAATCAACCCTGTGTGTTAAGGGCCCATCTAACTCTGGAAGGATGGATGGGACACAGGAGAGAAAAAGAGCTTGGACTTGTATGAGGACAACTTAAATATGCAAACAAGGTTGGGGCACATTCTGACTCAAAGGAGCTACTTTAGTTTCAGGGAAAAGGCTTCTGCCCTATTGTTACTCAGAAGAAATACCGTGTTTCTGGATTCTCCTGCCCACGCTTCTAGCTTTTGTTTACCTCTTTTGAAAATCCAAGTGAGTGGGTTCCCAGTGCATTCACACTGCTCTTTAATCAGCTTCCCTTTCCCTCCTCACTGGAATTAATTCTCTACCTTCAAAATTTCACAACTGAGAGCTCTCTCCCTCCTTCTTCCCTCAACTTTCCTGGGCTGACTTCCCCCCTACAGAACTTTAGCCAATGGGAACTTAGCTGTCCTTCCCCTGGTTAGGGGAAGTCTTTGAAATCTGCTCTCTTGGGTGCACTGTTTTCTTTCCCTTCCCTATCCCAAGTGCTAAGATGGAGCATTCACAGAGCCCCCAATATTTCCACCCCAACAATCAGTTCCTCCCTGAATAATGTTCTGATGCATTCCAGTAGTTCACTGGGGGTAATCACAGAGCTACATTGAAGGGACTGACAGAAAAAAGGTCCCGAAGGACTTATGTGACCTTCCAGCCAGTTCCAAGGGCTCTATGGGTAGAGAGGGAAAGAGAAGGAAGCAGATTCATGACGCTGGGGCTAGAACTCCACCATTTTCCATTAAGCTACCATATACCTACTGACCAAAGATTTGGTTGTTAAGCCAGGTTGGCAGAGGATTAAGAACAAAATGTGAGGGAATATATCTCCTCAGGGATGAGTCCTAGACATCATGGGGTATTTAGGACACCACAGAGAGGCAATTAGGCTGAACCATGATGAGAGAGATAAGCTTATTACAGGCAGAATTGGGAACTAATCTTTCAGAATGGGAAGGAGAATACCTCGAGCTACAAACATCAAAAGAATGAGGGGAACCTCTGAGAAGAGCCAAAAAAATTATAAAAGCTCTGGGGTCCTTGACTGGAGAGCTAAGCCGGGCCTCAAGGGAGAAGCGGAAGAAAGACGCTCACTTGGGAACCGCTACAGGCGTGTTCTGGACTCAGACGACAGGAATAGAAAGGGGCCTTCAGTGTTTTCTCCTCTTCCTTCTAGGATATCCAACCCAATTCACCAGAATAGGAAAGCAGACTAGAATTCTGGTGGGCATTCTCTAATAAGGGCTGCGCCTGGATGAGGCTTCCTGTGAGGGTTCTCTGTGTAAGCCTGAGAGCCCCTCTTAGTTCCAGGCAAAGGCATGGCAGAGGCTTGCACATTCTGCCCATATGTACGTATGGGGACCTTGTGTCACGGGACAGAGTGTACCTGTGGCTGGAATGAGTCATTACCACTCTGACTTGCAGAGGATATTTGCCGGCACTCTCCCAAAATCATGGAAGCAACAAATACCACAACCGTAGTCATCAGGGATACCAACAGACTTTCCAAGACTCTATGAACAAAACACAAATCAGATCTTGTTTTAAAAAAGAGCTCTTAAAAAAAAAAACAACCTGTCTCTCAGAAAATCCTTCTCTATAAAACCTCCCCCCACCCCACCCCAACCCCTTTAAACAGCATTTGCAACATCCTCCAGTCAAGGCACCTGCTTCCTGCGCTCAGACTGGGGGAAGGGCAGTGGGCAGCGGCTCCTCAACTGCACACAGCCATAGAGCCTGCTGCCCAGATCTTGGGGATGAGGGGAGAGCCCTTTACCCCTCAAGGTCAGCAGAGCCCCACAGAAGGGAGCCCTCTTGGGCAGGACCCAAAGGACACGCTGACCTCTCCTAAGCTCCCAAACCTGGGGCTCTGCTCTGCTGACTGGCACCCAGGATGGCAGCCCTGTGGCTGATGCTGTCTAGACTGGATTATCCAATTTGGGGCATCGAGGGCATGTTCCCAGGAGCTCCCGGCCCTCTCTCCTACAAAGTTAAAAGAGCCATGCTGCGCAGGGAGGAGGAGGCAGCAACACAGATACCTGACAAGCTTAGGTTTCGGGTGCACGTTTCGCATACGGTACTTTGCAAGCCTCTTGTTCAGACAGTTGAATGTGGCTCCAAGGAGGCCCCCAATGACCCCCATCACGATGAAGAAACCCAAATCCACAGCTGTCCAGAGGTGACATTTTTTATCAGAGTCAGAGCACTGAGAGAAGAAGGGAGAGGGAGAGAGGGAGGGAGAGAAAACGAGCGTGCAGTGAACACAAAGGAGAACAGAAGAGAGGAAGACAGCCAAGAGCAGATGCAAGCCACACCCTTCTAACAGAGCCGACAAGATGCAAGGAAGTGATTGCCACGCACACCCCCATACCAGACAGACACCCACCACCCCAGGAAGCTTCTGGCAGCCCTCGTGGGCCCACCCCGGAGCAGCCGGCCTACCCTTCCCTCCCCAGAGGAAGAGGGACACAGCCACCACCAGCCTGGGCCTGTCCCCTAGACCTTCTGCTGATCTGGGCCCGCTAGGTCCAGTGGATGCTGCCATCCTATATAGCGCCATGCCACTGCTGTCTCCTCCCCCTTCTGCCTGCTGAAGGTCTGGCCAAAACCCAGCAGGAAAGGACTCAAAGAAAGCCCTCAAATTGTCTAACTCCCCGGTCTCTCCAGAGACCTCCTTCTATCCACTGCTATTCTACTCAGATTCATTCCTCAATGGTTAACGTACTCCCACCCCATTACGCTCTCCCATGCCAGGGATACCGAACCCCCAGCTGCCAAAAGACAAACCTTTTTCCTTATCCCCACTGTCCACTCCCTTCTCATCCACCTACCCCACAATGTCTGTCTCCTTCACTCCTGTCTTCCATAATGAGGTGGCCCTTCTTGCCAAGGCAAACTCCTTTAGATATACAAGGGATTGTACCCCATCTCCTCCAGCAGACTGCCCCCTCCATCATCCCCATCTCTCCCTCCTCTTCAGTCTCTCCCTGTCTGCTGGCTGCTTCCCAGCTGCCTACAAACATATCCACATCTCCCCAGCCTTGAAAATCCTTACTTTGTCCAACCATTCTCACTAGCTTTCATTCCCTCCTTCTCCTCCCATTCGTGGCTATGCTCCTCAAGAAGGCCGTCTGCGATAGCTGCCCCTACCTCCTTCTCCCTCTCTTCTTAACTCTGCAGTCTGGCTTCTGATGCCATCACTTAACAGAAACTGTTCTCTCCAAAGTAACCCGAGGTCTCTTCAATAGCCAGATCCCCTCTTCTCCATCCTCCTCCTTCTGCCCTCCCTGCAACCTCTGACACAGTGCATCACGCTCTTCTCTGGGTGTACAGGACACTCCCCTCTCCTGGACTGCTCCTCAGTCTCTTTTGCTGGATCTTCACCCAGATCATTCCCCGCTACTCATGGGTGCCTCTCAGAGCTCTGTCCTGGGCCCTCTTCTCTTCTCCCTCTATCCTACTTCACTTGGTCTTCTCATCATGGATTTAATGACCATCTTTATACTATGATTCTCAAATCTACTTATCTAGCCCTCACCTCTCTGCTGACCTCCAGTCTCCCATCTCCCACTGCCTAGTGGACATCTTGAAGCGGATATCCCATAGATCGAATAAGCTCAACATGTCCAAAACTGAACTCAGGACCTCTCCCCCCACATCTCCCTAACCCTCTCCTCTTTCACATTTACCTGTGACTGTGGAGGGCACCACCATCCTGCCAGTCTCTCAGCTCATAACCTAGGGTCATCCCTGACTCCTCACTCTCTCTCATCCCCCATACCAATCTGTTGTCAAGGCCTGCCAATTTTACCTTTGTACATCTTTCCTACAGGGCCCCATCTCTCTTCTGACATCGTCCCCATCACCTGGACCATTAGCAGTCTGCTTGGTGGTCTGCCTGCCACAAGTCCCTCTCCACTCCAGTCCAGCCAAGAGCAGCTCTGAGGGTTAGGGAGATGTGTAGTACAGATAATGGTGACTATTACCTACTGACACTCAGGACAGTCTCTCTTTTATTTTTTTACTCCCAATGAATCCAGAGCCTGAGACTCTCTCAACTCTTGCCTTCACAGCAGGGGATTTCAACATACATACTGACATCCCCTCCAGTACCAAAACTTCCCAGTCCTGTCTACTCAGCCTTCCACTCGACTTCAGCCAAACACAAGAACTCTGATGTTGCCATCGCCTACCAGCATCCCATTTCCATGTTCTTGTGCTCTACTTTTCCTCTCTTTGATCAGTCTTTGAGGAGTCTACCTTTCCCGTTCCCTTACAACTCCTAACTCAGTCAATCCTAATTATCTGTGACCTCGAATCCCTCCATTCTTTCTGAGACTACACTCTCCTCCTCAATTTCAATCTCTGGGGAAACAGCTCAAACTCTACTGGCCACTGTTCAATCTTTCATTGCCTTGTCTTATGGCTGATCGTACTTTGCCAACCTCCTACCATTAGCTTCCTTTGTACGATACGTATCCAAAGGGGCTGCTGAATTCAGCCAGGGAAGCCATGAAACTATGCTGATTAGGTCCACTAGAAATTTCTATTAATGTCAAATCAGCCCTCCCTGAAGCAATCCATGGACTTCTCCCTGACTGCTATCTATCCCGCCCTCTGGCTGTTCTACACTTTCTCCTCCCTCCTCAAGCCTTCTGCAATCCATTTCCTCACCAACCCTCTAAGCTCAGGACTTGGAAGCTGTACATCACCAAGAGCTGTTTCCTTCCATCTCACATAACCCAACTATTCTCCCCACCACAGCCTCCTTCACTCTAGTTGCAGATGAAGAGGCGGTCCTTGCTTGTCAAGGCCAACTCTTTCATGCACACCCTTGGTCCTCTCCCCCTACCCTGGTCATCTAGACCAGCTGCCTCCACTTGCTTCTAAACCCTCTGAAATACAGCTTCTGATCTCATCATTCCATTGAAACTGCCCTTTCCCAAGTTCCCAATGATCTCTTGATTGCCAAATGTAATGGCCTTTTCCCAATCCTCGTCTTTCTTCAATTTCTGCACCATTTGCCTCTGTTCATTGCCTTCTCGTCTTAGACACCCTTTCCTCTCTCTGCTTTCACGACACTGCACCCTCCTGGCCCTCCTCCTCCTCCTCCTCCTACCCCTCCTCCTCAGCCCCTTTGCTGAGTCTTCATTGACACCACTCCCACTAATCATGGGCATTCCCCAGGGTTCTGTTCTGGGCCCTCTTCTCTACACTATCTCATGTGGTCATCTCATCAGCTCCCAATTGTTCAATTATGAGCTCTAGGTAGAAGATTCTTAGAATTCAGTATCTGACCTGAGTTTCTCCCCTAAGCTCCAGTCCCACACGACCACGTGCCAAGTGGACATTACAGAGGCATCTCAAACTTGACACACCCAACACAAAACTTGTTACCTGTTCCCCAAACTCTCTGCTCCTCTGAATTCCGTCACCCAGGCTCACAATTTCTGTGTCACTCACGCCCACACGCATTTGGTCCCTAAGTCATCTTTTTGCCCTCACAAAGTCTCTGGTGCATGTCCTCTCCTCTCAGCCCCACAGCCACCTCCCTAGTTCAGGCCCTCATCACCTTTCACCTGAACGTGACAATGGCCCTCTACTTCATCCCCTTGTCTCCATCTCTTCCCTCCAATCCACCCTCTATTTGGCTGACAAAGGGATTTTCTAAAGCATAGGTCTGACTACTTTACCCCTCTGTGGCTCCTGATTACCTCTGGTATCAATTATAAAGTCCTCTGCTTAGCACATAAAGCTCTTTGCCAGCTGGCTCCTTCCAACTGTCCAGTCTTCTGACACTCACTCCCTTCCACATGCTCTGCGACCTAGCACACCTATGACCTATGTCGCTCCTCCAGCACAACACCTGGCCCCTCTCCTCTCTATGCCTTTGAACCTGCTGCCTCCCAAGCCCTGACTGCTCGCTTTCCTAGTCCTTACTGCCTAGAATCCCTGGCTGTCTTCAGACTCTGCTCAAATTCCACCTTTTGCAGGCCTTTCCCGGTTCTCCGGGTAGTAAAGCCTTCCTCTCGAAGACTGCTTTCCATTTAATCAGCATGAATCTTGAACATAATGATTTCTCTACAAGTTGTCACCCCCGTTAGAACAGAAACTCCCTAAGGGCAGAGCCCACTTCTGCCCTTTGTACCCCGTGTTCAGCACACAACAGCACTTAATAAATGAAGCTGACTGGCTAGGAAGAAAGACGACTTTCCGCTGCTCTGAAGGGCAGAACTAGGGCTCTCTGATGGTCTTTCTGACCCCTGCTCTTTGGCACAAGCATTAACGCTGATTTTCAGGGAACAAAGATAAAAAGTCGGCAGTCGGGACGACACTAACCTTGAACTCCCCAAAATTCAGCAACCCGGGGAGCTGGAAGGAACCCCAACTTCCAAACTGGATTCCAGAGCGAAAGAAGTTCAGGGTGAACGTGGCAGCCATGGAACAAAAGAGCTGAAGAGAGAAGAAAGAAGAGAGGAGAGCTGAGAAGTGACGAGCTCGCCTTCCTGAGAGACGTTTCCTCCCGGAGGCCAGGGGAGGAAGGAGAAGCAGAATCTGTGGCACATATTACATTCAGCACGGCCGGGTCACGGATGAGAACCCCAAACTCAGGGGCTAGGAGCAGAAGCGTGCTAATGGAAAAAGCCCCGAGTTCTAGCTGTGCAGAGATGACTGTTAACTGGGTACCCAGCAGAGGGGAGTCTTCCTCAGACCCAGGGGGCACCTGAAGTCTCTCCAGGCCTGAGAGTCCACGGTCCTGGCCGGGAGACAACCTTACTGGCAATGCAGTAGCTGCATTTATGGGGGTCTAGCTCAGATCCAACCTCTCTAACTCACAGGGTTGTTGGGAAGACAAAATAAGAGAAGGGATTTCTGTAAAGTGCTTTGAAATGACATTTTGTGGGCCGATACCTGAGGCTGTGAGTGCCTATGCTAAGGGCAGAAGCTGGTCCCTGATTCCCTCTTATTCATCTCTCTAGTCTCCCCGGAGCTCCAGGGGTCAAGTACAGAACAAAGAGTGGGGAATTCAATTCTCTGTAATAACCACACTCCTGCCAGGAGGGGGTTTCAGTTTTAAACTCAAACCCAGGAGATCAAGTAAGTATTCTCTTGGCTGGTAAGGCCTCCAGCCAGTTCACACAGTATCCCACACTTCAAAGCCTCTTTTTACCACTTTCCAAGTGAGTCCCTGGTTCCAGAAGGATGACCCCTCTTCCAAGCTGAAGAGGGTGCCCCCAATGGGGGCCCCAAAAGCTGCGGCAACACCTGCAGCTGCACCTGCTGACACGAAATCTCGCTTGTCTCTAAGTGGGAGAGGAAAGGAAAAAATGTAATGCCCTGAGATGCTCAGCATGGGAAAGCCGATGTTCCATCACATTCCCCTGAGCTAACATGAGGCAGATTTTATCTCACACCCGAGACGGCAAGTAGGGATTCTGAGGTGGGGATTCCTATGCATGTAAAACTGCCTGAAGGTAAGGGTTCCTGGCACACAGGAGACTTTTTACCCATCCGGAAGTTCCCTTCTTATAGAAGAGCTCCCTAGCAGAGCAAAATCATTCTACGAACCTAAATGTTCAAATCATTTCTCATCAACTGACACCTCAGGACACATATTAGAGGTGTTCTGTAATCAAAAGCCCAACCACTTTCTCACATCTGCCTTTCCAAAAACCTCCGCATCAATCTTCACTAATGCAGATGTCAAAATCCTGGCTATTTCCAGAGAAAGAGCTGAATAAATGCACGCTAAGTATGGAGAGAACAAAGAACACATCTCTGGACCATCAGAAAGACTCTGTGTGTTTGTGTATGACAATTATCTATAGCAGAGGTGTTGAACACGATAAGGCCTGCAACACGAACCCAATTAAAATGTTCACTGGAAATATTTAACAAAATAAGTACACAACAAAACACACAAAAATATGCAATAAAACAAAATAAATAGACAATAAAAAATAAAACACGCTACATTTTAAAATGAAGTCAACAGGCAGTCTGTAGGGATCCTACTGCACTATCTGGTGGTCCCCATTTCTATCTGAGTTTGATCCCCCCCATCTATAGGCTATCTTAAACTCTGGATCATTTTTCTCCCCTGCTGCCCTCCATGCTTTTCAGCTTGATATCATGTTATAAATTTAAGCATTCTGTTTCCTGTCTCTAGAAGAGCTATTTAGAAGGTAATTCCCATTCCCTTCATACCTGTCACTTCGAAAATAGGGGAAGTTAAACTGGATTTTCCGCAAAGAGATGCTCTGGAACTGAAAATAGGAGAAAACAAATTCAGAGTGGGGAATTCAAGGGCCTAAAAATATATGTTATAGCCAAATGCCCCAGGAATCACTCTCGCACTCAGTCTCTTTTCCTATGTACAACTATACAGGATGCAGTAAGTATAAATTCCAAGTAACCTGGTGAAAAGAAAACATTTGCTTTAGGAGGCATTGGAGGCAGTGCCCTGACTTCTGGGGCCATCTTCCCGGGGGGTAGAGGGGTCTCAGGGACCACATGGTGCTCATTTTTGTATTTCCCTTTCCTAGTGGCTCAATTCGTTTTCGTTGCTGGTGAACAGATTAACTTTCCTTGTGGCTGGGGGTGTAGGAGATTAATAACTGGGCCGTCAAACAATCAACTCCACTATGCTGTAGGGAAGAATTCAAAACAGCTGCCCCAAGACAGAAGCAGCTCCTCTTAGGGGATTTGGCTGCCAGGAGGCCACATTTTTCACTCCATTCATCAAACTGCTCTGCTGTCCTCCGATCTCAGAACTAAGGCCCTCTGTTCCCTTTTTGCTCATTAACAGGATGGATCTGACTGGTGGTGGCTCTTTCCTGGGCTGCTGAGGCAGCAGTTTACCAAAGAATGCACTCTAAGAGAAAGAAGTCCTTTACTCCCACTGTCATCAGGGAGTCAGAGTGCCCACCTCTCAATATTTGAATTAGTCTAGAAAGTATGGCTCAAAACAATTGAAGGTTTCTCAAGCCAGGCTAATTCGGAGATAACCCCCTGTCCTAAAAAAAAACAGCCCTAAATCAATAATTCCCATCTGCTGTGTAGTCCTAGCTCCAGCAGCGAGTTTAACAAAAGGTTCCATGAAACCAAGATGAAACTAAAATCACGCCCCCACAAGGCGCCTAGCCCTGACTCGAGGGACTGCTGAGTTCGCTTTCACCTAACAGAACTGAGCCTCCCATGCCACATGTTCTCAGGTTTTGAAACTTAGCAAGACTTCTTGGTCCAAGTGACCCACCATTCTGAGAGAAAGGAAAGCTTCTAACTTCAGTGTCTTTTCAATCTCACTTAATGTTCTGGAACAAGAAACCCATCTTACTCAACCCAGGCTGATGCCAGGAAATTCAAATTCTGTGGGAAAGTGTCCACAGAATTTTCCAAACTAATCAGGGATGATGAATTTCTTTCCCTTTTCTGGGAAGTATGATGTGCATGTACACATCTGGAGTCCTTCCCGTTACCTCCTGGATTCTCTCTTCTGTTCTGTCTCTGACAAACAGGGAGCCCTCCTCATCGAGGAAGACTTGCTACTTGTGTCCTTTTCGCTTTTCTTCTGGGATTTTGCCCCTTCTATCATCTCTGCTCCTTTCCCAACCTTCAATCTCTGGCTAGCTTCCAAGACGCCTACAAATACGCCTGAGTTTCCCCTACTCTCCCCTCTCTTCCCCCTTTCACAAACTCCCAGAAGAAAGCACTCTACATCCATCGTCTCCATTTCTCCATCTCACTCACTTCTCCACCCTCTACGGCCTGCCTTTCAACCTTACCATTCAACTGATACTGCTCTCTCCAATGTTACCAAGGACTTTCTTATTACTGAATCTGAGGGTCTTTTCTCAGCCCTCATTCTTGTTGACTTCTCCGCAGCACCTGACACTACTGACTACCCCTCCCAGATGAGGTGCTACTTTCTCCTGAGTTTTCTACCATCTGGCTACTCTTAAGTCTCCTTTAAAGGATCATCACTCATGTCATGCCCGCTAACTAAGGGTGTCCACCAAGGGTGCCTATCCATCTTCTTTTCTCTCTCTACAACTTACGTCTCAGTAATTTCATCAGTTCCACCTACTGAATTATCCCTGTTGAGATGGCTTCCAGATCTACAGATCAAGAGCCATCCCTCCACTGAGCTCCACTCCTCCACTCCTAACGCCTGTTGGACAGCTCCAAAAGGCTGTCCCATAGGCAGCTGAACAAACTTCCCTCCTTCACCCAGGGAGGCAGCCCTTGAGTTGTCCCTGCCTCTCCTTTACTACCCCTCACTGCCTGTGCCCAATCACTTTCCACATCTGGGTGATCCTTCACCCATAACATCCTTCTCTTTTGACTCTTAAATCCACCACCATCTTTTGGATGCCTACCACCACGAACCCAGTTAATTGCAGTAGCCTCCTAATTGGATTGACAACATCCAATCTCTCCCCAATGTCCCTAAAGAACAAGGCTGGCCATGTCACTTGCCTGTTAAAAACCATCAGGGGTTCCCTTGTCTCTAGAATAAAATACAGACTCCACAAATTGGCATTCAACACCTTTCATAAGCTGGCTCTAGCCTTCTTCTGCAGGCTTAATTCAAGTTATTCCCCATCATAACAACATGAGAAGTCATCAAGCTCAGCATTCCATTTGCTGACTCCACACACTTGCAGGGATTTGTTCCTATCCCCAGGTCTAGAACATCCTAGAATTCCCAACCTCCCTCCTAGCTTAGCCCTCTGCCACCTTCCTTTCCTGATGCCATGGTTTTAGTGTTTTCTCTCTCTCTCTCTCTCCCTCTTTCTTCATCCACCCTCCTCTCTCCCCTCTCTTCCCCTTTTCCCTTTTCTCTCCCCTCTCTCTTCTTCTTCCTCTCTCCTCTCTTCCTCTTCTCCCCTCTCCTCTCCCTCTCTCTCCTTCCCTCCCTGCTTCCTCCTTCCTCTTCTTTCTCCCCCTTCTTCTCCCTCTCTCTTTCCTCTCTCTCCCCTCAAATTGTCCCTAGATGCTTTTCTCTTCACAAGCTGTATCCCCCAGTAGAATATAAGCTCCTTTCCAAGGCTAGAGCTGGCTTCTAGTTTTGTGCCTATTCTTAATGAGCCCTTAATAAATGATTGTTCGATTGGATTAAGGCTGGATCCTGCCTGCCCTTCCAGCTTGATTTCACAAGAATCCCTCACAAATTATGACAAAAGGCTCTTGGGAAAATCATTACTTACCTGAGGGAGTCCAGCCCCCACAACTGCACCACTGTGGATCATGGGACCTTCCTTCCCTACAAAGAGTCCTAAGAATAAGTTTAAAAAGATGGGCAAATTATTAAGAGACTGAAGGAAGTAGTGCCATGAGAAACAGTTAACAGTGACCATTATAAGGCTTTACAAAGGAACTGTGAAATGATTCACAAAAAGTGTTACTTAAAGCCACACTGTGGGGTTCTGGAGGAAATCTCCATTATGCCACAAATGCCTGAAGCAGCCCTGAAAATGAGCCCGACAGGAGGACAGTCAGCCACTTAAAATACTGATGGGAAACTCAAGAATTCTCAGTATGGTTTATCTACAGTAACACCATGCCATCAGAATGAATCATAGTGAAATTTGTGGATTTGCAGCAGTGAAACTCTCTTGACCTAAGTCTAATATATATAAATCTCTCTATCTATGTTTAACAATTACCATCTTGTTCTTCTCTCTGACACCACAAGGACAAGATAAAAACAACAAGAAAACCCTCCTCACCTCCAGCCACACTGAAAAGCACTCCCAAAACCTTGCACGCCAGGGTTCGGAGACGGATGATGCCCGGCACTTTCACACCATTCAGGTAGCATTTGATCTCTGGAATCCCAGAACCGGCTGCCACAGGCTGCCAAGACAATGGGAGCACTGAAATTCGTTTCCCTGTCAGGCTATGGAACATGATGACAACACAGTACGAGGCACAGTAACAGCAGTCCACATCTGGGCAGGTTTCAGGCTAGCAAAGTGCTTCCCTCTATGACCTCACCAAAGCTATGAGATCTGGGAAGCTTGCAAAGGAGCCCTCCTCCCTCTCCAGGCTCCTTCCTGACTTGCCACACAAGGCTCCTCACCCTGGAAGTTCCTGCTGCCCCTGGAATTCTCACCCCGAAAATACACTCGGCCTCTGTGGTCCCTTTCTCAGACTGAATGGGCTTTGTGACCCAGGTAGGGCTGAGACGACGGATTTCAGGGGCAGAGAATTTCCATTTTAAGGATGGAGGGGGCACCCTGCCCAGGCCACCCAAGTCTTCATTTCTCTCCCGACTTTCTCTACTACTGTCCTCCAGCCCCCTCCCAATTTGTCAGCTTTCTTCCACGGTCTGCCTTCCCCTATTAGAAGCTAAGCTCCTTGAGGGCAGGGATTTTCTTTCGGCTTGTCTTCCTAATCCCAGCACTAAGCCTGGTACCAGGAACATAGTAAGTGCTTATATGCTTAATGCCATCAGCCTTTTAAACAAAGGCTCACTCACCTCCAAGTCAATTCATAAAGTTTCAAGGGAAATTCCCTCATTTCCCACCTGCAGCTCAGCTAAGTTTCCACTCCCCAGATACCCCAAAGTCCTCCCTCCAGCTCCCTCTCCAACCTCCTTTTGTGTGCATCTTCTCCCCTTAGACAGTAAGCTTCCCGAGGGCAGGGACTGTCTTTTTTTTTTTATTTGTATCCCCATTAATAAGCACAGTGCCTGGCACATAGCAGGCACTTCATAAATGTTTATGGAACCTGACTGAAAAACTCCCCCAATGAAAGCTCCCACAAGCAAGATGCCTTCTTACCTCGATCAGGACAAGCAGACTGGCTAAGAAGACAAACGTCAGGTTAAAGCCCAGAAGTTCAAGGAGGGAGAGGGCGAGGCATCCCTTCTCGCTGCATTCCTCCACCGCTTTTGGTCTGTGTCAAGGAAGCTCTCACTGCCCACTAAGGGCATGCCGGTGCACAGTGGCAGCAGGGCCCCGCACTCCCCATCCGGCTCACCCCTGATGGAGATGGCATTTGATGCTCACCAGATCTAAGAAAATGTGTTAAATTAGGAAGCCTCTCAGCTCTTTACAGGCGGCTTTGAGACCCAGGCAGCGCCAAGACGACATATTTCAGGGGTAGGTAAGAACACTAATACTAAGCTAACAGAAATCAACACCTTTCTCTTCGTCATGAATTTAAGAAGCAGAACTCACACCAAACAGGGCCGTGGCTCATCTACAAAGGGGATACTGCCATCCGACTGCTCTGCTGAACAACAGGCAACAGAAGAGGTTTTGTTTTTTAAAAGGGGTGGGGAAAGCCCTCCGAGGAGGAGAGAGCCAAAGATCAAAGCAGCAAAGGAACGATTCAGGAAGGTCTGACAGCCACAGAAGAGTGACAATTCTGGAAGAGAATCTGTCCTCCGCACCAGGCCCCAGACTGGGTCTTTAAGCCCAGGGCCACAGACTGCCTTAGGAATAAAAGCTGATTGAAGGCATCTTTGTCAATCACAGAACCTATTCTGTGGACGTGTTCCAGGACAGCTCAGTTATCCTTTAAAAAACTCATGCTTCCAACTCCAAGGGATCCGTGATGAAAAATGCTATCCCCTTTCAGAGAAAAAATGGATGGGCTCGCAGTGCAGAAGGAAGCAGACTCTTTTGACTTGCTTTTATTTTTCTTGGTTGATTGTGTGTGTGTGTGTGTGTGTGTGTGTGTGTGTGTGTGTGTGTGTGCTGCAACATGGCTAAAAGGGAAATATGTTCCAGCCTTCTCAAGGGGAGGGAAAGGAGGAAGGGAGAAAACTTGAATGAATGTTAAAAACTTTTGAAGATGTAATTGGGAAGTATTTAATAAAATAAATAAAAAAATATTTTTAAAAAAGAAGAAACTTGTTCTTCCTTTCAAAGCATTACAGCCCCAGACAACCTTCAAGCATCATTCTGCTCTTACTGATCTTCCTCTCATCCTGGGAAGCCTGCTGAGAGACTGATTTGGGGTACACATCTGAAAACCATATACTAATAAACAGCACCATGAAATTTAAAAATCCAATAAAGTCAAAAATCATGAAAAGGATACAAGCCTGTACAACTCGGAACTTGAGCTGGGTGAAGAGTCGTACAAAGAAGTCCACAAAGAGGCCCACCTGTCGATAACAAGGGAAGCATTCAATCATCTTCTTCCTCTTGTGGTTAAGTGGAAAAAGCCCTTGATTTGGAGGAAGAGGACCTGAGTTCATGAATTTAAGAGTCAGGTGATATCTCTGGGCCCGGTTACAATATCTGCTGTGTGTATGTGTGTGTGTGACTGACAATCCTCTTCAGGGTTAATGATGATAAGCCATCAGTTATAGTTGTAGTTATTCCTACCAGGAATCATGTGAGCTCCTGTTTCACCACTGTTTTTCAGCATGGGATACCCCTGGGAGCTCCCTGAGGATAGCTAGGAAACATGGCCATCCATCCTCACCCATAATCCTCTACTATCCAGGCAGTAAATGAGCAATCTGTGAGCTGGGGCACGGAATTCCAAGTTCTCATCTCTGCTCTCTGGTGTTCCACCCACCAGCTTTTGTCTGTGCCTCTCCTTCTAGCATATCTACCCTCTTCTAGTTCCATGTGTATGTATCTGACCTTCCTGACTAGACCACAAGCTCTGTGAAGGTAAGAACCAGATCTTGCTTATTTCTGCATCATCAACAGCACTCAAATGTTGGTGAATGACGACTTTTGTCAATAATCCTCAAAATTAAAAGGGCTCCATTCACAGAATCATCTTGGCCAAGATGAAAAAATAATTAGAACCAAAGGGCCATAATTCTGCCATCAGAGAAGGTCGAGGACAAGAAGACCTCAATACCTCCTAGATCCTGACACTGGTCTCATAATGCCATTATCCTCCAACCAACAAGCATTTAGGAAACGCTACAACGTTCAAGGCACAGCAAGAACAGGGCAGGTCACTTTACGCAGATGACGCCATCCATTCCGGAAAGCACGGGGACTACAAAAAACCCACCACTGGGGCCGGGCTGTCACTGGCTCGAGGCTAACTCCCCCGCCAATCTCACTCCCATGTCCAATTTTCTTACCAGGCCAGTGGAGACTCCAATAGCAAACACCATCATCCACTTCACCACCTCATACCTTCGACCTTTCTGTGTAGAGAAGCAAAGTGCCTCGTTTAAAAAAAACCAAACAAACTAATTATACTGACAAAAAGATGAGAGAAACAAATATCCAAGCATCAGTGATTTTCAGATGAATTTCTGTCTGGACAGCAAGCATGGAAAGAAAAGATGATGGACGCAGTAGGGTCACTTAGTAAGGCTCTGGACCAGGTAGGTATGAATGTGAGAGAAGGCCCCAGGTAGCAAGACAAAGATCTGGTAAGACCTGTAATACCTCAAGATGGGTTGGGGGGAACACAGCAGAGCAAAGGAGAATACTTACAACAGGAAGAGAAAGAACCCGAAGGCCTTTAAATCCCTGACAAATAAGGAACTGCACCCTACCTTATTATCCATGCTTTCCAGCACTTCCAGGTAGGGATCATTGATACAACGATCATAGTCCAAACTCTGAAAGAATGACATGTGAGGAAAATGTTACAGCCAGGTCCAAACACAACAGGAAGAGGTCAAGATGCCTAGAAAGGAACTTCTAGAGAATTCTGGGTTAGCACTGCACAATTCAGAAGAAAATTCTAAATTAGCCTTTTAACATTTTTGCAAAATCTTAAAACTTCCTTCTCTTCTTTGTGGGGATGGGAGACTGAGGGCACTGAACGAGGCAAATATGGTCATATTCAGTTAAAGTATTGGCTAGTTTGCTGAGTTCTTTTTCCTCCTTTCTTTTTTTTAGCTTTTATTCCAAGAAAGTGCTCACTTGGTAAGGAAGGAGGAGGAGATTCATTTGTAAATGAAGATGACATAAAACCAAAAGATGTCAATAACTTATTTTAAAAAGAATTAATTTGTACCCTCAACTGACCAGTTTTCTTCTGTAGTTAGGTTTTAGGGAAGAAAATAAACAGGAAGATGTCAAGCCAATCAGTCAGCCAGCAATTATTAAGTGACTACCATGTGTACTGAGGCAGCTGGGTGGCTGGAGTCCACCTGGCCTCAGACTCTTACTAGCTGGGTGACCCTGGGCAAATCATGGAATGTCTGTTTGCCTTAAACCACTGGAGAAGGAAATGGCAAACCACTCCAGCATCTTTGCCGAGAAAACTCCATGGGCAGCACTGGAGCATGACTGTCTGGGGTCATGAAGAGCTGGACACAACTGAACAACTGAACAATAATCACCATGTATCAGGGACTATGCTAGTAAATGTTGGGGATATAAAGAAAGGAAAAAACGTGATCCAGGCCCTCAGGGAGCTCACTGCCTACCAGAGGAGATAACACGCAAACTACTACACAGTAGCACTAGATAGATACCTTCTTAGTGGAGCATAACCGCTCAGGGAAGGCACAATGAGGGGCTGGGAGGCTGGAAAGGCCTCCTGCAGAAGGTGGCAAACTCAGAGAAAGTTTTTTTAAAATTTATTTATTTTTTAAAATAAACAAAAATAAAACTTCGAGGGCACTTCCCGGAAGGAGGCCTGATTCAGCCCAATCTCCAACACCCTCTAAAATACTACACATGAGAAACAATGCTGAAAATAATAGCTCTGAGGCTCTGCAAGATGGTCAAAGAAAGATTTAATAATATTTAGCATATTCTACTTCCTAAGCCAGAAAAACGACTATGCATTTGAGAAATCTTTTCATAAAAGCAAAATAAAACAATAAAAAATTCTGCTTGACCCTTAATGGGAGAATACAAAAAAACCAAACGATCAGGTAACTGAATTTAACTGGGTTCAACAGAAAGCTAGAAACTTAAGGGGTAAGACAGGAAACATACATAGAAAGCTACAAAAATACAAAAATGGACGCATATGGCCCATATAACTAAATAGTTATGTGTAAACATCCATGCTATGAATGGGCCAATGCGCGCTCGAGCACTCTGGGAAGCAAGAGGCCCAGGTGAGCCTGCACGTCCTGCACTGCCAGGGCTGGGATGAGAATGCAGGGCTGAGCAAAGCTGCCTCAGAGAACGGCAGGTGCCAAAGCAAGGACGTGTCCCACCGGTGTGTCTCACTCGAGTTTTCCACCTCAGAAGGCAGGCTGTTCAAAATAGTGTCTTTAATCATGAAAAGGAACCCCTTCCACTGAGAGTGGAGTGCTAACAAGCCAGGAGATGGGCATGTGGGCAAAAGCAGAAAGGTGACCTGCTGCGGAACGTCCAGACACTGTGAGACAGGGGAAATTCCAAGAGAAGCCAAAGACAGAGATCCACACAGAAGAATCAAAGAAAAATCAGTTGGGATTTATCACTGCCTAATAAATTTTGCTTTTCACAACACAATTTTCAAATATATTCTGATATAATGAGTGTTTCTGTAATGATGTTTCATCTCAGGGGAATTTCCCACAGAGAAACAGATCTGTGAAAATGCGAGAAATGATGAGATTTTTCTAGGGTTGCAAAAGTCTCTGGGGTTCTCTTTTTTTTTGCTAGTCAACGAAACTTCCTGTCTGTTACATGAGACACGGTGAACAGAGAGCCAATGAAGTATGACTGAGGACCCCTGCCCAACAACTTGGAGCAAGTGCAACTAACTGTGAGAGGTGACCCCTGTATCGACACGGGAGGAGCTGGGGTCTTGCCACAAGCAGGCTAAGACTCTGGGACTAGGGACGACTCAACTTGTGCCTCTAACTGCGGTGATCGGGACTGATGGGAGAAGAGGTAAAGTCAGTATGACAGAGGCAACCCAGACCAGGAACAGAAGTGGGGACTGCATCAAGAAAACTTCCCAAGTCCCTGGTACGCTGCCTCTCCTTGTATGTATCCCATGGTACAGAGAAGGGTCCCCCCCCCAACTCTTCCCCAATTATTCCCTTCTCCACAATCTGTGGGTCAGTGAAGTCTAAGACTCACCTGGCTGCACTGGAGAGGACAGGTAGGAAGAGTCTGGGGAGAAGGCTGGGACAAAGGGCCTTCCCCTTTCTCTGTACCTAATAAGCCACGGGGCCACATGGTACGGGAGGAAGAGCCCCAGGCTCTGGAGTCAGAAGATCCAGGTTTGAATACTGGCCCTGCCATTCCTGGTGCCATCTTGGGCAAGTCACTTGATCTCTTTGTGACCTCAGGTTTCTCTCTGGGTCCTATAAATGTGGGGGTCATTGACTGAGAGAGGGGAGAGTCCAAACACAGGTTGGGGGGGGGGTCGAAGCCATAGATTTTCTACTTTAAAAAACACTTCTGAATGCTGTCCACTAGCGTCACCTACGTAAAATCAATGTGGGACTGCTATAGAGTGTTTAAGCTATACAGAAACCACTATAAATGTTAATCTCAGCTGTACCCTTCCTCCAGCAAGGGATCTCCTACTGCTCCTCCCTAATTAATTCCCCAGCATACTCCCCACAGCAACTGTCCCAATCCTCTTCTTCTCTCCTCCAGCTCCCGGAGCTCATCTCTGGTCACCTCTCAGAGGTCACCTCGGTGCTATCTCCAAGCTCCTCTTCCCTCCTTGCCAATAACAATAACCAGCACAACTCACATTTATACAGCATTGCAACATTTGCCAACTCCCTCACAACAACCCTGCAAGATGGGTCCTGCAAGAATATATTTCCCAAGGACCCACATGTACAAAAATATTGATAGCAGCTCTTTCTGTGGTGGCAAAGAATTGAAAATTGAAAGGATGCCCATCAACTGGGGAACGGCTGAACAAACTGTGGTATATAAATGTGATGGAATACTGTTGTGCTGTAAGAAATGATGAGCAGATGGACTCTGGAAAAATCTGGAAAGACTTATATGAACTGATGAATGAGCAAAACCAGGACAACACTGTACACGGTAACAGCCACATTATGTGATGCCTATTCTGATGACTTAGCTCTTCACAGAAACACAACGATATAAGACAATTCCAAAAGACTCATGATGGAAAATGCCGTCCACATCCAGAAAAAGAACTATGGAATCCAAATGCAGATTGAAACATATTATTTCCACTCTCTTTTCTTTTTTTGTTTCTTCTCTTTAATGGTTTCTCCCATTGGTTCTAATTCTACTTTGCAGCATGACTAATGTGAAAATAGATTTGATATGAATGTGTATGTATGTATACATATGTGTGTGTGTGTATATAGCCTATATCAATTTGCACGTCATCTTGGGGTGGGGGGAGGGGAGAGGTGGGGGAGAAAATTTGGAACTCGAGATCTCATGCAAGTGAATGCTGAAAACTAAAAATAAATTTATTTTTTTTAAAAAAGAGTTTATTTCTCAATTACACAGCTTAAGAAATTAAAGGTAAGAGAAGTGATTTGCTCAAAGTCCTATAACTAGCAACAAAAGCCAGGATCTGAAGCCAGGCCTCACTGACTCTAAAGTAGTTCCAGCACAACTTACTGTGTGTTGATTAGAACTGAGGAGACCACACAATACTTACCAACGACCATTTTAGAACCTCACCTCATAGTCCTTTCGGGGAAGGATCTCATCATCTTCCTCCTGTGTTTCTCCAAGGATAGTCTATAAAAACATACCCCGAAGAGAAAGTTTTAAGCAAAATGAAAGTGGAAACAAACATGAGTTCTTTGGAGATCTGTTATCTCTAAAGCATCTAGGCCATTAGTAGGTGGAAATAACCTGTTCAAAGATGAAAACTGATTAATGCCGCTCATGAAAGATTTAAAAATTAAGCAACATAGCTGATTAATATTTTCTTTGTTTTTAATTTCTTTGTACTTCCACATCTGTGTGCATGCTCTATTCCCCCTTCTTCCCAGAATATAAAATCCTCTAAGACAGGGACTGTTCCATTTTTTTTTGTCTTTATTTCAATTAAAATGAATACGAATACAGGAATCCAGAATTCTCGGAAAGTCATGCTATGCACAGAAAATCCAGGAGTCATCCTATCTTGGGCAACAGCTAAAAAAACACTGCCAGGTTCCAAGCTGGCAATGAGGTTTAAACTGACTCAACCTGAGATAAGAAGGAACTCATACTCCTTGAAATAGGGGTAACTAACTTTAACCTCCTTTTCTCTGAATTACAATATAAACCAAATATTTATTAAGAGCTGAGCACTGGGTTAGGCTTGAAAGAGAAACAAGGTTCTGATAAAACAGGGTTCTTGCCCACAAGGAGTTTACAGTGTAATTGTAACCATGCAGGAAACAGGGAATGCTAAATACCCTAGAGAGCTATAACACTGAAGTGCTCTGGAGAGGCAGGTGTATGGTGAAATGTGGAGGAAGCTTAATTGAGAGATGGAGGAGTTGGGCTTTCTGTCTACTGTGACTTTGGGCAAGACACTGAGTCTTGGGTTCTTTAAGACCCGTGAGGTCCCGTCTGGTACTAAATCCCAGGAGTATAAGGGAAAGAGTCATGGATGGAAGAGGCAGTATCTGAGCTGGATTTTAAAGGGGGGCAAGAATTCAACAAGTGAAAAGGCAAAAAAGGATCTCAGAACACTGTGTATTATTAGCATATTATTGGGGGGTGGGAGGGAGGGTGGAGTTTACCCTTGATGTTGGGGGATAAGATCAATAAGGCTATAAAAATCTTATTGGCTAGTCTGACCCCGTTTCTACAGATGGGGAAACTGAGGCCCAGAAAGGGGAAGTGATCGAAGGGGAACTCTAACGTCCCGAGGAGGGGCTGGTCTCTAGAGAGGCATGAGGAGGCCACCAAAGCAGAGGGATGACACGACTGGATCCATGCAGAAAGGGCTTCAGAGAGGCCAAAGGCAGTCAATTTAGAGGGAAAGAACGTAAGCTCCCTGAGGGTAGGGGCAGTAGCACTCTCCTCCAAGTGTGACACGCAGATTGGGAAAGACACGGGGAGGAGCAACGGCACAACTGGGGGAAGCCCAGCTGGAAGGGCCCTTAGAGATCGCCTGGCCCGGCCCCTGGTTCTACAGATGGGAAAACTGAGGCCCGAAGAGGAGCAGTGACTTGCCCAAGGTCACCCGGGGAGGCCCCTCCCCGGCCTCGTACTCGTCTCATTCACAATCGCTTAGGAAAGAAAGAAGGATCAAGGGGAGGTGGGAGATGTGGGGCTGGGGGTGCAGGCCGAGAGGAGGGGTAAGGGGATAGAGAGGGGCTGCTCCGTCCTAGGCTACGCCCCCTCTCGCTGCCGCTCCTTAGCAACCGCCGGGCCCTTAGCAACGCCCCAGGCCCGGCCCCGTCCCCTCCCCTCCTGAGCCCGGCCCGGCCCAGCCCGGCCCAGCCCGGCCCGGCCTCGCCGCCCGGCCCCGTACCAGCTCCTCCGGGGTGCGGCTCTCGCGCTCTCCGCAGCAGCAGCACCAGCGGCAGCAGCAGCACAGGACGCCCCTGCACCCCGCCATCTTCGGCCGCCGCCTCTGCTTCTGCCCCGTCCAGACACCCGGCGCCCCCTCCCCCCAGCCCCGCCCGAGGAGCGCACGAGCTAGCGCCTCACGTGACTGGACCAGCCTGGGTCACGTGGTCGAGGTCAGGGCGTGGGAGGGCGGTCGGCCTCCGACCCGCATCACGTGACGAAAGACTCACCACCCTCACGGGCGCCGCCATCTTAGTGAAGGAGGGGCGGAGCTTCGGTCTGAGGTGGGAGGAGGAGGGGGAAGGCGGAGGGCGGGGCTCCTGGGATGAGGAGGAGGTGCGCGAGTCCTCCTGGCCCAGCCCCCTCCCAATCCCAGCCCTCTGGCCGGCTTGCTCGCCCTCCTCCCGCCCACCTTCTCACGGTCATGGCTGCGGCGGCTGTGAGAGACTGGAAGCTGCCGGAGAGGTGAGGCCCACCTGGGAGGAAGGAGGAAGGACGCCACGGCCAACCCCTCCTCTGCAGGATCCTTCCCCGCTGCCATCTACCTGTCCCTCCCACCCCTCCCCGGTGTTTGTCTCCCTGCGATGCCCCCCCCATCTCCCGTGCTTGTCTCCCCACGATCCCCCAGTCTATCCCCTGTGCTTGTCTCTCCGCGATCCTCCAGTTTATCTCCCGTGTTTGTCTCCCCACCATCCCCCAGTCTATCCTCTGGTTCCTGTCATTTCTGTCTGGTGCTGGATCCCTTCCCACGTCTGTGCCCATCCTCTCATGCCTATCCCCCCACGATTCCCCCTGCCTATCCTCCCTGTTGTCCCCCTACGATTCCTGTTGTTCTCCTTACAACTCCCGTACCTATCCCCCCATGCTGCTCATCGCTCCCCTCCATGCCCCCAAGTCCTTTTCATGGCTGTCTCTCTTGCTTCCTCCATACTGGACCCTCTCCCCATACCTAGACCCTTTACCTGGACCTGGAAGTTAGATTCTCAGTGGGCCATCTCGTCCTCTCCATCCCATACTCTGCTTTTGGCTCCTGGAGCCTGCTCACCTGGTATGCCCATCACATACATCACCCACTTGGCCTGGAGAGGGGTCCCTTACCCCTCAATGCTAATGCCTTCACTCTGACCTTGCTATCTGTCTGTTCCATATGTGACTTATTGGTACCTTCTCCCCCTTTAGACTGTGAGCTCCTTGAGAGCAGGGACTGTTTTTGCCTTTTTTTTCCTTTTTAATCTTCAGCACTTAGTAGGTACTTAATAAATACTTGTTTACTTATTGGGAAAATCTGATTTATGTTTATATAAATTATATATATTTATGATAAATACTGATTTTTATAGCACCTACTATGTGCCAGGGTCTGTGCTAAGTACTTTATAAAGATCTCATTTGATTCTCACAACAACCTTGTGAGATAAGTGGTACTATTATTCCCATTTTACAGATGAGGAGACTGAGGCAAACAGGTTAAGTGACTTGGCTGGGGTCACACAACTAATTAATGTCTGAGGGTTGTATTTGAACTCAAGTCTTAGGGCCTTGTTGTGCAATTGTTTTCTGTTGAGATTTCTTGGCAAAGATTCTGGAGTGGTTTGCTATTTCTTCTTCCAGCTCATTTTACAGATGAGGAAACTGAGGCAAACAGGATTAAGGGACTTGCCCAGCTACTAGGTGTCTGAGGCTAGATTTGAACTCAGCTCTTCCTGACTCCAGGTCCAGTGTTCTGAGCCACCCAGCTGCCTCAAAAATATTACGTACATGTTAGCTATTATTGCTATTATTATTTAATATGATGAAGAGACTGGAATATGGCCACTCTGCCCTGGTCTAGGTTTGGGAGAGTCGCAGTCTACCTTGTCCCAAAATGTCCTCTTGTCTCTCTTCTCGTTCCTAACAGCTGACATTGGCTTCTCATCTTTGTGGAGCCAGTGAGCATGGGGTTGTGTACATTCGTCCCCATGTGACCAAGCTCTAACTCTTATCTTCAGATTGCTCTTGGCACCAAGGAGTCATTAAAACCTGATAGGTTTACAGTCTCATAAACTAGCTTCCTCACCTGACACCTTCAGAAAATTAAAGTCGGCAGCTGGAAATGGGGTTTAGCACCATGCTGCTCTTTCATTCTATAGTCCCCAGAAACCTGACTTGATCAAAGCTCTGGGAAGCTGGTCTCATAGGGCTCCTATGAGGAGAAGTGTCCATGGAAACTCAGATTACAAACATGGGGGTGCATGCTAGAGCCAGCTCATACCAGCCCCAAGCCAGTTGTTAAAGGGAAATGCCACAAATCAGGGCTTGAGTTACTGCTTTGTTGACTTCTAGACTCAAGAAAGTGATGGAGAAAATGTTCTTGATTCATTTAAAAAAAAAAAAGCTGGTTGTTAAAACATTTACCAGCAAACCCCTGCACATAGCCCCAACTCTTGCTGTTTGGGGGCATGGCCTTGTTTTAAATAGGCAGGAAATAAAGAGAGTAGGTTGTGTGTTTCCCAAGTGAGTAATTGCATGTGAAGCTTCGCGCAAAGGTGTGTGAGCCTAGGTACCTACCTTCAAGGAATGTGTAGTTGGGAGGGAAGAGAGCTGAGACTCCACAAATCACTTTTTACTTTGTGTCTCATAGTTTGTCAAGAGGTACCAAATACTATGAGAGTCAAATCAACAAGCATTATATTAAGTACCTACTATATGCCGGGTGCTGGACTTCCAAGGGGAGGCAAAAGACGACTCTGATTCTAGAGGAGAGTTGGAAGATTCTTCCTATTTGGAAAACCTGGTTGTGTGTCTGTGGGGAGAATAATTCGAAGGATCCAGCCAGTGTCAGATGAAAACTGACTCCTGGAGAGCCCTGATTGCAATAACTCACATTTACAAAATACTTTAAGGTTAGAGTGCTTTCCTTACCACAGTCCTGTGAGGCTTGATTGATGGATGGAAGCAGAGGAGGGTGCTAAATTCAGCACTCCCCTAATCACTGTCGGAGACTCTGTCACCACTGGACAGGAACTAGTTAGGGGAGTCCCTCCACCTAGGAGCTGAAAGCCCTCCTTTTTCCATGCTGCTCTACCTATCTCTGCTCTGTATCCTTCCCTCTGCACTCACAGTCAAGTTTCCCTGTGTATTATTTCCTCACACTTAGCTTTCCTCACCATCTCCACCATAGCCTGAGCCCTGTCTGTATTGACTTTTTCAGGTATGTATGTCTAGTCTGTCCAGTTAAACTCAACACAAGGATCTTGTTTGTGGTTGCAGTGATACTTGGCAAGGGCTTTACATAGTTGATATTCAGCCGTTGTATACCAATCCCAGAATACTAAGAGTCTGAAAGGTTTTCAGAAATTATTTATTCCATCCATCTCATATCTGAAGAATGTTCTCTGCAATATTCCTAACAAGTTCTGTTCTAGTCTTATATCTTGAGAAACTCACTCCCTGTTCTACTTTAGAGCTGCTCTAATTAGGAAGTGTTTTCCTTCTGTCAGGCTTGAAATCTGTCTGGTGTCACCGACTTCTGGGCATACTTGGACAAAAATCCTGGATCTAAGGCATAGGATGCCAACATTTACTGTGAATTGGTTAAATGAACAAATCAGCAGGTCTTTTACGAAGCCGTTACTATATGCCAGGTCCCCTAAACAGATAGACTTTGGTGGCATGGGGGGAAAAAAAAAGCCCTGTGGCTGGGCAGGGTGTTTCTCATCCCATCTACAACCCCCCCCCACACACACACACCATCCTTCCAAGAAACAGCAAATGTTTCTTGGAAACCAGAAGGGCCAATACAACTGCTTTCTTCTCAACAGATGGAACCAGTGCCTCTGAACTTCAGGGCTCCCTCTCCGCCTTACCGGCCCCCTCTGCTAGCATTTACCCCGCTTCCTCCCTCCTCCCCCTCCTCTCCTGGCCTCAGCCCCGCCCCTCTTCCTCCTGCCCCCCTCCTCCTGCAGCCCGGTGGCTGGCTTGGAGCTCTTCCTTTGTCACTGCTCCGCCCAGGCTGGCCAGCCCCAGCTGGAAAGACGCAGGGCTGACTTTCCTACTCCTTTCGAGTCCTTTCATGGCTGAGCTGCCATACATGTCACATCCCAGAAGCAGGGTCTGCCGTCATGGGCACTGCTGTTGGTCCCTGGGAAAGGGGTCCCAGGAGACTGGTAGCTTGTGCTTCTCCGTTCCACCTTCTATCAGGTGTCTTTGAGATTAGCCCTCTAACCTTTTATGTACTACAGAATAACGGGCCTATTTTGGAGAGAGTCTCAGGGGAGGAAATGAAAGGGCCTATGGGTGATGGAACCGGGGAACAGCAGAGAACCAAGCAGTGACTGAGGTCAGGCTAGAAGAAATCTCTAGCTCTGAAGGACAGACCTACCCTAGGGCAGAGGCAGTGTCAGCTTCCCCTTCCAATACCCTTCCTCCTGAAGGGAAAATTCAGTCACTCCTTGGCTGAACTCTCTTCCACCCAGGTGCCCAGGATTGGGTGTATTGGAAACCTAACTGCCTGGCCATAGGTGACCTCCACGCTCTCCTTGTCCCCTTCCCATCCCCAGCTGCAGGAATCCAGCCATGGTGAATGAAGCCCGAGGCAGCAGCTCTTCGGAGGGCAGCAGTAGTGGCAGTGAAGGTTCCAAAGACAGCTCCCGCTGTCCCACCCCAGTGCTGGATGCTGAGCGGCATGAGCGACTTCGAGAGAAGATGCACCGGAGGATGGACTCAGGGGACAGGTGGTTCTCCTTGGAGTTTTTCCCTCCTCGAACTGCCCAGGGAGCAGTCAATCTCATCTCTAGGTGAGCTGGAGGCCCAGGGGGCTGGGCTGGCCTCCAGGAGTCTGGGTTGGTCATCTTTGGCCAGCAGGCATTGGGGAGGCCACTCAGCATCAGGTGTGCGACAACGTCAGTAAACTGAGATCCTTCCTCAATGTTAGCACGTTCGTAACGTTGTTTGACTTGCTTCAGCCACATTATTTGGAGGAACTTGGAGTCTGCTCATGAGTACAACTAAGGAAGTTGCAAGTTAGTGACTTGAAAAATGTTTTCAATGAGCTAGAAAATCAGATTGACCACTGTATCCCAAAAGATATTAGAGTCTTTAAATTTGCATTATCTATTACAAAAACCCACTTTATAGATTGTACTTTCATGTGCCATGACATTTTGCTTTTCTAACAAATAACATTCCAGGTTATTAGTGTTTAAAGGGACAAAGAATTCATAGATTTGTCTTATGAAAAGTTTTCCTTGTTATTCAGTTACAAGCTCAGGAGCCTTTGGGTGCCAGGTTGAGGGTAGATCCAGGCAATGGGGCTTGGGAGAGGCAATAGATCGGGTGAGGGACATGACGTACTATGATTGTAGCAATGCTTCTGTGCACAAGGAGGGCTTGTAATTTGTGCTGGCGGAGCTGGGCTGAATTGTCTTTCTCCCTCCCTGAGAGGGCCCCTGGGATCTTATTCCTGTTCTAGGGCTTCCCCCACCCTTGACCTAAGCTGATATGGAAGCTATGTGGAAAGTCCAGAGTGCTGTGCAAATGCCAGCTGGTGGTGGTATCATCCACATCATCATTGTTATTATCATCCCAAATCCTAGGTCCGGGTAGGCAGGGCCTGTGGGAAAATGGTGGGTTGGTGCACGAAGGGCTACTTCCAGGGACCTTCTCCCCCAAAAAATACCCCCACAGGTTTGACCGCATGGGGGCAGGTGGCCCCCTCTTTGTGGATGTAACCTGGCACCCGGCAGGGGATCCTGGCTCAGACAAGGAGACCTCATCCATGATTATCGCCAACACAGCTGTAGACTACTGTGGCCTGGAGACTGTCCTGCACATGACCTGCTGTCACCAGACTCGGGATGAGATCACCAGCAACCTGCACAAGGCCAAGCGGCTGGGCCTAAAGAATATCATGGCATTGCGAGGAGGTAGGAAACCAGCTTTGTCCTCACCAGTTCTGTGGGGTGGGAGGGGAATCAGAGTTCTCACCCCCTTTTTCTCTTCTCCTATATCGGGCTTATTTGACATTCCCTGAATGTTCTGAGTCTCAGAGCATTCTGAGTCTCATACAGGGTATGCTTGGGGTGCCATCCCTGCTAGTAGCATTGCCAGGGTAGTACTGATGGTGAAGCTATACGTTATAGACACAAAGCATAATTCATGGTTCAGAGTCATCGGGACAAGGCATCTCTGGTTCTGGGAGTTGTAGACCAAGAGTCACCTAATATTCCCTTGTCCTAGCAACTGCCTACCTCAGCACTCAATTCTCCACTGTTCCTAATTCTTCCCCTATCAGAAGGTACAATTCTTAGACTTTGACCCAGGTATGAGAATAGCTAGTACATCTCTAGGTGCCTGCCATGGGGAACTGTTTGTTTTAGGTCCGTCAGATGTAGAAGGATTCTTTGAGGAGGAACTCATGTCTTTACACTCTCTCCACAGCCCTGGACTAAAAGGTCCTGCCCCAGATTTGCTGTCTTAGCTGCCAGAGTAGAGAACCTGTCAGTGTGAGAACCTAGGGGTTGGGCTCCACATCAGGGAAAGAATTTATTTTTGGAAAACAGCTTATAGTAAAAAACAAACAAACAAATAAAAAAGCAGGCATGGGATTTGGGACAAGGACAAGCCTTTGCTGTCCTCCTGCCACATGGGTGACTATGCCCAAGTCTCTTATCTAAAACAGGGTTGTTGAAGGTGATGGTGTCTAAAGCCCTGTCTAGCTCGTAAACCCTCAATCTTAAGTATGCTTGAAAAGGGTGGAAGGTCAGGGGAGGGCAGGTTAGAAAGAAAAAGCCCAGGCACAGGTCTGTTTAGAAGCCAGGTCAGTACTGGGATCAGGGGATTCCAATCCCCTTGGTAGGCAGAGGGAAAGAAGTGAGGGCCTGCCTAGAAAAGAACGCATTTAGGTGAGGCTCAGTGGTAATAGCCTCTCAACCAACCTTGCAGACCCCATGGGAGATGAGTGGGAGGAAGAAGAAAATGGCTTCTGCCATGCCGTGGACCTAGTGAAACATATCCGCAGTGAGTTTGGTGACTACTTTGACATCTGTGTAGCAGGTGAGTCCGTGGCCCAGAGGATGGGAGTGGGTGGGCTCCATAAGCGGGCAGGAAGATGGGGGACCTAGGATGGGGCACGAGACCTGGTGATGTTATACTACTACCTTTCCCTCCCGCCCCTGGGGATGGGTTTTCTTCCTTCTTATTCACACTCACTCTCCCTGGAACTTCCTTGTCCGTCCTCAGGGGCCATGAGCTCCTGGACGTTCAGGCCTTCTGCTACTTCGAGACCCTTTCCACTGGAAGGGCCCATCCCTAAACCACACATCTCATAATTTCAGTCATTTCCCCAAACTCGTCACCTTGCCTCAGTGGCGCTGAGAGTCATCTCAGACGATCAGAACGCCATGCACAGCAGGTCAAGGTCATGATGGGCCAGGCTTCCTGGCGTCTTAACTTGGTGAGGAACCTCAGAGGTCATGTAGTGCAGCCTTTCCTGGGCACTCCTCTCTCCAGCCTTCCCAATCACTTCCCACCCAGACTCTGCTGGAACGTTGCCATCAATGGTGAGCGCCCTACTCTGGAGGCAGCCAGTCCCTTTTTGGACACCTCCAGGTGTGGCAGAGTTCTTACGCTGACCTGAAAAAGAAAGAAGGGGATGGAGAGGAGAAAAGCTTGGGAAGTAGGATTGAGAGGACTTAGCGGCTGGTTGGTTGGGTGAGTTCATAGGATTCTCAGTCCAGAGATGGAAGGGACCCCAGAGGCACTGAGTTTAGCCCCCTCATGTATGATTGAGGAAACTGAAGGTCAGAGGGGCTGCATTACTTCCCCAGGGTCACACAGCTAGTTTAGTATGTGCTCAAGGCAGGATTGGAACCTAGGTCTTCTCAACTACAAGTCCAGCTCTATTCCACAGTACACTCCAAAGTTAGAGGGGGAATGTCAAGGCTGGTGAGCCTTGGCGAGCTAGAAGGGGGGTGGGCCTTCCCAGAGACAGTGAAGTTTAGAGAAAGTGTTGGTGTAGGGGGCAAATGATTTCAGATTGAATTTGAGATACTTTGGTCCCCCTCAGTAGAGTCTCCAGTGAAGACTGGGATGTCCTAGATGAGATTACTGCCCAGATATGGTGAGACCAGATGGCCTCGGAGGTCCGTTCCATGACTGAGATTCTGGGTGCAGGGCTCTTAAACCTGCCTTGTGGAAAAACTGACTAAATCCCAGCATCTAGCACTGTGCCAACTGCGTAGAATATGTTCAGTAAATGGGTACTGGACTCCAACAAGGCGTTAGGAAGACCTGTTGTCAAAATGACAAGCCTTTGAAATGTTGGAAGGCAGCTATCTGGTTCCTTCTAAATAGCTGGGTTTTTTCTCCAGACTAAATTGTTCCTAATATGAAATCATTTCTTGGCCCCCTCATCATGTTGGTCTAGAGGATCCCTTGTCTGAGAAACTGGATTCCAGGTTGAACTAAGGGATTTCTGAGGACTGAGGACTCCGTGGTTAGATATATGGTACCCTGATTAGAGGGGTAGCACCTCCTCATTATCTTTCCCATTGGTAGGTTACCCCAAGGGTCACCCAGAGGCAGCAAGCTTTGAAGAGGACCTTCAGCACCTCAAGGAGAAGGTGTCTGCAGGGGCCGACTTCATTATCACGCAGCTCTTCTTCCAGGCGGACACCTTTTTAAATTTCGTCAAAGCCTGTACGGCGATGGGCATCACATGTCCCATCCTTCCGGGAATCTTCCCCATCCAGGTGAATGCTTGGCCGGTGGTGCCAGCCAAGCACACAGGGATAGGGCAGCTTGCTGATCTCTGTGGGTGAGGGACGGTGGCTAGGCCTGGAGTCTTGAACATTGCCCATTGGCTTCCCCGGGCTGGCTGACTTTTGTAGTGTATCCACAGTCCCAGGAGCAGCGTGACCTAGCGGAAGCCGGACATGGGGCCCAACATGCTGTGCGTTTGTCAGGGGCTTCCTGGGGCTCGGGTTCATGGGTCAGGTGCTGGGGCAGCCTGCCTCAGACATCGACTGGGCCTCAGGCAGGCCTTGGCACGAGTCTCTTAGAGCTTGAGCTCCCTCATCTCTAGAGTGAGGATGGTAATCCTCGAACTACCTATCTCCCCGGGTGGTTGTATGGAAAAGATGGGCCAGCCCTGAAGCTGTAGGTGCACAACGGGGCCTCGCCTCCACCCACTGGGGCAGCTGCCACCAGGGGGGCTCACTCCCGGTCGTGGATTGGCCCCGGACGCCTGTGTTTCAGCCACGACGCTGACGGCTGACCCACTGGCCTTGTTCCAGGCCCTTGGCTTCTCCATCTAGAGGTAGGTGGGTGGCTCAGTGGATACGGTGCTGGGCCTGATGACTGGAAGACCTGAGTTCAAATTTGGCCTCTGACACCTACTAGCCGTGGGACCCTGGGCAAGTCACTTAACCTTTTTCTGCCTCAGCTTCCCCAGGAGTAAAGTAGGGATAAATAGGCCCTGCCTCCCAGGGCTGCTGTGAGGATCACATGATTTGTATTTACGGAAAAACAAGAGACAACTGCCTAGCACAGTGTCTGGCACACAGCACATACTTGATGAACGTGTGCTTCCTTCCTTCCTTGGCTCCTTGCCATCCGTCCTCTGAGACAAAATGGGCCGGCCGGCTTAGGAGGAGACAAGGGCCACCAAACCAGTCAACTCGCCCCTATGACTTTTTTGCCACAAGAGGATTATTGCATCTATCCCTTAAAGAGCCAAGGAGAGGAGACTGTGGCTGCTCCATGAGTCACAGGGAGCAATAGACAGGCCTCAGAGGGACAGGTTGTAAAGTGGGGCTGGACTGCTGTCGGCTCTGCTGCGATAATGAACCGAGTAATCACAGCCCGATCTGGTGATTGTAGTGGAAATGCTGTATTGAGGCCACTAATTGGCCCAGCCAACAATAAAAGGCAGAAATCGCCTCCTGTCTGGTAGCCGCTTTCACTGGCTTCCTCTCTCTGTGTCTCGCAGCCAGGAGGCTCAGGGATTTCAAACGCCTGAGGCTTGGGGCGAGGGGTGGGCGTATGCACACCGGGGTTCCCTTGCTTTATGTCCTGGACAGGGTTACCACTCCCTGCGGCAGCTGGTGAAGCTCTCCAAGCTGGAAGTGCCACAAGAAATCAAAGATGTGATCGAGCCAATCAAGGACAACGATGCTGCCATCCGCAACTATGGAATCGAGCTGGCTGTGGCCATGTGCCAGGAGCTGCTGGCTAGTGGCTTGGTGCCTGGCCTCCACTTCTACACCCTCAACCGGGAGGTGGCCACTGTGGAGGTGCTGAAGAGGCTGGGCATATGGAACGAGGATCCCAGGTACGTCGTGGCAGGCTAAAGAGAGGGACGTGAGGGCACTCAGAGGGCTCTAGTGGGCAGTCGTGCTGCTGCTCTGGCTTTAGCGGGAAGGCCTGGGCCACTGGACAGCTGTGTGGATGGGCTTCTGTCTGAGCAATTGGAGCCCAATCTTGCCACGTCTGATAAAGACCTCCCCATGTCTTCTTGCTGTGAAGCAGGCAGAGGAGAAGGTTCTGCCGGGCTGGTCCCTTCAGACCTGTGTCCTTATCCCTCGCAGGCGGCCTCTGCCATGGGCTGTCAGTGCCCATCCCAAGCGCCGAGTAGAGGACGTCCGGCCGATCTTCTGGGCCTCCAGACCAAAGAGCTACATCTACCGAACCCAAGCGTGGGATGAATTTCCCAATGGCCGCTGGTGAGCCCTTCTGGGGAGTCAGAGGAAGATGCTGGGGAAGGAGGACTTCCTCTGGATTCATTCGCAGCTGAGCGCTGTTTTCCAGGGGAAGAGCAGGTTCCTGGGAACCAAAGCTGGGATTTGGGGAGGCAGCCTCCTGGGTAGATGGACGCTGTCCCCTCTCCCTGTTCCCCAGCCTTGGCACCTCTTGCCTCTGGGTCGTGCCATGATTCCATTGCTCTGTCCTTCAGGGGGAACTCCTCTTCCCCGGCCTTTGGTGAGTTGAAGGACTATTATCTCTTCTGCCTGAAGAGCAAGTCCCCGAGGGAAGAGCTGCTGAAGATGTGGGGGGAGGAGCTGACCAGCGAAGAAAGTGTCTTCCAAGTGTTTACCTACTATCTCTCTGGAGAACCCAATCAGAGTGGTCACAAAGTGAGTCTGAGGGAAGAGCAGGCGCCCTCAGCTGGCACCTGCCTGGGCTCAGTTACCCCGTCTGTCCCCCGTCTTGCCACCGGGCTTGGGGCGTGTGGCATCACAGATTTTTCTACCTCTGTGTCAGAGAGGGGAAGCTCCTCATGCTACAGAGAGGTCAGACAGGCAAGAGGGGATCGGTCAGCTTTGTGGGGCACCGACAGAGGTGGGCTTCGCAGGGGCCGGCAGAGTTAGGCATCTCTGTTGATGCTTCTTAGGAAGAGATATGTGGGCAGATATGCTGTCTTCAGTCAGTCAGGCTGTCACTAAGCATTTATTAAGCCCCTGCTGTGTGCCCAGGCTCTGTGCTAAGTGCTGGGGAAACAAAGAAAGGCAGAAGTCAGGCCCTATCCTCAAGGAGCTCACAGTCTAATGGGGGAGAGACAAACATGCAAACAACTCTGCACAAACAGGCTCTAGACCGGAGAAATAGGAAAGAATCAGCAGAGGGAAGGCCTGGAATTCAGAGGGGCTGGGGAAGGCCTCATCCCGTAGAAGGTAGAATTTTAGCTGGGGCCTGAAGAAAGCCACAAGGGGAGATGAGGAGGGAAAAAAGTCTAAGGATGGGGAGGATAGCCAGGGGAAACGCCCGAAGTCAAAAGGTGGCTTGTCTTATTCAAGGCACAGTCAGGAGGCCGGTGGCACTGGATGGCAGAGTGTGTAGGGGTCAGGAAGGTATAGAGACTGGAAAGATGGGAGGGGGCAGGTTCTGAAGGTCTGTGAATACCAAATGGAAGATTTTTAAATTTAATTGGGAGGTGACAGGGAGCCCCTGGAGTTTATCATATAGGAGGGTGACTGATCTGATCTGCATTTTAAGAACATCGCTTTGGCAGTCAATTGGAGGGAGGACTGGCATGGGGAGACAGTTAAGGCAGGCAGACCCACTAGCAGCTGCTGCAGTAATCCAGGGATGAGGTAATCAGGACCTGCCCCAGGGTGGGGGATGGTGCAAAGGCGAAATCACCAGGCCTTGGTGCTAGATCGGATGTGGGAGGGGAGCTGTGGAAGTTGACCCCTCGGCTGTGAGCCTAGATGACCGGAGGGGCAGCCCACGGGGTCAATGTGGTGCCCTTGACGGTAATGAGGAAGTTAGAAGAGGGGGAGTCTTTTGGGGGGGGAATGAGTTCAGCTTTAGATATATTGAGTTAGGATGTCTGTGGGGCCTCTAGTTTGCTGTGTCCTATAGGCAGGCGGAGATGCAAGGCTGGAGTCAGGAGAGAGGTTAGGGTGGTTAAAGAGATCTCAGAATCATCAGCATAGAGATGAGAATTGAATCCATGGTTGCTGATGAGATCACCAAGTGAGGGACAGCTAGGTGGCACAGTGGATAGAGCACCGGCCCTGGATTCAGGAGGACCTGAGTTCAAATCCGGACTCAGACGCATAACACTTACTAGCTGTGTGACCCTGGGCAAATCACTTAACCCTGTTGCCTAGCCAGAGAGAGAGAGAGAGAGAGAGAGAGAGAGAGAGAGAGAGAGAGAGAGAGAGAGAGAGAGAGAGAGAGAGATCACCAAGTGAAATAGTATAGAGGGAGAAGAGAAGAAGACCAGGAGAGGAGGAGTGTGACCAGAGCCGCAGTGAGACTGAGAAGGGATAGTCAGACACAGGGAAGGAGAACCAGGAGAAGGCCTAGAGAAGACAGACTCTCGAGAAAAAGAGTCACTGTCAGAGGCTTCAGGGAGGCCAAGATGGCTGAATATTAAGAAAAGGCCATTCGATCCAGCAATTAAGAGATCATTGGTAACTTTGGAGAGAGTGGCTTCAGTTGAGAGGTGAGGACAGAAACCAGACTGCTGAGAACTAAGGAGGGAGAGGAGAGGAGTGGAGGCATTGAATGCAGACTGCCTTCTCTAATTTAGTCAGAAAAGGGAGAAGAGATAAAGGGAGATGGTTAGCAGGAGTGGATGAATGAAGTGAGAGATGTTTCTAGGCCTTAGGGAAGCAGCCAGCAGCCAGGTCTCCCTGTCAAGTAAGCGAGTGGGATGATGGGGCAATCTGCTGGAGAAGATGAGATGGAATGGGATCCTTTGGCATGGATACCTAGGGCAGTCTGGGGCTGGGGAAGGAGAATTAGGGATTGCCTGGTGGATTGGGGAGCCTTTTGTGCTCTGCCTGTTCATGCCCTTGGCTCTCCCTACCCTACTGCCTGACTGCCCAGGTGACCTGTTTACCTTGGAACGATGAGCCTCTGGCAGCTGAGACCAGTCTGATGAAGGAGGAGCTGCAGAAGGTGAATCAGCGAGGCATCCTCACCATCAACTCCCAGCCCAATATCAACGGGAAGCCGTCCACTGACCCCATTGTGGGCTGGGGCCCCAGTGGCGGCTATGTCTTCCAGAAGGTGGGGCCTTCCCTGTTCCGCTGTGACTCAGGGTCTGGTGCTGGACACTCAGAGGGAACCAGCAGCCTTTCCCCTGCTCTCTCCCCACCCCCGCCCCTCTCTCTTTTTCCCTTAGGTGACTCCTTTCATTAGGAATGTGGAGTGGCATTGTTTGGGGAAGACGCACCCAATTTAGAGCCAGGATATGAATCCAGGTTCCATGACTTTAGTATTCAATGGTCACCTGTGTGACCGCTCGGTGTCATTGAGTCTCAACTTCCTCATCTGTATAATGGGCACAATATTTATACCACCTAGCTCACAGGGTTATTGTAAGGGACAGGTTTACTCTGTAAACCTTATAGGGCTTTAGAAATGACAGTGGTGGGATTGCAATTGGGAAGTGTGCTTCTACTTCCCAGGGATGTTGGGGAGAAAAAGAAACTATAGACTTGAAAGTAAATAACAGAAATGTGAGGTATTACAATATATTCTCAGGAGATGTCCTACTATCCCCACCCCAGCAAGTCAGACTCTTCTCATTTTATTCAGTTGATCCCTCAAATCCTACTTCTTTCATAAAGTCAATCGGGAAAGAAGTAGCAAATCCCGCCCAGCTCTGTCTTGTGTGTACATATACCTTCCAATACCCCTCGTTCAGGACCCTTTCTCCCAGTATATACCACCCCTTGCCTGTATGTCATGCTAATATCACAGGCGTTGATGTGATCAGTGCCTGTATGACCCAGTTTCTGGGTGTCAGCATTCCTGTGCCATTTAGGGACCTCTTTAGCTCATCTTTGTGGGGCTCCGCAGGTCCTCAAAGGGGGTATTTTTGGTGACCTGTGTGTGATACCTGCCTTTCTCCCACAGGCATATCTGGAGTTCTTTACCTCCAGTGAAACAGTGGCAGCTCTTCTCCAGGTGCTAAAGAAATATGAGCTCCGTGTCAATTACCACATTGTCAATGTCAAGGTAAGGGAAAGAAGGGGTGGTTTCAGAATCTAGCATGGTGGTGCCTAGGCGTGGCCCGGTACCCCACTGGCTTCACCCGTCAGTGGCACCAGGGCTCTCTGGTGCTCCTTCCTCCTGAAGAATGGGTCCCTGCAAAGTGTCTGACGTCCTTGTATTCTTCCCAAGCTCTGCCATTTCCCTTTTCTTCCTACAGGGTGAGAACATCACCAATGCCCCTGACCTTCAGCCCAACGCTGTGACATGGGGCATATTCCCTGGGCGGGAGATCATCCAGCCCACGGTGGTGGATCCTGTCAGTTTCATGTTTTGGAAGGTAAAGACAACCGGAGGTCTCTGCTTCACCCCCCAGACCTGTGGCCATCTCTCTCTTACTGGGTCCATGTCATTGACGACCACTCAAATGGGGCTAATGGAGACTACCCGACATTCCAAGGTGGGGAGCACTGGCTTTCAGTGTTTTCTCTGGCTCCCCTTGGGGAGAAGGTGAGCTGTCTGCAGAGTGACCTGCTGCATGAGGCTTCCTAGCCAGCCCCATTCCTGGGGCTGTCTGGGTCTACCTCTCCTGGTCAAGGGGCATTTTGAGAAGGTGCCTTCTGCCAGAAGTGGCATTTCTCCTTTAGCTGAAGCCCTGTAGGCTCTGACCCATCTTGCTTTGTTCTTAGACATCCCGTAAATCGGGTGGGGGGGGTGAGAAGGGGAGAGGGAACGAAGAGGAGGGAAAGCCTGTGAGCCCCACCTCTTGTCTGACCCCAGCACAGCTATGGCTGACCTTGTCTCTGCTTGTGTGTCTAGGACGAGGCCTTTGCCCTGTGGATTGAGCAATGGGGGAAGCTGTATGAAGAGGAATCCCCATCACGGATGATCATCCAGTATATCCATGACAATTATCACCTGGTCAACCTAGTGGACAATGAGTTCCCCTTGGACAACTGTTTGTGGCAGGTCCTAGAAGACACCTTTGAGCTCCTCAGCAGGCCAGCCCCACAGTGAAGGGGCCGTCCTCCTCAGCTCCCCAGCCATCCTTTCTTTCCTCTCTTCCCTGTGTTCCTCTAAGGATTCTCCAGCTGTTTTTTTTTCTCCATCCCATCCCATCATACATGCCCTGGCTCCCATCCCCATCCCTCCCCCAGTGACAGCTGCTAGGCTGGTTCATGACCTCTGTGCTTGGATTCAACCAGAGTCTGTTCTGCACTCGAGCCTTAGGGGGAGTTTCCCCTACACTACAATTATGCTGTTTTCCCCTTTTGTTGGGGATTAATTCCATCCTGCGACCCTGTAATGGCCCGAGGCCATGGAGAAAGGCTGGCCATCCAGGGCCACCTTTCAGTTCTCCTGGCTAGGGGACATGGCCTGAGACTGAGCGCTGGACCAGAGTGTCTGGCTAGCCAGCTGGGCCTTCCAAAGAAACTGTCCTGTTCTCTTTCCTGGGCAACATGCTGATGTTTAGGGCCCAGACATAACCGGAAATGCCCCCCTATGTGTGGAGAGATGGGACTGTGACTAGACACATGGATGCTGGACTTTGGGGTCCTTTTGCCTCAGGGACCTTGGCCTAGTTCTTGCCTCAGTTTCCCCATCTATGAAAGGAGAGGTGAGCATGAACTCTTCTGCCTTCCTAGGCAAGCACACAGACCTCGGGCTGTCACATGACCACTGTAAGCTGTTCTTACCCTCTTCTGTTGGAGCCTTGGTCAAGGCTGTGGTTCCATATTTACTGCCATTTTTCTTTTCCTGATTGACCTGTGTTTAATCTGTCTGGGCAACTCCCAGTGTGGAGTCTCCCTCTCATCTTCCTTATTCCAAGACTGGCCCTCTGTCCACTACACTAGCCTTCCTTTGTTTCTACCATAAGCTGCTTTGTTTCCATAGGTTCCTGGTTTGAAAGAAAACACCTTATGGAGTTTCAAGTCACTTCAGAAGTGTCCTCACTGGGGCCCCTGCCCTCATCTTCCTCCTTAGGGAGGTAGGGAGGAGCAAGAGTCGATGACCCTTAAGGGCAAAGGGGTCAGTCACATGGTTGGAGCAGCCTTGGGGCTGCTCACTTCCTCTTCCAGTGCTGGGCCTGTTTGCGTTCTCATAGGGAGCCCCTTGACCACCACTATATTTGCAATATTTGCTGCTTTTTTAATGATACCTCTTCTTCCTCTACCAAGCTCAGGTCTGGTCTGCTCAGTCTTTTTCCTTCCTCTTCTAAAGATGTTTGTCTTGTGTGTGAATGAATGTCAGTAAGTAGCACTTTCCATGGCTGGGTCAATCATGCTATGTGGCAGGGACAAGGTTAAGGGAAAGGCCTGTCTCCATCCTCCCCTCCCCATCCCCCAGGCTCCCCTTCTACAGCTGAGATCAGCTGTCTTGGAGCCAGTGCTGGGTCAGCAGAAAGAAAACCTTGTGAGGGAGGGAAGGGGGATGGTCAGAAGGAAACAGATGCAGCAACGCAGAAACAGGAGCGCTGCTTGGGGAGGGGGAGACCCTAACCCTAGGCAGCACTGCCTGGCCCCAGGTCTGCCTATTTCTTGGAGGTGGGGGGCTCCCCCAATTGGAATTGGGGAACTTTGGTGGTCATTTTAGACCACCAGCCTGGCAGAACCCTCCTTAGAGCATCCCCAGCCTCTGCGTAAAGACCCAGACCACTTAGAAGTCACTACCTCTGGGCTGCCCAGTCACCTTGGAAAGCTTCCATTTGGTTTTTGTAATGAGTTTAAATCTTCCTGTGGACAGCTTTTATCCTTCCTGTTTCTGCCCTCTGAGGCTCATTCCTTTTTAACATAAAAGCACTTTAAGGTAGCTATTATATTCCTGATCCCCAAATTTTTAGTTTTTCCTGTAGATCATCACATGACAAGTACCGGTCTCCTAACCATCCTGGTCACCCTCCAGTTAAATGTCAGTCCTAAAATGTGGACCGCAGGACTGAAGCACAGTGCTTCACATCTGGCCAGAATAGGCTAGGCCCTCCAGCAGATGAAAGCCAGGAGGAGGCAGGGAAAGGAATGGTATTTTATTATCTGTTCAAGTCAGGGTCTCTGCCCCTGAGAGCTGTTTTTCATTAAAGCATTACCAGATGAGTTCGCTGGGCTTTTCTCTACACAGCCCTGGTGGGTGGAATGGGACAGGATGGGGGCAGGGCTGGATGTCCTGGCCTGAGGGAAGCAGCAACAACAACTGGGCTGGGCCTGCCCTCCATCCCCTACAGGTTTATGTGCTGACCCCTGATCACTGGCTGGTACCTCCTTTCCTGGGCACCCGGGCTGCCCAGCGCTGATGCCATTTTCGAAAGGCCTGAAAACAAGGGCGGGAGGGCAAAAGGGAATGAAATCCTATCTTTAGTTACTCTGGTTTGTGGCTCCCTGCCCAGCCTCAGGGTCAGCCTGTCCATGCTAAAGGGAGGCAACAGCTGAGTTCCAGCCCCTCCCCCTTAGGAAAGCTAAATAAAAAGGCCCTCCACCCCCAAGAGGGCAGCTAGCCCACCCAGGGCAGAATTAGCCCAGACTATCTGGAAAGATCCATAGGAAAACTGCTCAGAATGGAAGGGGTGCACCACCACGCACCAGCCAGGCATCTGTCCCTTGCCTTGAATAGGACTTGGAATGGAGTGGGGGAGGGTTGTTGGCAGCTGTTTTTGTGCCCGGGACAATCTTGGGCGGCATCTGAGGAGTGAAGCTGGGGCTTGACACAAAACTTCTGAACTCCCTTAACCACCTCAGCAGAAACTAATGCCTCTCCTTGCTATGTGTTGCATGGAGCAGGGGGGCAGCATGGTTGGAGGGGCACAGTCCTGGAGAAAATGCCGTTAGGTCACTTGGACTGTAATCCTATGGGCCTAGAAGCACCTACACACTGTCCCTGGTCTTAGGGCCATCGCCGGGTGGTCACGGATACCTGAGAGAGGACCCTGCGGTCTTCTTGCAAACACAGCGCCACCTGAAGCTGCAGCCACCGCCTCCGCCACAAAGCCCAGCCCCATTCCAGCCGGCGCTGCCTGACCTGTACAAGGGCGACATGAGGTCAGGAGTGGGGGCCCACCGGAGGACATCACGTGGGTGTCACCTAATGACAGCTGCCAGCCCCGATCCAGCAGTTCTCAGGATCGTGGACAAGGAAGGGATGTGCTGGATGGGAGGATTCTCAGCAAGTGCCATCCAGCGGAATCTATTTGGTGTCTTTCAAGACTGGAATTAGATATGGAAATAGGTTTTGCATTATTGCATATGTATAACCTATATCAAATTGCTTATCTCAAGGAGGAGGGAGGGAAGGAATTTGGAACTCAAAATTTTTACAAATGTTAAAGATTGTTTTACATGCAATTGGGAAAAAATAAAATATTATAAAAAAAAAAAAAGACTGGAGTTAGGGCTGGCTGGCCTAAAGCAGATGACATGACCTCTGGGTCCCTTCTGACCCATGAGACTATAACTCAATGATCCCCCCCAACAAGGCTCACCAACGTCTGTGCCAGCTGCTCTGGTCCCTGGGCATCTATCCAGCATCGCCAGACTTCTGCCAGCCTCCTTTTCCTTTGCTGGCCATGAAATCTTTGAAGCAATACCTCGTGTCTCCACCTCTGTAGGTACTTCCTCCTGGAGGGAAAGCCTCATGTCAAGGCCTTATGCCTATGTCAGAGTGTTGGTTTTGCTTAATTTTTTTGTTTCGAAGGAAGGCTCCCTGGAGAGGGAATATCTCCAAGAAGGACAGTTGGAAAACAAAACAAAACAAAAACAAGACAAAAACAAAAGCCACCAATAAATCTTTTTAAAATTTAAAAAAACCTAAACCAAGAGGTTGAACTTCTAAGGTTCTCCTAAGTTTTCAATTGATAAACTTATGCACAGGGTCCTAGTCCTGGACCTGCCCCAACCATCTGCCATTTTAATAAGCAAGTTGCCTTCTCCAAGTCTCTGTTATGACTTTTCCCAGGTTTAGTGAAGGACCCTGAGTCTATGCCATGTGAAGATGTGTTGAAAGATTCGGGGATGGTTAGTGTTGAGAAGACTTAGGAGGTTGAAGGGAAAGCTATTCCCCAGCTGTTCCAGGGAATAGAGAGGAGACATGTCCTGCTTTCCTCAGTGAGTAGTGGGCAGAAGTTGCAAAGAGATAAAAGTAGGCTTGATGTAAGGAATACTTTCCTGACAATGAGATCTTGCCAAAAAGGGAATGAGCTGTCTTGGGAAGTTAGCTCTAGAGCTGGAAGCGACATTACAGGCCATGCAGTCCAGCCTCCCAATAATACAGATGAAAAAAATGAGACCCAGGGAGATTAAGGGCCTGGCCCAGGGTGGCACAGGTTAAGAATCAAAGGTAGAGTTTGAACCCAGCTCCTCTGAACCCAGGACCAATCTTCTTTCCACTGTATCCCAGGGAGTGGGCTCCCCTGCACTCTTTGGCCCTTCCATAAAGGCTGGGTGACCACTTTTTTGTGAAAAAGATCCTTCCTTAGGTACAGATTAGACCAGGTGGCTTCTCAAGTTCCTTCTAAGAGTAACATTCTGAGGTTGTCAGGGACAGGCTGTTCTTACTCCAGCCACGTTTCCTCCAACACGACTGCCCTCCAGTGGGCTCTGCTCTTGGGGATCTGGATTGTCCTGGAGCTGCCTGCTTCTTGTCCTCTAGTAGACTTCCTAGGCCCCTCCTGGCTGGTCAGTCCCTCGGCCCCGCCCCGTCTTCGGTACAGTGGAAGCCAAGGCTGGAATGAACTACAGTGGAGAGGCAAGCGCGGGGAAGAAAGCAGCATGAAGCTCTGCTTTGGGCCACCTGGGAAGAGAAGGTAAGTAACAGGACGAGAGTCAAGAGCCAAGCAGCCAGCGATCAATTCTTGCTTTGGCTCAAGCCCTAGAAAGTGCAGTGGGAAGAACTGTTAAGAACAATTCCTGACTCCACGGACTTTCAGCCAATAAGGTTTATTTAATTAAACAGCAACAAAAAAAGATAAGCAGAAACCGAGGCTGGTTGAAGAAACTGCCCAGTGCAGAGCAGCGCTGGGGGCACCAAGGTAAGCACCTCAGAGAGACCACCAAACCAATCTAAACCTGAAATGCGCTGAGATAGAACCAAGACCATTCGATCAGAAGTGAGAGGGTGTGGGTTCGAATCCTGTCTCTTCCATTTATTACCTGCAAGCCACTTCACTACCCTGGGCCTCAGTTTCCTCATCTGCAACATGAGGGGGCTAGGCCAGATGACCTCCAAGGCCCCTTTCAACTCTAAGTCGAACCTGGGCAGGGAGCTTGGCTAGTTCTTCATCACTGGAGGTGGCTGGGCAGGGATGCCACAGGGAAGGCCTCTGAGTCCCGCCCAACTCTGAGGTTCTATGCAAACCCCTCTGGATAATTGATGAGGTGGGGAAGCTCTTCCTGGCTGCTTAGAGGCAGTTGGTGCTGTGGATAGAATGTGGGTCTGGAGTCAGGAGGACCTGAGTTCAAATCCAGCCTCAGACATCCTGGGAAAGTCACATAACCTCTGTTTGCCTCAGTTTCCTCACCTGTAAAATGGGGATAATAGCTCTTCTTCCCCCTACCCCTGATTGTAAGGATCAAATGATATTATAATTGTAAACTGCTGAGCAGAGTGCCTGGTACCTAGTAAGTGCTACATAAATGTTAGCTATTATTGGCTATGTCACCCTGGGAAAGTCATTATCCGTCTGCCTCAGTTTCCTTAACTGTAAAATGAGGATAATAACAGCACCCACCTTCCAGAGTGGTGAAGATCAAAAGGGATGCTTAGCACAGCACCTGGCATATAATAGGTCCTTAATAAATGCTTGTTCCCTTCCTCTTCTAGGGAGAATCAAAAACTGACCTGTCAGCCCTAGCAGCCTTCCTTACCCAGAGACACTGACATCTTCCTCTGTCCAGTGTGGCTGTGGGGTTTCCTCTTGGTCTGGGCCAGGGCTGTGGCCTGAGGGAAAGCAGACAGGGAGGGGAAAACCTTAGCTCAGACAAGGCCTTTGAGTGCAAGCCGGGGAGCAGCATCAAGTGGGCTTATGCCAGCCTGACTGGACTGAAGTCACTAGATGGTATGCCATATACTCTATATGTTTTTGAGTAAGGGACTGACACAGTCAGGTGCGTAACCTCAGACATTTATTTAACCTCTTCTCTGGGTCTCGGTTTCCTCATCTGTAAAATGAGGGAGTGCTCAATCTTCCAGGTGTAAGTCGACGATCTCAGGGTCGGATCAAACCATTTCTAGTCGGGCCCCAACGTTTACACAGTGCAGATGGTTCAAGTTTCATCATCCACACCTCCACTCTGTGCCTCTCTGGGGCACTACGGGAAGCCTGGTGAGGAGCCAGGGGGATGGTCTGAGGCAATCTTCCTTCCTTACTTACTTATGCCAACCCTATGGTGAGAGGCTCCTAAATCCCAGGTGCTTCCATTTTTTTGTGCCTGAGGGTAGGAGGGTGGGTCAGGGTGGTAAGTGGAAAGAAGCCTGAACTATGAATGAGAAACCCTGGGTTCCAGGCCCAAACACTAATTCTTACTATTTTTTTTCTTTTTCTTTCCCCCCCAACTAATTTCATTAATTTATTGATTTATCAACAATCACTTCCATATGCTTTTGAGTTGAAAATTTTTCTCCTCTTCCTCCCCCCCCTCCCCAAGATGGCACACAATCTGACATAGGTTTTACATTTATATTCCTATTAAACATATTTTCACATTAGTGAAGTTGTAAGTAAAAATTAAAACCAATAGGAGGAACCATCAGAAAGATGAAACAAAACTCAACAGAAGGTAAAAATAAGTGATAGCGATTCGACTTCCATAGTTCTTTCTTTGGATGTGGACAGCATTTCCCATCCTGAGGCCTCTGGAGGTGTCTTAGATCCTCGTAATGCTGAGAAGGGTTCAGTTTGACAATATTAGTCATTGCATAACGTGGCTGTTATTGTGTACAAATTCTCTTGGTTCTGTTCACTTCACTCAGCATCAGACCATATAGGTCTTTCCAGGTTTTTCTGAAGTCAGCCTGTTCATCATTTCTTATAGCACAATAGTATTCCATTACATTCATATACCACAACTTGCTCAGCCATTCCCCAATTGATGGGCATCCTCTCAATTTCCAATTCTTTGCCACCACAAAAAGAGCTGCTATGAATATTTTTGTACATGTGGGTCCTTTTCCCATTTGTTTGATCTCTTTGGGATATAGCCCTAGAAGTGCTATTGCTGGATCAAAGGGTATGCACATTTTTGTAGCCCTTTGGGCATAGTTCCAAATTGTTCTCCAAAATGGTTGGATCATTTCACAACTCCACCAACAATGTATTAGTGTTCCAATTTTCCCACATCCTCTCCAACATTTATCATTTTCCTGTTTTGTCATGTTGGCCAATCTGATAGGTGTGATGTACCTCAGAGTTGTTTTGATTTGCATTTCTCTAATCAATAACGATTTAGAGCATTTTTTCATATGACTATAGATGGCTTTAATTTCTTCATCTGAGAACTGTCTGTTCATATCCTTTGACCATTTATCAATTGGGGAATGGCTTGTGTTCTTATAAATTTGTCTTAATTCTCTATATATTTTAGAAATGAGGCCTTTATCAGAGAGACTGGTTGTAAAAATTCTTTCCAATTTTCTACCTTCCTTCTAATCTTAGTTGCATTGGCTTTGTTTGTGCAAAAACTTTTCAATTTAATGTAATCAAAATTATCCATTTTGCTTTTCATAATGTTCTCTATCTCCTGTTTGGTCATGAATTCTTCTGTTCTCCATAGATCTGATAGGTAAACTATTCCTTGTTCTCCCAGTTTACTTATGGTATCAGCCTTTATATCTAAGTCATGAACCCATTTTGACTTTATTTTGGTATATGGTGTGAGATTTGGGTCTATGCCTAGTTTCTGCCATACTCTTTTCCAGTTTTCCCAGCAGTTTTTTTCAAAGAGTGGGTTCTTATCCCAGAAGCTGGGGTCTTTGGGTTTATCAAATAATAGATTACTATAGTCATTGACTACTGTGTCTTGCATATTTAACCTATTCCACTGATCCACCTCCCTATTTCTTAGCCAGTACCAAGCAGTTTTGATGATTGCTGCTTTATAATACAATTTAAGATCTGGAATTGCTAGGCCACCTTCCCCTGCATTTCTTTTCATTAGTTCCTTTGATATTCTGGATCTTTTGTTTTTCCAAATGAATCTTGTTATTATTTTTTCTAACTCTATAAAATAATTTTTTGGTAGTTTGATTGGTATGGCACTGAATAAGTAAATTAGCTTAGGTAGGATTGTCATTTTTATTATATTAGCTCAGCCTGCCCATGAGCAACTGATGTTTTTCCAGTTATTTAGATCTGATTTTATTTGCGTGAAAAGTGTTTTTGTAATTGTGTTCATAGAGTTCCTGGGTTTGTCTTGGGAGGTAGACTCCTAAATATTTTATAATATCTACAGTAAGTTTAAATGGGATTTCTCTTTCTATCTCTTGCTGTTGGGCTTTGTTGGTAATATATAGAAATGCTGATGATTTATGTAGGTTTATTTTATAGCCTGCAACTTTGCAAAAGTTGTGTATTATTTCAAGTAGTTGTTTATTTGATTCTCTAGGATTCTCTAAGTATATCATCATGTCATCTGCAAAGAGTGATAGCTTTGTTTCTTCTTTGCCTATTCTAATGCCTTCAATTTATTTTTCTTCTCTTATTGCTAAAGCTAATTCTAACTGAGATAATATTTAAGTAAGTTAAATTAAATTTTAATATTTAAAACTGAGAAAATATTTCAAAATATTTACTGATTTAATATTAACTGAGATAATAAAGCCCCTAGCATAGTGCCTGGCACATAGTGGGGGCTATATAAATGTTAGCTACGTTATCTGTATGACTTCAGGTCACTTCACAGGATACAATACGATGCAATAGAAAGAGTGCTAGATTTGGAGTCAAGAAGACCTTCGTTCAAATCCCTGGCTGTGCCATGTAATACCCAAATGACCTTCAGCAAGTCACTCAATTCTCTAGGTCTCACTCTCCTCAAATATAAATTGAGGGGGTTGGATTAGATAAGCTTAGAGATACTTTCCATCTCAAAATCTAGGCTCCCATGATCCCTTTGAACCTCAATTTTCCCACCTGTAAAATGGACATGGTGAAACCCAAACTGCTCTTCTCTCCTTATTGGTAGAGGGAAAACTATGTGTGTGGAACATCGAATACACTGTGAGGCTCAGTCAGTCTGTCAGTTTAGCAGACTTGCTTTTTCGCCTTTTTCTTTTCCAGTGTTTTTTAAAAGGGATAGTTCTCTGGTGTGGAGAGGGTGATAGATTCAGAAATTAAGGTGATGTGAAGGCAAGATATTTCAGTAAAAACAAAAAAGCTGCTCTGTAAACAGAACAGAAATACAGTTGAAATACAGCAAAAGACACTGGTGCCAGCTGCTCATGCATGAATTTTCCAGATAAATGAACTCATCTTTTTAAATGTCAAACTTTCTTTTAACCTTTTTGAATGGAAATCTTTCTAAATTTCTAACCTTGCACGTTACTAAACCTTTCCCACATTTCAGAGTTGGAGGGGAACTTAAGATATGATCTAGTCTAACCCTTTCATTTGACAGATGAGGAAACTGAGACCCCAGGAGGGGATGTGTATATGAAATGACTTGTCTAAGGCTGTGTAACAGGGAGTTAAGTGGCCAGGGAAGGATTAGAACTCACATCTTTAGCTTCCAAATCTAGCACCTTTCTCACTTTGCCAGTCTCCTGTGACGTCAAAGGCTAAGGAATCCAGACCAGTGAGACTTCAACTCACCTGGCCCTATCTGTAAGCCTGGATGCTGAAGGCCCTGCCCTACCCCCTCCACCCCAGCCTCACCTGCTTCCCAAGAGCATCGGAGGCTGCACCCAGGATATGGCACCCTCTGAGGGCCAGTCTCTGTGGGTAGATGGCATTGGGCCTGGGCCTGGGGCCAACAGAGGTGCCCTCCTCCTCCTTGGTCAGCTGATGCCTCGGCATCCCTCTGGGCAGCACTGCATTCCAATGGGCCCAGGCAGACCTGAGGAGGCGGTGCTGCCTGGCATGGTAGATCTGACTCACAGCTGTCCTCCAGTCCTGGCCCTGACGATCAGTCACCTCGGCCAGGTCAGCGAGGGTCCTGAGAAATAAGGGTAATCTTGGGAAGGCATCATTTCCCTTTCTGCCAGCCCCCTAGCCTGATCCTGGGAGTGATACTCTGGGCAGGACTGTTCCCAGGAGAGGGCATAGTCAAGGTGTGTGCCCCAACTCCCATGCTATCCTCTCCCTTCTCCGAGGAAAATCTGGGGAAAGGATAAGAGAGCACCATGTGGCCTAACAGGGTTACGAAACAGGGGAAGGGGAAGCTTGGACTTTGCCGTGGGTAACATGGGTGATATTGACGGGATGATAACATGGGCTGATGTCATGTATTTAAACCTCCAGGTCTATGTAGGACTTGAATACATTCTTCTCCTGTCCCTACTGCCCATCTGCCCAGGTGGCCCAATCACAGGCTCTCTGCCATAGGGCATTAGGAGGAGGGATCCGAGGGGAAGGAAAGAAGATGCTCCTGGCTGGAGGCTCTGGACTTTCCCCCACCACCATAACCAGGCTTCCTGGGGCTATCTCTGGGTTATTTCCCCCAAGTCGATTAGGGGCTGAAGGCCTGGACTTGGGAGGCAGCTGTGGTCTAATGGCTAAAGTACTATAGAACCAGGGTTCAAATACATACTCCCTACATGTGACTGGTCATCTGGAGAGTGAGGATGATGCCTGTGGTACCCACCTCACAGAGTGGTTGTGAAATCCAAAGGAGATAATGAGTGGAAAGCTGTTTGTACACTTTAAAGCACTAAATAAGCCCTGGCAATTATCATTGCTAAATGGATTCTCGGCCTCTGGATGGTGCAGTGGCTGGTACCAACCCCCTTTCTCTTGTCCCAGGTCCCCTTGTACTCCCTCGAAACCTCTACTTCCTGCCCCCAAAGCAGGACCTGAGACGATGGTAGGAGGCTGCCCATCAGGCTTTGAGGGTCCACTGGGCCTGGGCCCGCACCCTCTGGGAGGCAGTGAGGTAGAGTCTATGCCAAGCCACAAAGGCTGCCCTCAGCTCCTACCTCCTCCAGATGGCTTGAAGGGTCCATAACCTGACCCAGAGGTTCAGGGTGGTCAACACCATGTGATTCCAGGCTTGGAAATGGCTGGAAAATGAGGACAAGTCTGTCTGAAAAAGATCTGGGGGTTTCAGTGGACTTCAAGCTCAGAACAACTCAACAGTATGATATGGCTGCCAACTTCCTCCTGCCTCCCCTCCCCCCCAAAGCCCCCTAAAACTACAGTGACCTCACAGCTACCTTAACAACCTTTTAATAAGCAGTGCCTCAGGCTGGGAGCCCTACCACAAGAACACAAGGTTTGATGGCCTGGGAAGGGATTAAAGGGAATGTGCCAGTGGGCATGAGGTCACAGCAGAGCACACAGAGATTTTGAAGGTCCAGAGGAGAGCCTCGTTGGCACCAGACCACCCTAGATACCCCTGCCACCATGGCAGCCTGGTGATTATAAATCCAGTGACCTCCATGGCAGAGGAAACTGAGGTGGCTTGGTCTCACCCAGTTCTTCTCTTCCACCTTCACAACTCCCTGGAGTGCTCTGGCCCCATGCTTCTCTAACGTCCCCTCTCCCACCTCCTAGGGAATTGTGTGCTTCCAGCCCAGGCCTAGCATCCAGCACAAGGAAGGGAGGGGATAGTCCCAATGTATTCTGTCCTGGTGAGACCCCAAGGGAAGCACTTCAGTCACAGAGCTGCAGAATGTCGGAGCTGGAAGGAGCCCGAGCATCCACCCAGGCCAGCCCAGACCCAGACAGCAAAGCCAACAAGTGGTCAGCCAACCACATAGCTTGATGACCTCTAGAGAAAGGGAACTCACTACCTTCCCAGGCAGCCCCTTCATTCCACTTTGGGACAGCTTTGATAATTAAGAAGTTTCTCTTTATACTGAGCTAAAATCTCAGCAACTTCCACCAAGTAGAGTAAAGTTAATACTTCTTCCACATGACAGCGCTTCAAATACTTTATGATGATTAAAATGCCCCTCCTCCCCAAGTCTTCTCTTCTCCTGACCAAACATCTCTCCTTCCTTAAACTCATTCTTATATTATATGGCATGATCTGATGCCCCTTACTGCCGTGGTCACCCTCCTCTGGACACTCTCCAACTTACCAATGTCCTTCCTTTTAAAATGGTCAGGCTAGAGGTGGATGGTTTCAGAAAAATTTGGGAACTCTTATATGAACTGATGCAAAGTGAAGTGAGCAGAACCAGGAGAACATTGTAAATGGTAACAGCAATATTGTAACAATGAGCAACTGTGAGACTTAGCTACTCTGAACAATACAATGATAAAAGACAATTCTGAAAGGACTCACGAGAAAAATGCTGTCCATCTACAGAGGGAGAGAATCAATAAACTCTGAATGAAGATTGAAGCATAATTTTTTCTCCTTTCTCTTTCTTTCTTTCTTTCTTTCTTTCTTTCTTGCTTGCTTGCTTGCTTTCTTTCTTCCTTCCTTCTTTCCTTCCTTCCTTCTCCTTCCTTCCTTCCTTCCTTCCTTCCTTCCTTCCTTCCTTCCTTCCTTCCTTCCTTCCTCCCTTCCTTCCTTCCTCTTTCTTTCCAATATGGCTAATACGGAAATATTTTGCATAACTTTACATGTATAATTGATATCATAGTGTTTACCTTCTCAATGGGTGGGGAAAGGGCTAGAGGGAGAGAGAGAATTTGGGACTCAAATTTTTAAAAATGGATGTTAAATAAAGTATGATGATTTTAAAAATTACAAATAAAACATAATAAAATATTCATTCTAGAGCTGCCCCCAGTTCTGCAGAGCCTCAGTCTCTCCCCTGAGCTCCAGTCCCACATCACCAACTATGGGACCAATGGGACATTTCCAACTGGGTTTCCCATTAGCATCTCAAACTCAATAGGTACAAAACAAAGCTCATTATCTCCCCCAAGCCAACAAATATTTACTGAGCACCTCCCTACTATGTGTCTTTGCCTAATATACCTACTTCTTCTGTCCATAGTCCCACCATCCTTCTAGTGACTCAGGGTCTCAACTGAGGAATGACTCCCTCCTTCCCCACCCCTATCAGGTGCATATTCAATGAGTTGCCAGGTCAGGTCAGTTCCACCTTCTCAGCATCTCTCACTTCTCACATCATTCTCTTTCTATCCACTTACACTACAACCACCAGGAAGTTCCAGGGGCTGGTAGCTTCAAGGGCCTCAAGGATTAAGTACAAACTCTTCTGTCTGCCAGCCTTAGACAGTTGGGTGTCTCACTGAGAAGAGAAGGGACTTACCCAGGTTCACACTGCCAGGATATGTTGGAGGAGGGATTCAGAACCTAGTTCTTCTCCACTCTGAGGCTGGCTCTCTCTCCACTGTGCCATGCTGGCACACTATAGTTATTTAATAAGGGCAGAATCCTAGACACCATGCTAATCTTACTGTGGCCTAAGCTCCCATTAGCTTTTGGGGGGGCTACAGAACATAAACATTTCTGTCTCCCCATTAAGCTTTGCAAAGGGCTTTACATATATTAACTCACTTGATTCTTACAACAACCCTGCAAAAGAGGTGCTGTTATCATCCCCATTTTACAGATGGTGAAAACTGAGCCTGAGAGAAATTCAGTGACTTGTCCAGGGTCACACTAAGCTAGTAAGCATGTGAGTCAGGATTTGAACTCAGGTCTTCAGGACTCCAGGTCCAGTGCTCCATTCACTGGGTTGAGCTGCCTCTTAATTCACACACATAAAGCTTGGAGTCCACTAAGAACTCCCCAGATCTTTGTCATATAAAAACCCAATCTTGACTAGTGAAATTGATTTTTTGTTTAACCCAAGGGTATCCCTGCCCAGGGTACCCACATCTCCTGGCAGCAGGCAGCATTTCTCTTCACGGACGCCTTCCGAGGCCATCCCGCACATGCTCTCCTCTTCAGGATGTAGGGCCTATGCTGAATCCACTGGTGACCCAGCTCCTGGAGGGTCTGTTGTCCTAAAGGAAAGACTCCTAGATCTAGGGGTGCAGGAATCCAACCCAGGGCTCCCTCCTGGAACAAGCCCAGAACTGTATTTCCTGGGATGGGAGACCCGTGAGCCCCAGGATCCTGTTCCCAGGAAGCTAGCTAGTGACCTCTGCTCAAAGGCAGGAGCAGGAAGGTGCTCTGGGATGGTGCCTGGCTTTGAAGGGCATTTGGGGGTTGAAGCGGTCCTTTTCTGTTTGTCTGAGTATATCTCAAACCTCATCCTACTCCCTGCTCCTTCTCCCCCACATTTCTTTAGGCTCCCTAGACGAATCAAACAGCTATCCTCGACGGGCCAAATGATTCAGAGCTGCCACCAATCCATCTCCCTCATTGTTTTTCACTTAAAGATGAAGAATCTGAGGCCTAGAGACTTGCCCAAGGTCTCACCGTAAAGAAGTAGCAAAGTCAACATTTGAACACAGGTCCTTTGACACCAATTCCACTATACTGTCTGTTGTATCTTTTTTTCTTTTTTGTTGTTGGTTTTTTTTTTTCTGGTGAGGCAATGGGGGTTAAGTGACTTGCCCAGAGTCACACAACTAGTAAGTGTCAAATATTTGGTCTGAGGCCAGATTTGAACTCATGTCCTCCTGACTCCAGGGCTGGTGCTCTATCCACTGCGCCACCTAGCTGCCCCCTTGTCTATTGTATCTGAAGCCTCCCATCCCACTCATCACCTTTCATCACACACTCCTCACTTCTTTCCACTATTCTTCATCATCCCCTTCTCCTGAAGTCTGCCCCAAACCCCCTTCTCCATCCAGCCTTCTCCTACTTCTCCTCCAAACCCTCCAGTCCCTCTGCTTCCTAGTTTTCATCATTATTTTACTATATTCACTTTATATATATTATATTACTATATACTATATTATATTACTATAAACTATATTTATTCTATTCCTTAAGTGTATGATGTGTATGCAGTGTGTGTGTGTGTGTGTGTGTGTGTGTGTGTGTGTGTGTGCCTGTCTCATCTTTTATCCAGAATTCCTAAAGTCAGGGATTGTGTCTCCCACCTTGTAGGAGTGCACTGGGAACCAGAGCTCTCAGACTGGGTACTCCCTGAGGGCAGGGATTTTGCCTCCCCACTCTTAGCACATCCCCATCAGACAGGGGAGCACCTTGAGTGCAGGGATTATATTTCTTTTCTGAAAGGGGGCTCCCTGGGGGTAGACTGTTTTCCCCCTGGGAGTGGAGGTTCTCTGAGCTGACAAACTGTGTCTCCCCAGCCTCCTATAGTCTAGGGGGTCCCTCAGGGTGGGCCCACGCCTGTTCCCCCTCTCATCTGAATGCCCACTCCTAATGGATCTCGCTATAGGACCCAGTCCTGGGCTCTACAGACCGAGTTAAAGCTCTTGGGCAGACAGCTGCTTATACCTCCCCAGGGTCCCAGAGTCCAGACTCACTCTGCCAGGAGGTATGCCAATGGTGGAGGGCTTCTTGGGTCAGTGCCCAGACTCGCTGCTGGCAGACCAGCTCCCACCAGACCCCTTGGGCTCCTGCCCATAGGTTCCAGCTGCAGATCACACTGGGAGGGAGAAGAGAGGGGCTGTGTCTATTCCAAAGACCCAGCACTGCTATGCCTTGAGAGCAGGAGTTTTCAAGGTGAAAAAGAAGGGACTTCACGATGACCAAATCACAGAGAAGCAGCACCACAGGAGCTGGAGAAAAGCTCAGAAACCATTTAGTCCAATCTCCTCATTTTACATATAAGGAAACTGAGGTACAGGGAAGTAAGATGATTTGCCCAAGATCACAGTAAATAGCTGGGCAGAGATTTGAGGCCATGTTCTTTGCCAATAAATCCACCGCTCTTTCCACAATACCACAAAGAACCAGAGAAGCCTCTTACTCAGGGTAGAGTAGTGGGGGTGAAACTCAGGTCTCCAGACCCTAGTCTTGACCTCAGCTACTCCCTCATCTATAAAATACTTAACAAAAACAAAACCATTTCACAGTGTGCCTTCTCCCACCCACCCACTCAAAGTAAGGCAGATACAGTGGATGGAAGATGTATTGGCAGAGCCAAGATGGAAGAGAAAAGCAGGAACTCACCAGAGCTCTCCCAAATTCACTTCCTAACGACTTTAAAATAATGGCTCCAAGTGAATTCTGGAGTGACAGCACCCACAAAACGGTGGGGCAAAACAACTTTCCCAGCCTGAGACAGCGTAGAAGGTAGACAGGAAAGGGCTGTCTCACTGAGATGAGAGTGGAACACAGTCCAGAGCGGGTAGCGTGGGCAAGCCAGCAAGGCAAAAGGGGGGCCCCCAGCCCCAGCCCAAGCCAGTAGCAAGGTCATGAGCCCCAGTGAGCCAGCAGTGGTCTCTGCCCTAGCAATCTAGTGCAGGCCTTGGGGACAAGTGAATCAGCAACAGCGACTTCCAGAGCCCTCAGCCCACAGACAATGAGGGGGCTGGACAGCGGGTCAGAAGGAGATTACAAAAGGGGACACTCTGTTGACATTCGGTGCAGGGCTCTGTTGCATGGCCCAAACAGGAATCTGGGTAACAGGCCTGGATAGCAGTCCCAGAGTGAGAAGAAGTACTAGCATACTACAGTGTGGCCACAGGGACTGGGGACCCTGGTCACACTTCCAGGGCAGAAAAGAGTGCTTGCGGTCACTCAGACCAGAGCATAGGCCAGGAAAACAGTGACCACACCTCTCCTCAGATCATACCACCTTGGAAGGATTGAAAACTTACAGGTCCCCAGAATTAGCTCTGAAAACAGCAGCATGAAAAACCTGAAGCTTAAGACAGTGTCCTCTCCAACCCAGGAGCAAAGCCCAACTTTAAGATAAGACTGGAAAAATGAGGAAAACACGAAAAAAGAACCTGACCATTGAAAGTTACTATGGTGACAGGGAAGAGCAAAAACACAGACTCAGAAGTAGACAATGTCAAAACGGCTACCTGCAAAGCCTCAAAGGAAAATATGAATTCATGTCAGGCCCAAAAAGAACTCCTGGAATAGCTCAAAAAGGATTTTAAAAATCAAATAAGAGGTAGAAGAAAAATTGGGAAAAGACATGAGAATGATGAAGAGAGTCATGAAAAAGAGAGTCAACAGTAAGATAAAGGAAGCTCCAAAAACAGAAGAAGATGTACAAAAATTCACCAAAGAAATCAACTCCTTAAAAAGTAGAATTGGTCCATTAGAAAAGAATGTATAAAAACTGACTGAAGAAAATAATTCCTTAAAAATTAGAATTGGGCAAGTGGAAGCTAATGAGTCCATGAGAGATCAAGAAAAAGAAAAGAAAAGAAAAGAAAAGAAAAGAAAAGAAAAGAAAAGAAAAGAAAAGAAAAGAAAAGAATAAATACAGAATAAAAATAAAATCAAATCAAAGAATGGAAAAAAATGTGACATATCTCATTAGATAAACAACTGACCTGGAAAACAGATCAAGGAGAGACAATTTAAAAATTATTAGGGGTGAGGCAGCTAGGTAGCAGTGGACAGAGCACTGGCCCTGGATTCAGGAGGACCTGAATTCAAATCCGGCCTCAGACACATAACACTTACTAGCTGTATGATCCTAGGCAAGTCACTTAACCCCATTGCCTAGCCAAAAAAAAAAAAAAGAGAGGTGGTGCAGTGGATAGAGCTTCAGCCTTGGAGTCAGGAGGACCTGAGTTCAAATCTGTACTCAGACACTTGACACTTACTAGCTATGCGACCATGGGCAACTCACTACTTAACCCCATCGCTTAGCCAAAAAACAAACAAACAAACAAATGAAATGACTGGACTACCTGAAAGGCACAATTGAAAAAGGAGCATAGACATCATCTTTCAAGAAATCATCAAGAAAAACTGCTCTGGTATCCTAGAACCAAAGTGTAAATTAGAAGTTGAAAAAATCCACTGATCACCTCCTGAAAGAGATCCCAAAATGAATATTATAGTCAAATTTCAAACCCTCTTTTACTAGCAATGTGGGGTATTGGAAAGAGCCCCAGATTTGGAATCAGAAGCCCTAGGTTCAAATCTTGCCCCCACAATTTACTATTTGTGATAGGCAAGTCACTCTATGTGCCTGGGCTATAATTGGATGAGATGATCTCTGAGGTCCTGATACCTTCTAAGCTGTGGTAGCTATGGATAAGAGAGAGGTGCAGAGATAGGCCCTAAGATTTTGACCAAAGAGGTCAAGGTGGAAAGGAGACAGCCCTTCAGAAAGACAGCACATGGGGACCAGGGTGGGTGGCCTGAAGAACTGGGATTAATTTTTGTCCCACATTCTCTCCACAATGACTATTTTCCAGCTGACAGTCTACGTATGGGTGGGGGCACAATTCGGGAGCTGGTGTCCTATAGCTAGGTAGAATCTGAAGAATCCCCCCCTACCGGCTCTGGCAATGCTGCTTGGCTTCTAGGTCTTTTTGGGAGCCCTGCTGCCACCGTGCCTTCCACCAAGGGCTATCCAAGTGGCCAGGGTCTCTGGGAACCTGAGAAAGGAACACAGTAAAATCCTTAATCCTCTGGGAGCCCTCTTCTGACATCCTCCCTTCCCCCCCCCACCTGTCTCCCATAAGAAAAATGCTGATCTGAGACGTAATGAGGGTTGTTACCTGGAGCTGTTGGGGGCTGAGCGCTCATGACCATGGGGATGGAGGAGGAGAATCCAGGTGTCTGTTCTCCTGGCCTCCACCCTCTCACAGCAGCCAGGGGCCTTCGCAGCCTTTCCCCCAACTCACAGCCCTTTTCCTCTGATAGCCTCAGGATAGGGGAGATGCCCAGCAGGCTCCTTACCTGATCCCCTTACCTGAACAGCTTCTATCCGAGGACCAGTCTCTTCTCCTGGAGGATGGCAGGCCAACAACTGTCTCCCGGGTCCAGGATGCTGCCATTCCCAGAGCTGGAACCACTTCTGCCTAGGAAAGAACAAAGACACCCAGGCTGCCCGGATCATTTACTTCCCTCAGCCTATGATGGGGCAAGAAGCCCCGAGTAAAGTGAGCCCCCCATCGCACTGACAGCAAGTAGAAGAGCCGGAATCCCAGCTCCTTGAGGAACTGGGATTTTTCATTCTTGGTCAGTGCTTGGTACACAGTAAACACTTAATGAAGCCTTGCTAGCTGGCTGCTTAAATAAGAGCCCAGACCATCATGTCTTAGTTCACCCCAGAGTCAAAGAGGGGCAAGTCTTTTCTGGTAACCCTTCTCTTTGGGGTGGAAGTGTTGCAGTCTAGGGGTGCTGGGAACCCTGAAATTCAAGGGCAAAAGACTCAGGTCCTGCCTCAAAACAATTCCACTCAAGCCTTCTTTCAGTCAGAGACGAGGTTTACTGTTTTGCCAGTAGAAGCCAGTGGGACTTTTCAGAACCATCTCTTTAGGTCATTGAGATTGACCCCTTTCATAAGGGAAAAGATTTTGTGGGAAGATTTCAATGGGATCCCTGAGTGACTGATAGGCTGGGGTGACCTGGAGGTAAAGAAGGGGTCTAGAGGCAATTAAGGATGGGAAGTGGATTGGACAAGGAAGGGCTGGGCTAGGTTAGAGGTAATGGAGAATTGGAGACTGGGGCAGAGTCAAAGCCACAAGGAAAGGACGGTTGAAAGGCTTATACTGAAATGAGCCTCAGGGGACCGCCATGGCCTTGAGGGAGGGTTCAGGGGAACTTGGGGGTGGGGGAGAGGTTTCCAGGGCCCATACCCCATCAGAAGCCTATTCATTTGACCCTCATAACAACCCTGGGAGGTAGGCAGGGATTTAGGTTTGTTTTTAAACTGAATTGTTGTTACCATTTTTCAGATGAGTGCTCACAGCCTGCCCATAGCCACCTATCCTGAGCTTGGGTCTTCAGCCTCCAGTTGCAGGGGTCCCTCCACTACACCTTGTCCCACCCCTAAGAGCTCCCTGAGCTGCCTCTGATTGTGTCAGCCAGAGGACCTGGCCCAGGGAAGAGGCAGAGGCAGAGGAGGGGGCTCAAGGGAGCTAGGCATGGGGTAGGAGGTATGTAGAGGGACCAAATGACCTCCACTCCTCTCACCTCCAAACCGAGAGGTACCTGCACCCTGAGGTCAGAGTAATTCAATGACTCGAGCATTTATTAAGTGCCTACTGTGTGCAGGGCACTAAGTGCTGGGGAGGAGATAAAGACGGAAATTAGTGGGGATGTTAGTCTCAGCACTCACCCAAGGGGGAAGGCTATCCTCCAGAACTCAAGAGCCTCCGAAGAGATTGAACTCAATCCCAGGGGCGGCACCCAAGGAGAGTCATCCCCTGCCAGGCTTAGGAAGGAGCTGCTGCTTTCAGTCGGGCTACGGGCCTGAGGACAGAGGCTGGGAGTCAGAGAACCTCGGATGTGGACAGCTAGCAAGTGGTAGAAGCAGGATCTGAACCCAGGTCACCCAATTATACCTTCAGGCAATTTACTACCACGTCACTAGCGTTGGCTCAGGTCCACCTAGTTTGGAGGACCTCTGAGTTGTAAGGGACCCACCCTGGAGGCCATCTGAAGCAGGAATTAATCCCCTCCCCATTATCCCTTACAAATGGTCATGCAAAGTCTACTCTAGGAACTCTTTTTGCCCTAGAAATAGTAATTTACATGTCCCTAGCACTTGTTAAGTGTAAAGCCCTTTATATGCATCCTCTTGTTTGATCTGAACTACAGCCCCTAGAGGTGGCTGCCTTTCAATTGTACAGCTGGGCCAGTGAGTACCCAAGGCAGGATTTGGACTCAGGTTTTCCTGACTGCTCTAACTTCAGGGCTCTAGCTACAACACCTTCCTCTTCCGGGGCAGCTGGGTGCACTGGTCCCTCTCCCCCCTCCATCACACTCTTCACCCGGCAGCTCAGCTCTCTTTGAACACCTTCATCCATATTAACCTCCCAGACCAGAAGGTCTGCCCACTACTGCTCTGCTCAGGTCCTACACCCTCCATCCCCTGTGACTTCACCTGCTCTGATGAGCTTCTGAGGGTGCCGGGACCCAGCGGAGCCGAGATGCTGCTGAGAAACCCAGAGGAGGGGGGTGACTCTTCTGAATCCTGGGCGCCAACAGAAGGCTCTGGGTGGGAGTTAGTGGAGCTGGCGAGGGGTGACTCTGCCACCCAGGCCTTCTGCCGCCACCGTCGTAGGGTGTTCTGAAGGAGCCGCAACTTCCTGTTCTGGGAGAAAGAGCTGAAGAAACAAGACTTCTGCTGTGAAACTGACTGACCCTTCACCCATCTCACACACCCCCAGAACCTATCCTGTGCTTGAAGGAAGGAAAAAAGCAATTATTAAGCACCTGCTATGTGCCAAGCATTGGCCTAAATGCTTGTCAACATCCCTTCAGGGAAGGTGCTTTTATGATCTCCATTTTACAGTGGAAGAAACTGAGGCAGACAGAGGTTAAGCAGCTTGCCCAGAGTCACAGAGCAACTAAGTGTGTGAGGCTGAATTTGAACTCAGGTCCTGTGGCCTCAGAATCAAAGCTCTTTCCACTTTCTACTCCAGGCAGTTAAGTGATGCTATAGTATACAGAGTGCTAGAGTAGAGTCGGGAAGACTTGAGTACGAATCCTGCCTCACACCTTTCCTTGGGCAAGTCAGTTCAACTCTGTCTGCCTCAATTTCCTTATCTGTAAAATAAGGATAATAACAGTACCTACCTCCAGGGTTGTTGTGAGGATCAAATAAGATAATATTTGCAAAGTGTTTGGCACAATTGTGCCTGGAACATAGTAGGTGCTTTATACATATTCACTAATATTATATCCCCCCAGTACAATGTGGGCTCCTTGAGGGCAGGGTGAATCTTTTGCCTTTCTTTGGCTCCCCAGTGCTTAGCAGAGTGCCCGATACATAGTAGGTGCTTAATAAGTGTTTGTTGGCTGACTAATTGACCATCCTGACTTCCAGCCCAGGATCCTATCAGGCCCCATTCTGGAACTGACCACATGTCGTCAGATTTTAAGCTGGTTAGGAGGTTGGGGGCTGGGCGGTGCCGGTTCCTGTGACACATACTCTGCCCACTGGTGCTGGGCCAGCCTTCGGGACCACAGCCAGATCGCCCGGTGTAGTTTCAGTTTCCGGCAGGCCTCTTCCAGAGAGTCCTTTGCCCTGATCCCCGGATGACAGCAGGGCTGGTCTGGTTCTCCTGGACCCTGGCTGACAGGTCCTCTGCAGGATCCTTCATGGGCCACAGCCACTGGGGACAAACTCAGGTTAAGAGGAGGAGGACAGAGAGAGGCCAGGGCTGATGAGAAACGGGGCTGACCCCCTTTCCCCACCCCTTCTATCTCTGACCTCACCCCACAAAAGGTTTATTGACCCATGACAGTGAGGATGAGAGCTTGGAAGAAGTGGGGGGGGGGTGCCGAGCATAAGCCAGAGTGCCCAGGACAAGGTGGTGCTTAATAAATGCTGTTGGCTCAGGATGGGTGAGAGAGCCAGCAGCTGGAGGGGTCTAAGAGTGGAGACGGATGGCAGAGCAAGTCGAGGCCTTCACAGCCCACTTGGCCCTACCCTGTGTATTTTCTCAAGCACTGGGTGCCCTCCTGGGTCGAACCCCTCTCACCCTCCAGGTGCCAGCTCCTCTGGCGAAGGAGATAGAGCTGGGCCACTGTCCTTGAGTGTGTAGCTTGGAGCCACACCATTTTCACCCACTGCTGTAGGCTCTTCCTCAAGGTCTCAACCCGCCAGTGAGCCAGCTTGCCCTGGCACCACGTCTTTCTCTGTGTGTGGAGCATCCATGCCCCAAAGCACCTGAGTGGACAAAGGAAGAGGCATCTGTCCCTCCCTCTCCAAGGTCTTGAAGACTGAGCCTGTCCCTCTCCCCCATGGTACTGCAAAGCTTGGCCCCTGGAGGTGGGAAGTAGAGAGATGGGGGCTCACTGAAGAAAGTGCTGGGAGAGACCATGGAGGGTGGGCGGGAGACTCTATAAGGCCTGGGCTCTAGGCCACAGGGAAGAGGGGCCAGTCCCTGGACCACATCTGGGCCCAAGACCCAGCATCGGTGGTCAAGGCAGAAGAGGCCAGGAGCCTCAGCATACAAAGACCTAAGGTTTTGGGGAAGCTGCTTGAGTTTGGGTAAAGTATAATCATCTTGGCAGAAACACTCAGTTCTCAGCCAGTTCTCTCCCATCTCAATTCCTGGATGCCGGCAATCTCTACTTACTCTGGTAAGGACAGGAAGTAGCTTGTCCTGGGGAGTCTCTACTGCCTCTGGCTCTCCTCCCACTGGGGCCTCCCCTCCCCCTGCCCATTCAGGGATGACCCTCTCTCTCCCCACACACAAGCGAGGGTTCTAATCCAAGGCCTTACAGGCAGGCTGTGCTTCAGCTAAACCCAATAGGCCAAAAATATTTCAAGCCAAGCACAAATTCCTTAGGGGGACCCAAGAGGACTAAGGCCATCAGTCCATACCCTCTCATTTTACAGGTGAGGAAACCAAAGTCCAGATAGTTGCCCAAGGTACATAGGCTGGGATTCAAACCCAGGTCCTTTGATTCCACTGGCTGGTTTCCTGACACACTGTGATGCCTCCCTCTCCAAACCTCCCACGGATCCCTGCTGCCCAGAACAGAAAGTTTAATTCTCCTCAGCCTGGCATTGAAGGTCCTCCCGGACTTGGGCATGGCTTCCCACACCCCCTGACAACTGTCACTTTACCGGCCAAGCTGGGCTCTCTGGTGCTGGGTCACCAGGGTACAGATCCGGGCTGTGTTCACGGTCCTTGCCCGCCAGGCCTGGAAAACCCGACGAAGCTTCTTCTTCCCCAGCTCAGCCCGGGCCTGGGCCTCCTTTCGAATTTCTGCCACCAGCACTTTCTGCAGGTACCACAGGTAGAAGGCTGCTGGGCCCCAGTGGGGTTGGAAGGAGGAGGGAGAAAGACAGGGGCCTGAGAGGCAGCTGGAGGCAGCAGGGAGGGAAGGGAGATGAAGGAAGGATCCATTCCTGGGCAGAACCCCCACTGCTGCAGGAGCAAGGTCAGAGCCATAGACCCAGGGAGGGGCTGGAGGGAAGGGCACGTGGTCACCATTTAGTCTGATCTCTTTGTTTTAAAGAGAATTTCCAATCCCGTGATCTTTCCGCTGTGCCACTGGGCGAGTGGGGCTGGCACAAAGACCCTATGTGGTGTGGGGGAAGGGTAGCCCTCCTGGCCCAGCGCAAATCAAGTCAACTGGTGTTGTGAGTGGGGAGAAAAAGGAGGAAGACAAGAGAGTGGCAACGAGGTTGAACAGAATCCCAGTGACTGGCTGGAAACCTCCGCTCTCAATGGAATCATCACTGGACGTGGGCCAGAAGCTTACCCGACCAGCCAATCAACTAGTCAGTCAATTAATTATGCCTCCACTTAGCACTTTATACAGCTTTTTAAAAAACGTTTTTTCAAAATGTTTCTTTTCTTTCTAGCTAGGCAATGGGGTTAAATGACTTACTCAGGGTCACATATCTAGTAAGTGTCAAATGTCTGAGGCCGGATTTGAACTCCCGTCCTCCTGACTCCAGGGCAGATGCTTTCTATTCACTGCGCCGCCTAGCTGCCCTTGAAATGTTTCTGTAGGTATTATCTGACGGGAAACCTACCAACTATGGTGAGGCGTGTAGTGAAAAGATTGCAGCGTCCATTTTAGAGATGAAGAAACTGAGGCAGAGTGATGTAGTAGGAGAAAGAAACCCCCTGGACTTGGAGTCAGAAGCCTACTGTCTGACTCTTGGCCCTGCTGCTACTCACCTCCTACCTGTGGGCACTGGGTAACTCAGTGAACCTGCTTGTGCCTCAGTTTCCTGTTCTAGGAAATGATGGGATTGGATTGATCTTTGATGGTTCACTTCCTGGGGTTCACTCAGTAAGATAAAAGGACCATACGAATTTAGGAAGTTATCAGTGACCTCTCAATGGAAACATCTGATGGCCTGTTCTCAGTCCTCATCCTTCTTGACTTCTCAGCTTTTTACACTGTCGGTCACCCTCTCCTCTTGGACACTCCTCTGAGTTTTCATGACTCCTCTCTCCCTCCTGGTTCTTTCCACCCAGCTGTCTAAATGCTCTTCCTCAATTTCCTTTGCTGGACCTTCATCCAGGACCCACCCACTAACTGTGGGTGCCCCTAAGGCTCTGTCCTGGGCCATCTTCTTTTCCTTCTCTACATCCCCTCTCTCAGTAATCTCATCAGTTCCCATAGATCCAATGATCAGCTCTACACAGATTATTTCCATATCTATCTATCTATCTATCTATCTATCTATCTATCTATCTATCTATCTATCTATCTGTCTGTCTGTCTGTCTGTCGTCTGTCTGTCTGTCTGTCTGTCTGTCTGTCTGTCTGTCTGCAGTCCTGGTCTCTATTGATTTCCAGTCTCCTATTACTTATTGCTTAGTGGACATTTCCAACTGGATTTCCCATAGGAATCTCAAACTCATCTGTCCAAAATGTAATTCATCTTTTCTCCAAACCCACCCCTCTTCCTAACTTCCCTCCTTCTGTCTAGGGCACCACCAACCTTCCAGTCAACCAGACTCACAACCTCTAACTTGAGCCTTCACTCTTTCTCACCTCCAACACCAGTGGGTTGCCAAATCTTGTCAATTGAACCTCAACCATGGGGCAGCTAGGTGGTGCAGTGGATAGAGCACCAGCCCTGAAGTCAGGAGGACCTGAGTTCAAATCTAGCCTCAGACCAAATACTTGACACTTACTAGCTGTGTGACCCTGGGCAAGTCACTTAACCCCAATTGCCTAAAAAAAGAAAAAAGAAAAAAAAAAAGAACCTCAACCAGTATCTCTCTCTCTGTCTTTTCTCTCCCCCTCTATCTCTTTCTGTCTCCTCCTCCTTCTTCTTCCCCCTCCCTCCCTCCCTCTCTCTCTCTCTCTCCCCTCCTCCTCCTTCTCCTCTTCTCTCTCATTTCTGAATAAGACTTAAAAGAAAACTGATATCACAATCTAGTCTTCACTCTCTCCAGCTGCCTAATCAAAACCACCCAAACTCATACCCCAAACAGAATGGTCTTTCCTCCTACTCCAAACCTGTGCCTTTTCTGAACTTTTCTACCTTTGTCAAAGGCACCACCATCTTTTTCCACTCCCCTCACCCCTTCTCCCAAATGAATCAGTCCCTAAGTCTTGTCATGTCTCACATCTGACCTCACCTCTCTCTCTTAGAGCCTCATCACCTCCAAAGTGGCCTCCCTGCCTCAAGTCTCTCCCCTCTCCAACCCATCCCCCACACAGCTGCCAAAATTGATACTCTCAAGGCACGGCTCTGATGTGTCAGAAACCCTGGTCCAAAAGCTCCCTCTTCTCTCTTGGGGAAAATACAAATCCCTTTGCTTGGCATGTGGACACCTTCTTAATCGAGTTCCAGCCCAGTTTTTCAGGTTCTCCCAGACCTCCCTTTCATGCACTCTCCAGCCCAGCCCCACTGGCCCATTTTCTCTTCCCCATATACTACACTCCATCACCCACATCTTTGCCTAGACCATTCTCCCCGCCTGGAGCACCCTCCTCATCCTTGCCAATTTAGAATCCCTGGCTTCTTTCCAAAACTCAGATCAAATGCCTTTTCTGATTCTCTCCCCACCCCCTACCCCTCTCCACCAAGTGGCCTGCCCCTCTGAAATTCCCTTGCATTTACTTGGCATATATTTTGTATTTACTTGTACATGTTGTCTCTCTTGCAGACTGTAAGCTCCTCGAGGGCAGGTACAATTTCACTTTTGTCTTTGTATCCCCAGTACCTGACACATAGGAGGCACTTCATAAATGCTTGCTGAATGAATGAATGAATGAATGAATGAATGACTAGTGATCATGTAGTCCATCCAACCTCCTCCTTTTATTGATGATAATAATAACTCACATTTACATAGCACTTGGAGGTTTGCAAGGCAATTTCCTCCCCCAAGCCCTGAAAGGTAAATAGTCACAGAGCCACAGACTCACAGAATCTGAGATGGATGGAAGGGGACCAACCCACATCTGACCAAGAATCCCTTCTGCCAACGTCCCCAACAAACGGTCCCTCAGCCTCTCTCTGCCTGAGGACGAGAAGGGAGGCTTCCACTTTGGGACCACTCTAACTGGCAGGAAGGTTTTTCCTGACCTCAGGCCTATGGCTGACCCTCTGCATTTCTCACCCACCACCCACTGCTGCATTTCTCACCAACCCTCTGGGACCAAGCAGAAAAGGTCCAATCCCTCTTCCAAGTGAAAGCTTTAGAGCCCTGAAGAAAACTATCCTATGTCCCCCAAGCCTTCTTTTCTCCAAGCTGAACACCCCCAGGTCCTTCCCACAATCCTTCTAATAGCCTGACCTCAAGGCTTTTCACCCTCCTGGTCACTATCCCCCGGACTCTCCAGCTTATCAATACCCTTCCTAACATGAGGTGCCTGGAACTGAAACAGAGGACACCAGATCTTAGAGGTGGTCGATCCTAGACTCTAGTTCTCAGAGTGAGGTAGAGTAGACGGATTTGGAGTAGGAAGATCCGGGTTCAAATCCTGCCTTTGATGCCTACTAGCTATGAGACCCTAGGCAATTCACAGTGCCTTGGTTTCCTCATCTGTAAAGTGAGGGGATTGGACTCTCTGGCTTCTAAGATCCTTTCCAGCTCTAGATCTATAATCCTATGATCTGGCCTGATTGGGGTATATTCAAAACTTGAAGCAACCTGTTCACTTAATAGAATTATCTTAATTATCTTAAGATATTAAGAATTATATTAAGGGAATTTCTATGAAAACAGCAATATTTGAGGTCCACCTAAAGTGATCAGAGAACACCCTGAAATGTTTGGAGAAACATTTAGCTCTGGGAAAGACCATTCTAGGAAATTAGTACTCCTCTTAACCTTGAGACACCAACCCTGGAATAAGGAGGACCTGTGTTCGAGACCTACCGCTGATGCATACTTGGCTGTGAGCCAGGTCTGAGCAAGCCACTTAACCGAGTCTTTAAGACTGTAAATAACATATATAAGCTGCTGATCTGCAGGGGTGGTTTTCCACCCAGGGAGTTCCTTCAGCTTGATGAAATCTCAAATCTGGGAAGGCAACAATCAAAAACAAAACCAAAAAATCCCTTGCTCTCACCCACCCCCACATGTAGAAGCACATGCACGGTATTGGCTAAGGTCTCATGGAGGCTATTAGAAAGCAGAAGCAGGAAGTGGGTTGTATAATTGCTGTTATTATGAAGCATCGCTCTTCTTGTCAGCCAAAAGGGTCAGAGAGAATTCTCACCTGCTGGGTCAACTTCCCTGTTTTGAGAAAGATCGAAAACACAGAAACTTAGCCGTGGAATTAACGCCTCCCATCTCTGCCTCTCTCTGTGTCCCTAGGATCCCTTTTCCAACTTCCCGGGTTTCTGTAACGCCCAGTGGAGCCTCCAGGAAGGTTTCTGCCACGCCACACCATTTGTCATGGGTGGTATTTCTCCAAGGGATGATTCAGGCACTGGACTACACTGTTCATTCTTTCGTTCATTCATCGAGCATTTTAGAAACATGTTCTTGTTGCTGGGGATATAAAGACCCCCTCCCCCAAAAACAAACAAACAAACAAACAAAAACAAACAAACCAGTCTCCATCCAAGGAGCTTACATTCCATTGGGGGGACTCCACATACATACTATTGCATATAAGTAAATACAAAGATAAGTAAAATACAGAGGAAGTCTGTAAAACAATTTCAGGGGAGTGGAGCAGAGAGCACCAAACAGCTTGGGGAACCAGGAAAAGCCTCCTGGGAGCCAGGGATTCTGAGAAGTGGAGGAGTGGGAGGGAGAGCATTCCAGCCCTGGGGACACTGCTTTTGCAAAGACACTGAGGTGGGAGATGGAATGTTGGATATAGAAAATGACAAATAGGCAGGGGAGAACTATTCTAACCACCCATGCACACGGCAGCAGCAGTAAGACAGGGTCTTAATACCTGCTGCTTCAACTGAAGGGTAAAATTCAGCCCTCCTAAGTAGCTATTCCATCCCCACAAGGCGCCTCTCTCCCCTCCACAACAAAGGCCAGTGACTTCCTCTGCTTGAGGCTGACCGCCGTGCCATCCCTCCACACCAGTTGCAGGGGGTGAGTTTGCTTATGATATCCTCACAGAGACACAACGGGCGACTTTCCAAATTAAGAACAGATACAGTACCTGTCCCAGCAGAGAGAAAGAAAACTAATCGACCTCCTAGAACAGCACTGCTCTCTCTTCCGGGTTTTAAACTTGCTCCTAAGATCACAAACTGCCTAAGTCAAGAGAAAATCTTAAACCTTCCCCTTACCTCACTGCCATTCCAAAGTGGTCACTGCTATTCTAATTAATTTAATCTAATCTATCACATGCATCATTTAAAAAAAAATTATTTTGGGGACAGCTAGGTGGTGCAGTGTATAGAGTACCAGCCCTGAAGTCAGGAGGACCTGAGTTCAAATCCAGACTCAGACCAAACACTTGACACTTACTAGCTGTGTGACCCTGGGCAAGTCACTTAACCCCAATTGCCCCCCCAAAAAATATTTTGGTCCAGTTGTGTGATGTCATCAGTTTGGGGAACGCCTGGTGTGCAAATTCCCTCCGCCAAGGCAACTCCTCAGTAATTTCTCCCTTTTAGAAGAGGGGTTCTTAACCTCTGGTCCATGAACTTGAATGGGAAAGAATTACACCTTTGTTTTCACTCACCTCTAGCTGAAATTTGATATTCTCTTTAATTGTGAATGTAGGCAACAAAAGATTATTCTGAGGAGTCCTTGGACTTCACCAGATTGCCTTTGGCAGGGTACATGACACGCAAAGTGATTTGTTTATTTATTTATTTTGATGAGGCAGTTAGAGTTAAGTGACTTGCCCAAGGTCACACAGCTAGTGTTATGTGTCTGAGGGCGGATTTGAACTCAGGTCCTCCTGACTCTAGGGCCCGTGCTCTATCCATTGCACAACCTCATGCTCCACAAAGCGATTTAGACAGTTGCCCAGGGCACTGGGTGGAGGGGGTTTTGAATGACTTGCCCAGGATCCCATGGCTAGTTAGCATTGCAAGGAAAACTTGAACCCAGGTCTTCCTGATGTCAGGACTAACCTTCTACTCTACATCATGCTGTCTCTCAAATCTAGTGGTTTTATCCAGCTGGTGGCTCCCAGAGAATCTGGGACAAGAAAATGACTGCATCATCATAGAGCTCCAATTTGGAGGGACAAACAGAATCACAGTGTGTGTTATTAACCCCTTCTTATAGATGAGGAGACTGAGGCTTTGGGCAGGTAAGTGACTTCTCTACTTTCCCTCAGCTGGGAAGTGTCTGAGGCAGGGTTTGAACTCAGGGCTCCAAGCCCAGGTCTCTATCTACCACATCATGGAAGAAACTGAAGTGAACTGTCTGGGACAAGGTTTAGACCCAGGGGTGACTCTAGGGCTAGAACTCTGTTCTGTCAAATTCTCTTTCCAATAAATGGCATTGCTTCTTACTGGGACCTATGTGGGGTCCTACTGTCATTTGTGTTAGCTTAAGTAAGATCCTGTCCTTTTCAAATGGCGGCATGAACAAATGTCATCCCTGGCTGGAGATCTGCTATGAAATAGCCCTAATTTCAGTAAAACTATAGCCTTAGGTCCAAGGATCCTCCCCTTCTACCAGAGGCTCCAAGTTCACATGGACCAGGGTCCACCCTGAGGGCCTTACTTCCCAAACCCAAAACTACAGGAAGGTCATTGTAATTTGTTGATGGGTACTACTGTCCACTCAAAGCAGACTAACTGAGGGTCAACAAAGGCTTGGAATTGCCATTAAAGTGGGAAACAGTGCCCTAGTTGATGGAGATGTCTAACTCTTCCTTCCTAATGCCCTGTTGAGTCTCAGGCCATAGAAACCGCCCTTATGGAGACTTAGCGGTTGCCACAACAGTGTAATCATGGGGTTCAGGGGTTGTGATGCTCAAGCAGTGGTTCTCAAATTTTTGATCTCCAGACCTCTTTACAACCTTAAATTATTGAGGATTCTCCAAAGAGCTTTTGTTTATGTGGAATCTATCCATATTCACTGTATTAGAAATTAAAATATCTTAGTATTATGAAAATAATTTTGACTTTGTGAACACCCTGGAAACGACTTGGGGACCCTTAGTGGGATCTAGCCCTGATTTAAGGGCCAAAGGGTTTTGGCATACAGGGTTAGCTTCCTGTGGGCAGGGCCAGGTCCCCTCTGTGCCCCTCCAGCTCCATCACTGGCACTGGCTTCTGGGCCCATTCCTTCCCCTCCCCATTCTCTTTCCCCAATACCCACTTACCAGCCAGCCGCTGAAGGTCTCGAGTGGCAGGGGCCCTAGGGCTCTGGCTTCCTGATTTCCATCTGGGGTGGAGCTGAATCTTTGGTGCTCCCTCCACTCCACAAACGACCCCTAGAGTTACAAAGGATCTGCCCAAAGAGAAGAGTGTCATCTGTTGCTTGGGTGTGTGGACGCTCCTGCCCCACCACAAGCCTGAGCTCCCATTCCTAAGCATTTTAAAGGGTGCCAATAGAATTTCCAAAACAAGTATTTCAGGCCGACTTCCTAACAGTCCCATGAAGTAGGATCATGGGATCACAGATTAAGAGCTGGGCCATTCAGTCTAACCCCCTCACTTTATGGGTAATGAAAGGGAGGCCCAGAGAAGGGAAGGGACTTGCCCACATACTCCAAATCCTGAATTCCTTCCACATTGGGAAGAAGCTTGCTCACCCTACTCCTGGACTTCTCACACTGGAAGAACCCTCCACCCTGGGGCCTCTTCTTCTGATTGTCTGGATCCTCTCAGAACCTCCACTTTAAGGAGGCCAGCCAGGCCAGCAATGTCTTCATTCTTCTCCAGGCTGCACTTCTGACTTTCTCTACCAGGCCTCTCAGTTGCATACACCCCACCCTCCCCTCTCTCTCCTCCTTTCCCAGGCTTCCTTTTATGTATGATCTTTCCCCATTAGAATGTAAGGTCCTTGAGGGCAGGGGCTTTTTGAAAAAAGTTTTATTTTTTTAATAAACTATACAACTTTATTACTTCCTTTTATAAAATATCTCATCCTTTAGGGAGTTTGGAAGTTTCTATTTCTAGTATTTGAGAATTTGTAACTATATGATATAATCACCTTCTCTGAGGGGCTTTCTTTCTTTCTACTAGTATTTCTATCCCCAACATAGTATAAATGCTCGCTGACTTGAATTACTCCTGCCTCTCAGATAATACAAATATGACCATTTCCATTTTGCAGATGAGGAAACTGAGGTGCTGAGAGTTAAAGGGATGACACAAAGCTGGGAGGGACAGCTGACACACAAGTCTAATGACTATAGTCCTACTCTCATGTTCAATTTGTTTCTCAAGTCCAAGGTGGGTTAGGTGTGATTAGACAGTAGTTTGTCCGTAGAGACTCTCAGGGTTACTGGACCACCAACTTCATAAGAATCAGCACTGTGACACGTCGGATAAAAATGTTAGTGGGATCCAGAGCTGCATTACGAGAAGCATGGCATTTGGGAATAAGGTGGTGATGGTCCCTCTGTCCTGGTCTGGAATACTGGGGTCAGTTCTGTTTGGGAAGGACACTGATTAGCCAGAGAACGTCCAGAAAAGGGCGACCGGCATGGTGATGGGCCTCAAGTCTATTCCAATTTAATCAAATGACAAGCATTTATTAAGTGCCTACTGCGTGCCAGCCCAAAGAAAGAAGCAAAACGGCCCCTGCCCTCAGCCCTGTGAGCTTAAACACTCTACTGGAGGACACAACATGTGCATATGAAAGGATGTATGAAATCTCTACGAGTAATTTTGGAGAGGAGGCAGGAAGAACTGGGAAACACGGGAAAGGCCATATGTAGGAGGTAGCATCAAGGCTGAACTTTGAAGCCAATTCCTGCAGGAATTCTCTGAGGCAGATAGGAAGGAGTGCATTCCAGGCATGGGGAACAGCCTTTACAAAGGCCTGGAGGTGGGAGATGGGAGATGGAGTATCATACCCAAGGAACAATAAGGAAGGCCTGGTTGACCAACTGTAGAGTACGTGGAGGACGTATAATAAGGCTGGAAAGGAAGAAAGGGGCTGGGCTGTTATGTTTTAAATGCCAAACCAGAGGAGTGTGTCTTTGACCCTAGAGGTACAGAGTAAGGGAGTGACATGGCCAGAGAGAGCTGTGCTCTGGGAAAATCAAATGTTTCATTTGGGCAGCTGTGTGAAGGATGGATGGGAGGCAGGGAGGCTGACTAGGAGGCTACTGCAATAGGAGATGAGGGCCTGAACCAGGACAGAGGCTGTGTAAGTGGAGAGAAGGGGACTGATGGGAGAAAGAGCTCATGTCCTAATTGGGGGAGACAACCCATGAAAGAAAGTCAGATGCAAAGTCCTGAGCACCCAGAGGGAGAAAGCGTTGGGGCAGATGCAAGGCCCTGAGACCCTTAGGTTACATCTGCAGGCTGGACAATAGTGCTGAGCATTCTACTAGAGAGAAGATTCTTTTCTGGGCATGAGTTAGACGTGGTGACAGATTAAGTTTCTTCCAAGTCAAAAATTCTGTGGTTCTGTGATTTGCCCACAGTTGCTCAGCTGGCTCTTGGAGGAGCCTGGGATGAGTGCCAAGCCTGGCTCCTGCATCCCCATCCGCTTTGCCAAGTGCAGTATGAGGGCTGGGTTTGTCCTGAGTCAGCCACATTCCTCTGCGGAGGCTGGGGGTGGGAAGGGGTCTGTGGGCAGTGGAGGCAGGAGGATTGGCTGAATTTGTCCTCCCCTGCCTTAGTGCCAGCTGGGGCCAGGATCGAACAAACTTGTCTTCCTAAGAAGCCCCGGGAGCATAAGAAGTCACATTTTCCTTACCTTTCCTGTTGGCCTTCCTGGGAGGGAAGGAGGGCTTTCTCAGGAGCCTCTGTCTTGGACTGAGTCAGCAGCTTCTTTTCTCTCCTATTCAAATAGAGGTCTTTCCACTGGACCAGGAAGACAGCAAGAGGGAGACTTGGCTGCAGCAGGAGTCTCCGTCCAGCCCCCTGGGGTCAGGCAGCTGAGACCCTAGGACTCAGGCTTGGGGGGAAAAAAAAGCCAGGCCTGGAGGGGTCAGGGCAGGCGTATGCCAGGGAGGGGAATGGGTGGGAGGATTAAGATGTTCCAAGGGCAGAATCTTGATTTCATAGGATTATAACATTTTAACTTGAGAAGGAATTTAGAGATTGACTCCTCTAATATCCCAGCTCCCCACCTGTTTTATGATGGGGGAATGGAAACTGAGGAGTGAGAGGTAATATGACCTACCCAAAGGTAGTAAACATAGGCAGTAAGCAATAGCCCAGATTCAAACCCAGGTCCCAAGACTCCAAAAACTCCCTGTTAGTTCTCTTCTCTACCTGTCATTGGAAGATCCCATCCTATCCTACTCCATCTAATTTCCATGTTCCTTTATGCACATTGTACAACAATCTACATTCTTCTTAGATCTATATTACTTTTCATATATTTTTATTTTGTTAAATATTTCCCAATTACATAGAAAAAATTTTTAACATTCATTTTCAAAAATTTTGCGTTTCAAATTCTTTCCCTTAATCCCCCACCCTCTCCCCTTGAGAAGGCAAGCAAGATGATATTTTAGAGCCATATTCTTAAAAGGAATGTACTCAGTGAGGATGACTCTTCTCTAGACTTAAGCATTTACTGTATGCTCAGTAGAATTGATCAATCAATAATCTAAAAGGTACTTATTAAGTTCCAGGAACTGCTGTGCTCCAAAAATACAAAGACAAAAAATGAGGGCGTCTCTGTATTTGATCTTGGAGGTAATAGGGAGCTATGGGAGTTTACTGAGTGCGGGAGTGATAGATCAAGCTTACCACTTTGGCAGCTGTGTGCAGGATGGATCAGAACACGGGGTCTCTGGCCACACAGCGGACTTTTAATCTCTACTGTGAAAGGGGCCCGTCGGGGCAGGTTCCCCTCGGGCCAGGGGACGGAGTCCTGTACCCCTTCCCCTCTCGAGCTCCAGTCCCCTGCCCCCTCCTCCCTCCCTGCGGGTCTCACCTTTAGGAAGCTCGTGGCCAGCACAGTCCGACCCTGCTTCCTCTTCATGTACTCCATCTGGGCTTCCCGAAGCCACAAGGACCAGCGCATGGCCCGGATGCCCTTCCGCAGGAGATGTCTCCGCCTCAGCGCCCTGGCTACTGCCCGCTGTCCTAGTAGGTGGCATCGCCAGGCTTTGAAGCAGCGGCTGAGAAGGGCCCTGCAAGGACAGAACAGATTGGAACTCACGGGGCCCGGCAAGGGCTGCTGTCCAGCCTCTGCCTTCCCCTCCCCGAATCCTCCAAGGTCTCCCGCCGTTCCCAGCCTCGGGCCAAAGCGGAGCAGGACAGACACCCACAGCATTTCCCAGGAAAAGTATGCAGGGATGGACAAATACTGCACCAGGGAATGGGGTGCGGGGTAGTGTAGACCTGAAGACGCCTACCCTGACTGCTTTCACTCCTTGCCTCTCACCCAGAGATGCCTCTAACCCTGAGGTCCTCCCTTCTCATTGGTGAGACCCTAGGCCACATCTAAGCTCACTTCACTCTTGACTCTCCTCCTGTCTGGACTCTAACACCCTCCTATGTTCCCCAATTCCAACTCCCTTATATGTGGGCTTCCCCTACTAGAAGACAGGGTCTATCTTCCTTGCTTGTATTCCCAGAGCTTAGCGAAGTGCCCCACACAAAGTTAAGTCCTTAAAAAAAAGTGCTCTCCATCAAATTGCCTGCTTTCTCAATTGGGGAGGGGGGGCAGGGAGGGAAGGAGAGAATCAGGAGTTCCAAATTTGAAAACCAGAATGTTAAAATTGTTTTTACATGTAATTGGGGAAAAATATTAAGAATAATGCTCCTGTCAAGATGTTAGGAGACACCGTATTTTTCAGAGCTGAGGCCCGGCAAGCAAGCTGTGCCCTGATCTTGGTATAACAATCCTTTGCAGCTCACCCTCTGGATGATCTCACCCTCTGGCAAAATCCCATAATTATTGTATTGCTTTGACCAGCACCAGGTGTTCTCTGAACTTGGCTGAGCTCAGAGAAGTACCCGTGTTCTGGTCATGAAGCCCTGCTATGAGTCAAACTTGTCTCATTGTCACCGAATGTTACTTCTCATTGTCAGGGCTACAACTCACTGGGTGGCCTAGGTAGAAGTATTGAGATTTGGCCACACTACAGCACCACCCCCGACTAGGGGCAGGCCTCCCCGCACGTGTGTCTAGATGCCCGCCTTGCTCGCAAGCTGTTTCCCTCACTTTGAACATCTCTCCTGTCTCCAGCCTTCTCTGTTCCACTCTGTCCACCCACAGGTTAGAGGCTGGTCCTGCCCAGCTGACACTCTCAACCTGTTGCATTCTGCCTTCTGACCTCCTCACTCAACTTAAAGTGCCCTCTCCAAAGTCAGCAGTGATCTTTTAATTGTCACGCCTCACAAAAAGCCTTTTCTCAGGCAGCCTCTTTCTTAGCCCGCTGTCACGACTCTCTGGATTTCCATGACACTGCTTTCTCCTGGTTCTCCTCCTACCTGTCTGACTGGTCCACCTCAGTCTCTTTTGCTAGCTTATCACCCTCATCATACCCCATAACTGTGGGTATTCCCAAGGTTGTGCCCTGGGCCATTTTCCTCTCTTGGTAAACTCTTAGGCTCCCCTAGGTTTAACTACCGTCCCCGTACAGGTATGTAATCAAGATGTTGCCAGAAGTTTCCATCTGGGAGCTGCTAGCTCCAGGCTTTCTCCCAGGCATCAGTCCCCCATCACTGTTTCCCTATTGGACATTTCAAACTCCATCTCCCGGAATCATCTCAAAGTCAAAATGTCCCAGACTGAACTCATCATCTTTCTCTAAAACCTCTCTAGCTTCCCTCTCCATGCTTTTGCACCAGCTATTCCTTATGCCTGGAATACCTTCTCTTCTTCCCTCCACCTCACAGAGTCCCTCTCTTCCTCTGTGACCCAGTTCATGCACCTTCTTCTGAACAAACCCTTTCCTGATTCCCCCAGCCGCCACTGTCCTCCCTCCCAAACTACTTTCTGTCATATTTTATATGTACTTGTCTCCCCCATTAGATACTCTTTGTCAGTAGGGAGGGCACAGGCAGGTGCTCAGGGAACAGGGATGAGGGAAAAAAGGTCTACCTCACCAGAGCAGATTAGAAGGGGCCCCCAGGAGTCTCACCGTGATTCCCTGGCCTCTGGGGTTAGAGGCTCTGTGGATGATGTCTAGAAAAGAGAAGGGTACATGACTTCAAGTACCTAATGGGGCTGTCATGTGGAAGAGGGCTTGGACGTATTTAACTGAGGGTAGACTGGGGAACAAATGGGTAGAATGGTGTTTTCTTCACAAGCACCCTCTGAGACAGGTAGTGCAAATGCTCCTGGCCCCATTATGCAGATGAGAAAACTGAGGCAGAAGACGGCCATGAGTCCTTGGCCCATCCTTCACAGCAAATTTCATATCATTTGTGCTGCTAGATAAAACCTGTGCCTTCTCCAGCGGGACTGTCCCTCTCCCTCCCCAGCCCCGGAGAGGAAAGGCCAAGCAGGAAACATGGGATGCCAGGGGTGGCAGACCTGGGCTCCAGAAGCTGGCATCCCCCATATCCCCTCTGACCTCTCCTGGCGGTGGCTCCAGCTGTGAGGCCCCAGCTGCCGGGTGTAGCTCACTCTTGTTCTGGCTTCTTGTCCCAAGGTTCCCAGCAAGGCCCTGCTCCATCCAGGGATCCTCCTGTTCATTCGGCCTATGAGCTGCTTCCCAATGCTGCTGCGCCAGGAGATGCACCCCAACAGAAGAGGAGGCTGAAAAATAGCTTCTTGAGCCCAGTCTACCTTCTTGCCCTGAGAGGCAGGGCCCAGGGGTGGCGTTCTTCAGGAGGCTCTGCTTAGCACCACCCCCAGATCCTGAAGAGGTCCCTTCTTCTGGGCTTCTCCAGTGGGTAGGGACAGGACCTTCCTTAGGGCCTGGGGGAGGGGTATTTGTGTCCCGGGGAACCAGGGACATGAGGACCTCCCAGATTTGCCACAAATGTCCCTCCAGCTGAGTCTTCATCAATTCCGGTCCCCTGTCCACTTGGGAGCCTGCAGCACAAGCCAGCATCCCTGACTTGGGCAGGCAGGATCTTTCAGGGGAGGCTGGCCCTGCCTGGTGGGGGTCCCCCAGGACTGCGCCCCTCCCTGAAGGTAGGAATAGCTTATCACAGAAGGCTTGGGGAAACGCAGAGGGGAGAGCTGCTGCAGAGCAGGGGGCTGTATCAGGCTGAGGGAAGGGAACTGGGTTGGCAGCCCTGAAGACATTCATCCCGCTGGTCCCAGGGGACAAGCTAGGGGCAGTCCCGCCATGCCCCTCATCAGAGGAGGGGAGGCTGAAATCACCCAGCTCCTTGGTGTCAGGGAACTGACCCCAGCCCTGTGTCCTGGGAATGCCAAAGGCCCTGGTGAACTGCTGCACACCCTGAGGGCACCCCAGTGCCAGGCTGGCAGAGACTTCTGGAGTCACATCCTGTGGGAAAGGGTAAGGGCGCTAGGATACTCTGGCATCAAGTTGGTGGAGGCCTCTGGAACCTTAATCTTGCTGGAGCAAGGGTGGAGGCTAGAGTATCCTGGTGTCAGTTTAGGGGAGGCCTTGGCAGTTGTGGTCTTGTCAGAAAGAGTATGGGGGCAGGGGTACCCCAGTGTCAGATTTGGGGGGGCCTCTGGACTCACAGTGCTATGGGAAAGAGTAAGGGGGCTGGGATGCCTAGATGGCAGACCTGGGGAAATCACTGGACTCATGGTGCTGTGAGAGACAGTGAGGGGGCTGGGGTGCCCAGATGTCAGATCTGGAGAAATCACTGGACTCATGGTGCTGTGGGAGACAGTGAGGGGGCTGGGATGCCTGGGTGTTAGATCTAGAGAAATCACTGGACTCACAGTGCTGTGAGAGACAGTGAGGAGGCTGGGGTGCCCAGATGTCAGATCTGGGGAAATTGCTGGACTCACGGTGCTGTGGGAGACAGTGAGGGGGCTGGGATGCCTTGGTGTTAGATCTAGAGAAATCACTGGACTCACATTGCTGTGGGAGAGAGTGAGGGGGCTGGGGTGCCCTGGTGTCTGGTGAGGGGTCTCTGGAGGCACAGCCCTGCAGGGGTGGGTAAGGGGACTAGGGTGCCTTGGTGTCAGATCTGGGGAAATCACTGGACTCACAGCACTGCAGTGGTAGGTAAGGGGACTGGGGTGCCCTGGTATCAGGTGAGGGGTCTCTGGAGGCACAGCCCTGCAGGGGTAGGTGAGGGGATTGGGCTGCCCTGGTGTCAAGGCTGGAGAGGCCTCAGGAGAAGTGGCCCTGTTGGAGTGGGGCCAGGTTCTGGGTTGCTCCTGAGAGGCTCTGAAGAGTTCCATTGGCCACTCAAGGTGCCTCCTAGACAAGAGCAGGCAGGCTGACTCTGGGGAAAACTTAGCTCTGGGCCCCAACACCAGGGGGTGAGCTGGTCGCTGGCATTGGCCTGAAAGGCCCAGGTCCTCCAAGGTGAGGGGCCGTTTCACAGGATTTGGGGCCCAGCAGCCTGAGGTACTCCGCAGTCTTGGGCCGGGCTGGGCAAGACAATCCTGATGCCCAGACCAAGGGGGAGGGCTCAGCTCAGACCCTTGAGCCTTTGTGACTTTTGGTGAGACCCGCACAGTGTTCCCAAGGCCAGGGGATGAAGATGATGGTTCTTCCCTCAGAAAGGGGTATCCGTGGCTCTGGCTCTTTGGCCTGCCGGGCCAGGGAGCTCTTTCAGAACGTAGGGGCCACAAGGGTTCCCGCAAGCAAGCTGCCAGGTTCCTGTCTGGCCCCTCTAGGGTCTGGGGTCTCCTGTGTCCCCCTCTCCTCTCTGGGTCTGCTCTGCTCAGCTTCATGTTGCTTTGCTGGAAGGAAAACCCTCTCCACGGCCCAGATGCCCCTGGCCTCCAGGCCCGGGGCTGCAGGTTACTCTGTTGCTCAAAGCCAGAGTTACTCACCAGGCTTGTGGCATCTTGCAGGGGCTGGCCAGCAGGAGCCAGGTTGGTCTGCACCAAGGCCGGGAGCTGCCTGCTGACCACAGGCCTCCCCACCTCCAACCTGCGGCCTGGCCCCAGGCCTGGTAGAATGGTAGGGACGGTCCTTTTGCTTTGTGTCTGGAAAGATGCCGTCTTGGTATCTCGTCCATCGCCCACAGAGAGGCTGATGCTCACATTCTTCTGAACCAGACGTTGTCCTACAAGAAAAGCCACAAGGACCAGGAAATCAGGGTCAATCAATCAATCCATAAATAGGTGCCAGGCACTATGCTAAGCACTGGGGATACAAAGAAGGGTAAGAAACAGACCCTGCTGTCTAGATGTGGACATTCTATTAAGAAGGAGAAAACACGTCCGAGCAAGAGGAAACATGGCGTAGTGGCTAGTGGGCCAGCCTTGGAGTCAGGAAGGCCTGGGTTTGAATGTTGGCATAATGGAAAGTCCCATATTTGACTCTTACTCCCTGAGTGGCTCTGACAAATCAATAACTTCTCTGGGCCTGCACTTCCTCAGCTGTCAAATGAGCTGGTGGGACCAGATTACCTCTCAGGTTCCTTCTGGAACAAGGAAGAACAGGGCCTGGTCTTGGAGTCAGGACTGGGGTTTAATCGCCCCATGCCGTGACTCTAAAGTGTGCCCCTGGACAACCTCTGTAGGCCTCCGTTTCCTCTGGCATAGGGCAATTGATTTACATCTGTTTCAGGAATGGTGGTGTTTCTACATTGGGAATTTCCAGTGTAGAAATTCCCTCCCAAATTGCTGTCTGGCAGCTAGCCTAGAGAGCAGTCTGGACACAGGGAGAAGTTACATTACTTGGTCTGATGTAGCACTCATAAAATTACAAGTCAGAGCTGGAAGGGACCGTAGAGATCACTACGTCTAAAGCCCTCGTTTGACAGCTGAGGAAACTGAGGCCTGCAGAGGTTGTCCAAGGTCACACCTTGTAGTCGGGGAACAGGGGGGATTAAACCTCAGTCCTGACTCTAACTTTTATTCTTCCTCTTGCACCAAAGGTCACAGATTTAGAGCTCAAAGGCACTTCGAAGCCATTAAAACCAATCCCCTTATTTTTAAATTCATAAAATAAAATACAAAGCATTGCCAAGGAAACCAATTCTATTGAAATAAAGTTATCAAAAAAAAATTTTAAAAACAAGTTTATGGACTCCCTGAAATTTATCCACAGACTCATTGGGCATCTGGGAACCCTGGTTAAAAACCCTTGGCTTAGAACTTTTTCTCTTGAAAATATTAAAAATTTTGTTTTGAGAAGGGATCCATAAGCTTCATCAGATTGCCAAAGGGGTCCAGATACAAAAAAATAAAAAAGATTAAGATAAAGGAGGAAATTTAGATGATGTATAAATAAAAGATATCAATATTATTTTTTTAAAGGTTAGGAATTCATGACCTAGGCAGTGTCTAACTCGGGGACAGCCCTGGACCCCTGTGGCAACAAGAGAAAGTGGACAAAGACATGGAACAGACAGAGCCCAATGCAGAGAACCATTTGGAGCTCTTACAAAGGGGGAGGAAGGCCTGGGGCATGGTCTAGAACAGGAGTAGGAGTCCTGTAGCAACAAGCAGAAAAAGGTCTCAGAAGCAGGGGGCCTTTCAGCAGAAAAGTGGCCCTGAGCAGCGTCTAAGTAACCCAGGCCGAACTCAGCATCCAGGCAGCCTGGGTCTGAACCACAGCAGGAGATTCTTGTAGAACAATTTTTGTAGAAGGTGGGGGCATCATTTTAGCCATAAGGCTCGGGCCCAAATAAGGCGCATCCACACTACAAATTAGGGTGCCATTCATGTAGAGCTCCCCAACCCTCAATTCCCAACCCCCTACCCAGACTCTGAATATGCTGAAATAAGCAAACGAAACAAAATGCCAAATACTATGATAAAATGCTATGGATAGAGAGAAGCCCAAAGGGAGACCCCCAAAGGAAAAAGTAACCTCAGAACATGTCCAGACAGAATATGTCTGAGGTTCCATGAGAACCTCAGAGAAAAAAAAATTAGCCAAAACAGATTACAAGAGTACTTGGATGAAATCTAACAAGATATGCAAAAAAAGCCAGGAAAGAATTAGAACGCCTAACAGTGATAAACTTCATTCAAGAACTAGACATCCTAAAAATGAGAATGGGCCAAAAAAAAAAAAAGCAACTCAGTGAGACAACAAGAAATCCTAAAACAAAATCAAAAGATTGAAAAAAAAACACCAGAAAAAAATGTAAGGAATACAATATTTTTAAAAAATTGACCTGAACACAAGTCAAGGAAAGATAATGTAAGAATTATTAGCAAAACTGAAAACTGTGATAAAAAAAATTTTGGATACTGTATTTCAAGAAATCATAGATAAAAACTGCCTAGATCTCTTAGACCCAGAGGGCAAAGTGAAAATAAAAAGAATTTATCACTGACATCTAGAAAGAAGCCCTACAATGAAAACTCCCAGAAACTTGCTACAATTTTTTTTCTCCCAGTTTTTTATTTTCCTTCTATTCTTGGTTGCATTGGTCTTATTTGTGCAAAAACTTTTAAATTTAATATAATCAAAATTATTTTATATCTCATAATGCTCTCTATTTTGTTTGGTCATAAATTCTTCCCTTATCCACAGATCTCGAAGGTAAACTATTCCATGATCCTCTAATTTGCTTATGGTATTACCCTTTATGTCTAAATCACGTGCCCATTTTGATGAACAAATACTTTGAAAAAATAAAATGGCCAGATTAATAAAGGAATTGATTGTTTAAATCACGTAATATCAGAAAAGAAAACTGAGCAAGCCACAAATGTACTCCCTAAGAAAACACCCCAGGACTTTGTATACAATAGCAGCCACGTTATGCAATGACTAAGAATGTTAAACTGAACGCTTCTCAGCATTACGAGGATCTAAGACATCTCCAGAGGCCTCGGGATGGAAAATGCTGTCCACATCCAAAGAAAGAACTATGGAAGTCGAATCACTCTCACTTATTTTTACCTTCAGTTGAGTTTTGTTTCATCTTTCTGATGGTTCCTCCTATTGGTTTTAATTTTTACTTACAACTTCACTAATGTGAAAATATGTTTAATGGGCATGTAAATGTAAAGCCTATGTCAGATTGTGCGCCGTCTTGGGGGGGGGAAGAAAAAGGGAGAAAAAATTTTCAACTCAAAAGCACATGGAAAAAAAACTTTTTTTAAATTAAATTAAATTTAATTTAAAAAAAAAGAAAAGAAAAAGAAAATACCCCAGATAGTAATGATTTGTTGGTGGAGTTGTGGATTGATCCTACCATTCTGGAGAGCAATTTAAAACTATACTTAAAGGGCTATAAAACTATGCATATCCTTTAACCTAGTAATACCACAACTAGGCACATATCCCAAAGAGATCGAAGAAAAAAGGAAAAAAAGACCTATGTGTACAAAAATATTTACAGCAGTTCTTTTTCTGGTGGCAAAGAATTAGAAATTGAGGGGAGGCCCATCAATTGAGGAATGGCTGAACAAGTTGTATATTGATTGTGATTGGAATACTATTGTGCTATAAGAAATGACAAGGGATATCACTTTAGAAAAACCTGGGAAGACCTACATGAATGGATGCAGAGTGAAGTGAGCAGAACCAGGAGATCATTGTACACAGCAAAAACAGTATGGTAATGATGACCAATTGTGAAAGACTTAGCTACTCATTGGGCAGCTAGGTGGCACAGTGGATAGAGCACCGGCCCTGGATTCAGGAGGACCTGAGTTCAAATCCAGCCTCAGACACATAACACTTACTAGCTGTGTGACCCTGGACAAGTCACTTAACCCCCACTGCCCAACCAAAAAACAAAAACAAAAACAAAAACAAAAAGACTTAGTTACTCATTAATACAATGATTCAAGAAAATTCTGAAGGACTCATGATAAAAAAAATACTCTCTACTCCAGAGATAGAACTGATGAAGTCAGAGTGCAGATTGAAGCATAATTTTTTCACTTGCTTTATTTTTCTTGCTTTTTTTTGGCAACATGGAAATGTTTTGGATGATTTCACACATATAATTGTTATCATATTGCTTGTCTTCTCAATAGGTAGGGAAGGGCCTAGAGGAAGAAAGAGAATTTGGAACTCAAATTTAAAAAAAAAAAGTTAAAAACAAATTTTAAAAATTATTTTAAAGAAAACATGCCAGGAACAGATAGATTTACAAGTGAATTTTATCAAACATTCAGAGAACAATTAATTTTAATATTACATAAACTGTAAAAAAGTAAGAAAAGATGTGACCTTTCTGATCTCTTTCTATGACAGGAATATGGTCTTAATATCTAAACCAAGGAGAGACAAAACATAGAAATAAAACTATAGACCAATATCCCCAATGAACATCAATGCGAAAATTTTAAATGCCAGAAAATAGGCCATAAGACAAAATATTAGAAAGATTACACACTATGATTAAGTTGGAGTTATGTCAGGAATGTAGAGCTGGCTCAATATAAGGAGCACTGTAAACAAAATAAACCATATTCGTTACAAAAATAATAAAATCACATGATTATATCAGTGATTGAAAAGTCTTTTTCACAAAAACCAACACTTGGCTTCTATTAAAAACACTGGAAAGCACGGGAATAAATGGACCTTTCTTTAATAGAGTAAATCATAACCCTCTCAAATCAAGAACAAACATTATTTGTACTGGAGAATGTTAGAGGCTTTTCCATTAAGATCAAGGGTAAGGCAAGGATGTCCATTATCATTACTAATATTTAACAAAGTACCAGAAATGTTAGCTATAACAATAAAGAGAAATCAAGAGAGTATACATAGGCAAAGAGGAAACAAAATTATCACTTTTTTGCAGATGGTTTGATAACTTACTTAGAAAACTCTAAAGAGTAAACTAAAATTAATTGAAACAATAGATTGAGCAAAGTTGCAATATATAAATGAAATCCACCCGAATCATTAGCAGTACTGTATGTCATCAACAAAACTCATCAAGAAGAGATAGAAAGATAAAATCCCCTGAAAATAACTAAAGAATGGGACAGCTAGGTGGCACAGTGGATAGAGCACCAGCCCTAGAATCAGGAGAACCTGAGTTCAAATCTGGCCTCAGATATGCAGCTGTGTGACCCTGGGCAAGTCATTTAACCCCATTGCCTAACCAAAAAAAGAAAAAAAGAAAAGAAAAGAAAAAAG